ATCAAAAGGTTGAAGACCTGCTTTCCAGTCCAAAGTGCTTGAGGCTTCCATACCACAGGAGGCGGAATGTCGATAGGGTGCTTCTTTCCTGTATCTGGATCAAAAGCTCCTTCTCCGTTGAACATGTAGTTTACGATCTGACAGAATGTCCGTCGATCGTAGAAGTTGTTCTTGTTACTTAGAAGATATGCTGCAGTAATGAAATCTTGGATAGCTGCGATAATTGGTGTTCCGTTCTTTGGGGTTGCGAGGTTGTACTTGACGCCCATGAGCTCTGTAGCTTCAGTTCGCGCCTCCTCGGTCTGTGGTACGTGCAAGTTCATCTCGTCACCGTCGAAATCGGCATTGTACGGATTGCAAACACACTCGTTCAATCGGAATGTCCTCCATGGTCGTACTTTCGCTCGATGACTCAGAATACTAAGCTTGTGTAGAGACGGTTGTCGATTGAAGAGGACAATGTCGCCATCCTCAATATGGCGCTCGACGATGTCGCCGATCTTGAGTCGCTTCGAGGCGCCCTCTAGTCGCTCACCGGTTGTGTCGAATCGCGAAAGACCGATAAGTGACGTCTTGCTAGGCTCCTTGTTCGGCCCTTGATCGCTAATAATGTAGTTGGCGCCGGGATATCTGTTTGACCCGTTCTTCACAAGTCTCCTTAGCTTGTCGATGTTGTATCGTGTGGCCTTTTCGGGGTACGTGAGGTTCTTCGCAATGCGCTCTGGGACAGCGACTTCGTCAATGCTCAAATTTGGATCGGGACCAATGACAGTACGTCCAGAAAAGTCGACACGCTTTCCGGAAAGATTTTGTCGGAAACGCCCACCCTTTCCCTTGAGGCGCTGAGAGAAACCGCGCATAGTCTTCTGCAAGCCTTGCTGTTTCAGACCAGGCGCGTCGCTGTTGATGTACATGGCTATCTGCAGCTGCAGGAAATCCCACTGCTCCATCAAGATCTGAAGTGGAAAGCCTCGCGCAAGACCGGCGCGTATTATACTGCTGATCTGGCAGATGTCTCCAATCTTGTTGGTCACATCGTCCTCGGTGGCGCCACCTTCCTGCATGACTGACGGGCGCAGCGCCACGGGCGGTACAGGCATGTACTCCCAGATCAACATCTCGGGTCGCGCATCCTCGGGTATCATGGCTAGGAGCTCGCAGTCCTCCGGGGAGATTTTTTTGAAAAGATTGAGCGTCCTCAGCGGATGCATATCGTCTACGGCCTTCTTCAGGTGTTTGTCTAGGTCTGGGTTGGCGGATTTGGCGGCATCGAAGGACTGGTCAAACTCGATCTTGCCTGCCGGTGGCTTCTTCGTCTTAGCCGTGGATCGGTTGAAGGCATCGTATCGGTTGTGGATGATCTTGAGCGGATGGCCGGGCACTTTTCTGACGGTACCCTGCAAAGCGCCGCAGTAGGGGCACGTCTTCTTCTTCCTGCAGTCGTCGAGGATCTTCTTGGTGACGGCGCCCTTTCGCAGCGTGTCCATGTCTGGCCTGCGCATGCTGCGCAAGTATCTCCGTCGCTCCACCTCATCCAGCAGTACGCGCGAACAATCTTTGCAGATACAGTTGAGCACCTCGATGATGTGCTTCAGGTATCCGACGTGGAATGCAGGCAGCGCAAGCTTGATGTGGCCAAAGTGACCGTTGCACTTGTCCAGGCCTTCTCCGCAGGTTCCACACTTTCCCTGCTTGCTGGATATGCCCATGTGCGTGTCCATGGGCCCGTTGGCCGTGAGGGAGCGCGTGCCGTCGGCGGCGGGCTGGAGGTCGTAGACATTGCGGTCCGAGACTTCGAGGACGGCCTGGTTCACGATGTCCTGGTTGGAACTGGAGAGTGTTACTATGCGTCTTTGAGTAGAGTTGGCACAGTGGTGTCCTACTAGATGCCGAACTGGATGTGCTTGATGCGCGCGGGGATGCGATCCACGACCTGCTGCTTGGCCGAGGTGCGCGGCGCCTCCATGATGGCGGGGATGGGTGTGGTGGGTTAGAGGGGCGAAGTTGATGCTACCGGGAGTCTTCACAGTCGTTGTCTTGTCGCATAGTCGTCGCGTCGTGAGTCATGTTCGGGGGCGACAGAAGCCAGAAGCAGCAGCAGCAGCAGCAGCAACTTTCTCAGTCGCGCCTCTGCAGATTTTGGGTGGGGAAAAGTTCCCGGAGCTAAGCCGCAGGCTAATGCAGGCTGATAAGCTGATAGTACCCCGGAAGGCAGTCGTGACCACGAGCATCACCGCCCGGTCGTCGCTGCCTCACCCCGACAACTCACTCTCTGCCCCGCCTATAGCGACGGTGCATCTTGCTGTCTCTTGCTGTGACGCCTCTCTATTACCGCTGTCCTCGCCCCCTGCAGGCAAGCACCACAACCATTATATACATAGCACTGGCCGCTGCTGCCTCTTGAACCACGGTACTACCTGCGCAGCCGTCCCCGCTCAACTCCACCCCGCCCTCACTTATTGTCCCTCCCAGACCAGGCTGTCTACGCGTCACCGTCTGGCAAGACACACTGCCCCTCATGACTTCCAGTGAGCCTCCTCCTCCTCCTCCTCCTCCACTATCTGCCATGTTTCGCTCCCGGCTCACTGACCTGCCAGTCTTCCGCATCGTCCTCAGGGACACAAAGCGCTACGACACGTACCGATCCCGTGAGTTTGATCTGCCACTCAACGCAGAGTTCCCCATTGGTCGGGCCTCGAGCAACATGTCCAAGAAAGACCTCATGGCCGCGCCTCACAACGCCTACATCGACAGCCCCGTCATCTCCCGCCAGCACGCTGTCTTGTCCGCCAACTCAACCAGCGGCGTTCCCGAAGTCTATCTTACTGATAAGGGCTCCATGCACGGCACCACTGTGAACAACCAAAGGTTGCCTGCCAACAAGCCAACTAAGCTGAAGGTTGGTGATGTACTTCAGTTCGGGACTGACGTTAACCGCAATGAGGGTACGTCCTCTCGTAGGCCCTCCACACAGCCCCTTGTCCAAGCTTCTGAACTGACATTATCTTGTACAGAGTTCTTTGTAGCCCGCACCTACACCTTCGAGTCACAGCTTTCACGTCCATTCTCTCTCGGCTTCACTGTCCCTGACCCCGAGAGCGACGACGAGGAAGTTGCCGAGCGTCGAGGTAGCCAGATCGAGCCCTTCGTCATCGACGACTCCGATGGTGCTGGACATCAGTCTGAGCAGGATGACCAGGAGGTCACAATGATGATGGAGCAGGTCCTCCACCAATCTGAACCCGGCCACTCCTTCAGTCCTGCCCAAGAAGAGTACCCCGAGTCTGCAATGCGTACTACAGTCGTGGACCAAGACTACAATGAAGAGGACAGACAAGATGCGGGTCTAGTCTGCGACTTCACCCCACGCCGCGATGATTCGCTTGTGCCTGCCAGCCCTAACGCATCCAGTGATGGGGAAGACGACGACGCTATTGGTACCGACTCCGACAGCCAGGCCGGAAGCATTGGTAGCTCAGAGATGATGTCCGACTCGGAACCAGAGATCGGGGATTCCGAGGATGAGGATGTGGACGGGACTGACCATAAGAATCCCACCGCATCTTCTTCCAACAAGGAGAACGAGCCTTCTGGCAATGCCGCAATCCCTTCCACGGCTCAGTGCTCTATGCAAAACCCTTCTACTCTTTCACTCCGGGATGTCTATATGTTAGACGACGTAGCCAACAGTCAAGCCTCGCTGCCACGTATCCACATATTTGGCATGCAGGGTTCTGACAACAACCCCACGTCCAACAGCAACGTGTATGCAGAGAGCGCACCTCCACCTCTTCCACCACGTCCTTCGACTTCCAGAGTAGCACCTTGGTGCAACCCATCCTATTCCGCATTCTCATCGCAGAGCGATCTCCAGGATTGGTACTCTGCTGAGGACATGTCGCAGCCGAATTACCTAGGTACAAACTTTGGCGACAGACCTTCTCTGTTCAGTCCAGCGCCTCCTCCAATGCCAGAGTCCTCTGAGACTCGTCTTCCCATGTACCACTTCGGTAACTGCGCTAGCCAGGCAGTCCAAGCCAACCGACTTCAGACGCCTCCACCCATGCCTATATCAGATGTCGAGACCTCCACACCACTGCAGCCAGGTCGTCGGACCAAGGTCTCCATTGAGGAGATAGTTGAGGAGCAGCCGCCCACGCCTGAATCTGTAAACAACATGAAGCGCAAAGCTGACGTGCTCGAGGCAGAGGAGCCTGCAGTAGCCTTGGATGAGACACCTGAAGTCATCATTGGTACCGAGAGTGCACACTCAGAACCGATAGTCGCTGTTCCAGCCGCCGATGTCACTGCCGTCCAGACAGCTGCAATCATCGCCCAACGTCCTAAGAAAACCCCTCGCTCTGTTCTTAGCAAGGTGCTCAACAAGGCTACGTACCCTCTGCTGGGCGCCACCGGTGCGGTCGTTTCTTTCGCTCTTCTTTCTACTCTTCCTGATACCTTCTTTGCCTAGGCTGTGACGGGCGCAATGCCCATGACAGTCCAGCATCTTCCTTCAAGGCGTACAGGGTGGGACCAGGCGTACATGGTGAGGCGATATTAGGATCATGATATCAGTGGAGCATATACTGATTACGGCAGTCAATACTGGTGGCGTTTCGAGTAATGCCAGAAGAGTCGGATTCTGCGCGCTATGGGTGGTGTATGGTTCCGGTCCGGGCGGCGTCCTGACGTTTCGGCTTTATGACACGCCACCATGAATAGCTACATTTCCTTTTGTCATGATAATGAGATATATGCCCTCAAGACACAATCCATGTAAACTGAGCGTGGCTTTCAAGTGATGTGGATGTTTTCCGTAGGTTCGTGTGTCATCTGTCACATAGCTGGCTGTGGAAATTTACCAAAAACGCTTACCCTCAAACGGTAAGGCGCGAGAAGCTTGACAACAACCTAGTTTCCATACAACTCTCAGTCACAAGAACAACAACAATTTGGAAGATACAAGCTGCTCCAAAAATTAATCGAGACCTATGTAATGCCTATAAGTGGCCTGGTAGAAATCTCCTCTTATTCGCCTCTGCCCAACCTTTATCGTGTGCAACTACGACCTCAACCTGCACTTGTCCATTGCCTTCCTCTTTCACGTTACCCTGCTTCAAAAACCTTGCGATCCTTTCCACAGTAGCAGCTGCTGCATCAGTGTCAGCGTGTACACTTCTCAGGCCACCCTTTCCATCGTCATAGAGCGCGATACCCTTCTCGCCACTCAAGATCCTTGGGTCATGACAGCAATCGCCGCCGAGGTACACCCATTCCTTTGGCCCAATGCGAGCGAGAATATTGATGTGTCCGAAAAGGTGGCCTGGCGCATCGATGATGTACAGTGATCCGTCTCCATAGAAGTCTACCGTAGCAGGGAAGCCTGCCAACGGTTTCCACTCGAGTTCTGCCAGTTGGTTCTTGAACGCCCGTGGCCCTTCTTCTTTGCGGACTGGAGGCAACTCGCTCGTTCGATCATCTGGCAACTCATCGGAGTTGAATATCTCAGCTGGATAAAGGGGCCCACCACCATTCGCGAGTAGATGCATAGTCCCACTTCCGACGACAAATTGCGCTTTCGTAAAATCGCCCGGCGTGCCAACGTGATCCCAATGCACATGACTCAGCATGACGGTGTCCACTTCTCTTGGGTCTACACCACCTCTTCGCAGACTTTCGGCCACATCTGGGCTAACACTAGTTGGCTGGCGTTGAGCGATATGATGCTGCTGCGCTTCTCGATAGCCGGCAAAATCGCGTTTGAGACCGAGATCAAAGACGAGATTGGATGAACCATGTCGAACAAGAAAAGAGAGGGAAGGGACTGTTGCACGCCTCTCCGGATCGGCATCTGTAACGAAGAGCTTCTCAGGAAGCGTGAGCTGACCGGCTTCCAGGGCTGATATAGTAACATATGTTTGAGTAGGGGCTGGTGCTGGAAGAACGACGACACCATTACTTAACGTCATGATGGACGACACAAGAAGGGGTTGGCGGGTTCACAAATATTGAAGATGCTGAGATGACGCCAAAGACCACATCGTGGTTGGAGAAGCCGCTTGCCTGCATCTCATCCTGCAGCCCCACCCCGCCTCTTCACTACCCCGCATGCGGGGTTAGTTCTTCTGACAGGAAGATTTGCCAAATGTTTGAGCGACCATAGCATGCAAGTATATCGAAAAACCACAAGCAAACGCAAGCTCGCTACGTCGTGTCAATTTGGCAAGCTTTCAACCCCATGATGTCTTTCACCCAACCCAAATCGATGCAAGCGCAGTATCTGGAAGCGTACAAGGAACCATACAAGCTGAGATCGGTTCCAATCCCTCAGCCATCTGAGTCGCACGATATTCTCATCCGCGTGGATGCTGCTTCGTATTGCCATACCGACTATGTTCTTGCAGAAGGACAGATGCCTGGACTGCCGAAGTCATTCCCACACATTGGATGTCATGAGTTCGCCGGAACGGTAGTTTCGCACTTCGAGAGCCCTAGCAAAGAGGCTAGCGCATTTGAGACCGGTGCAAGAGTTGGCGTACCAGGTCGCTCATTCCATGCTTGCGGTGACTGCTTTGAATGCAGGAACGAACGCGTGGAAGATCCAGTCGCGATGGATGAAGGGGGTTATTCGGTGAACTGTATCAGTGCGGAGAACAATGGGCTGAGTAAAGACGGAGGGTTTGCGGAGTATGCTGTGGTAGATGCAAGGCAATTGGCACCCATACCAGACACTTTAACAGCAGTGGAGACTGCGCCGCTGATGTGCGCTGGTGTGACTATCTATGGAGCGCTCAAGAGAAGTGGGCTGAAGGCGGGTGATAGAATCGGTATCCTGGGAGCTGGTGGCGGTCTTGGACACCTGGGATTACAATACGGCGTGAAGATGGGTTACAAAGTGCTGGGTATCGAGGCAGCAGACGAGCCTCTAAAGCTTGCGCAACATGTCGCTTCAAGACTCGATCCAAGGCCGTATATCGTAGATGCCAGGAAAAGAAAAGCAGCCGACGTTGTTCAGGAGATCGGTGGACAGGACGGCAAGAAGACTCTTGGTGAGATGGGGCTAGACGCAGTGATCGTGCTGCCTGAGAGCCAAGCAGCCTTTGACTACAGCATAACGCTTTTGAAATCACATGGGACGTGTGTCGTCGTGTCATTCCCTGAGAAAGGGTTTCACGTCAACTCGCGAGACATTGTGTTTCGTGACATCAGGATCATCGGCAGCCTGGTAGGAAGCAACAAAGTGCTTCGTGAGATGCTGGAATTCTCAGCAGAACATGGTGTTCGTGCATTGTCGACTTCGTTCCCTTTGGAAAAATTGAACGACCTTGTGTCTGAATACCTCAAGGCCCAGGGTGGAAAGCTGGTAGTGGACATGTCTCTTAAAGCGTAGATCAAGTAACGGGGTGTATCCGCGCCACCCATCTCTACCAGCATAAGGAGACTTCTTTGCACATGATATAGTGACAATAGAGTACCGTGATGGTGAACAAGGGCCTAATCCAGGAAATAATCAACCTTCGACTTGCTAGCTTGAGTCGGCTGCTCACCCCGACTCGAGCATATCAGCGTACAGATTGAGAGAGCTTCCAATCACATCAACTATGGCCCACGTTTGTGAGCCTTTGAAGATCATCGCCCAGACCCTGAGCACTCCTGCGCTTAGGTGTCGCGTAAAGTTGGGCGATTCGGGCGTGACGTCGGCTGGAATAGCAAACTCAGTCTCATCCAACATGCTCTTCACTATCGCAATAATTTTGTGCTCGTCTTCCGTGACCGGCGGGTCTGCTTCTTGTACTGATAGCGCTTCAAGCCATTTGCTCATGAGGTAGGCGCACTCAAGCGTACACAAAGAATGTTGAATGCTCCAGATGAAAGACTGCGTCTTAGCCACAAGACGGTATCCTATCTTGATAGGTATGGAAAGTGCGTGAGCCGAGTGCAGCACTGCCCTTGTAATCTTCGGTGAGCGCCTTATCGCAGGTCCGGCGCGGAAAGCATTGGCAATTAACAAAGGATCCCTTGTTTCTAACGCCCTGCCTGCTGTGTCTACGTATAGACGGATGTACGCTAGACGGAGTAAGGCTGTTGAATTGAAAGCAACAGGACCATTTTGGGACATAGGATCCAGTGAAGACTCGGGGTTTTGACGCCAGCCAATCTGCCAATTCCGCAAAGCGTTCTCGAGCGATGCGACGTCCTCTGTGCTGAGATCGCCAGGTCCTTCAAAACGGCAGCGAGCCACTTGTCGTAGGAAGAAAATATGCTGTATTAGAGCATGAATCAGAGCATAGTTTCCAGACGAGGAGTTACATTCTGTAACATCCCGACCATCTTTTGTAAACAAACGTTTTAGTGCATCCTGAAATAGAACTTCTGGTGCGCCTTTTTTCCTCGCTTCCCTCCACAAAGCTTCTGTAGGTGCCTTGAACTCTGCTGCACTACAAGGTAATGGTAATTTAACCTCGCTCGTTAGCATGAAGGGCGGAATGTTATAGACAATGCAATGTAGGTTAGAAAAGCCATAAACAATAAACTTAGTCCTCTTGGTCGTTTCGCGTCGGACCCAATCTGGCCAGGATATGTTCTCTTGAAGGCTTTCAGTCTCTAGCCCATCGTCTCGAATCAATGTAGCTAGGATGCTCTGGATCGCGAGCGCTTCTCGGAGAATTTCTTTATGCTTGGCCCAAGTACATAGTGCCATAAGCAGAAGTAGGGCTTGCGCGGTTTGCATAAGATCCTCTCCAAGACTAGGGCCATTAACGTCAGATGGCAGACCCAGAGGTCCCGAAACGGAGCCTTTTCGACGGGGACTTTGCGCATCATTCTGTTGGTTTCGTGGTGACGAGCAATCTGATTCAGAATAATGTTGAAGCTGCACCAAGCGCGAATCTCGCTTCCTGATACGCTGCGTTGCAATCGCTTTGCTTACGTTAAACAGCTCAACACCTTTTTCCCCTTCGAAGGTATATTGCGCACCGATAGCTGCTATTGCTAGGAGCAGCTCAATGGAGCATGTCTCCACTGACATTGTGGGTATGTGAAGAAAAGGCATGTGCTCGTGGAATCCGTTGATGTATGCAGCGATATACCTGCACAGCGCTAGGCGGGTGGGTAGGACAAAATCGCTGGGTATGACAGTAGAAAACTGGTGAAGCATTTCGATGATACTTTGCCGGTCCTGATGTGAGATATCTGCAAAGGACCGTCTGCGTGAGGGCTGATCTTCCGGTTGCAAAGAAGGGAATCGAGAACCGAACCGCGATAGCGAAGGCGGCTCCTCTAATTGAGTAGGTCTCCAGCCAGGCGTAGGCGCTGTTGTTCTATCTGGCTCGGTCAAAGCTTGCTGACCGTAGCCAAAAGAGTCTGGCGAGAAGAAAGGCATGGGCTGTTCGGTATTAATCCAGGACGCGAAATGATACGAGTTTAGGGGTTCACTATCGAGAAATGAAGTGAGACTGTCAAGCGACTCGCCAAATGTCGACTCGTAGCTCTGGCCAGAAGGCTCTGTAAGCATTGCTGAAGGTGGAACTTCCACCGACGCAGCGATAGTTCCAGTATGCGAAGGCATTGGTGTCTGCATCGCATCATGAGATAAACGGTTTGCCATGTTACCTTGCAGAGCTTGATACTCGGCTGCCATCGAGAGTGCTGTCAAAGAGTAGCCGCTGTTTTGCCCAAAAGTCAAAGAAGCATGTGACATTGTTGATTGGTGTTGAGACGATGGCATGTCCAAGACTGCGGGTGAGGACATCATGCTGGGTATCTCCGGCACTGGACGTCCAGCATCGAAGCTCGACCGCATTCGCTTGTGCGGCCGAGTTTCGACCGAGCTGTATGTACTCTCAGCTGGGGTATGCTGATGATTCTGCTGGGTAGTCTGCACTTTGCGATGGGTAAGTCGTTCATGGCGGACGAGCAGGTCACTTCAATGCAGTCTTTAGCCGACGCTACTCGTAGATATGAGCGTGCCATACCTGCGTGTGAACGAATAGTTGCATTCTGAGCAGCTGAAGGGCTTCACACCGCTATCTTGATGCATGTCAGAGATAGCTTGCGATACGAATCGCACGACTTACGAATTCGCTCATGGCGCTGCAGATGCTCGAGCCTAGCGAAGGCCCTTTGGCAGTGAGGGCATTGGAAACGCTTTTCCTTCTTCCCAGGCTGAGCTTGCGGAACTTGCTCTTTGCTGGTAGCGGCTTCCATCAAAGACTAATGCCGCCTCTACCACTTACACAAGACCCAATCGCAAAAGGCTTGGTAAGTGATACCCAGATTATGGAGCAGCTTGAGTAGCCAGACGGAGGTTGGAGACTGCAAGTGGTGTTCGACAAGGTCGGAGAATGGTTGTGGGATTGTGGGGAAGAGACGGGAGCGCGGAGACGCGACGGTTCATATGCGGGGTGCTGGAAAGAAGCGGGAGAGCGACCAATCATCACGTTTGTGGCATGTGCCCACAGCCCGAGGTTCACGTATCATGATGAAAAAGATTGGACGCAGCAAGGGTTATCGGACAGTGTCTTGTAAAGGGGAAGGTACTGTGAATGTTTGTATGCGTGTGGCTATAGCGATCATCGTATATGTCATCCCAACCCGGGCCGGATCATCCCGGGTGCCACGTTCCCAGCCACCTCCAGGGCTGCCACGCGATCTGACGCGACGCGTTCCTACTATCATCGTCACCAATTGATCACCACTATGCCCTTTCACTCCTGTTGCCCAATTCTCGCGGCATCTCGCCTTTCTCTGCCATGTCGTTTAGGACCTTTTCAGCTGTTTTCATGGCGTCGACGCCAGCTGGCACCCCACAGTATGTGGTTGCGTGAATGATAGCCTCGCGAATTTCGAGCTCGGACAGACCGTTATTCCTTGCCCCCCGCACATGTACAGCAAGTTCGGGGGCGCGGTTGAGCGCCATGAGCATACCGATGTTGATAAGACTTCTTTGCTTCTTGTCGAGACCTGGCCGCGTCCAAGCGTAACCCCAGCACATCTCAGTAACGAGCTCCTGCCCAGCTCGCGAGAATTCTGTAGAACCATTCTCCAGTGCACGGTCCACATATTCGTCTCCCACTACACTTCGTCTCATCTTCAGCCCCTCATCAAAAAGCTGCTTATGTAGATCGTCAAGCTTGGGGTCGGTCGACATACTGGCGGTGGTACGTCTTGATATGTGAGGAGAATCGATCTGGCTCGGGCGAAGGTAGCTTGTTCGACTTGCACAGAATGAGTATTCGAAGAAGAGAGAAAGATGATTGTTTGTTTCCTGTCGTTTCTCAGTATCAACCCTGCCTACCTAACAAGATATCATGACTACCCCGCGTGGGCCACTTCGTGGCCGGCCTTCGGCCTTTACCCCAAGTATCCCCAACCTACTCCAACTTCAGCATGACACTAACGGGACCGATCACAAACAGTGAATCGCGATCCAACTATGCTGAGATTGAAGAGGATGTATACGATCAATATCTGTTTATGCGCCATTCGTCTCGGTTTGCCAATCTTCCTGCCCACCAAGGTAGCGATACACTACACGCGAATCCAAGTCCCTACAACGCGGATCATTGGCAGCACCATCGTATGTCTGTAAACCAACGTCCCCTAAAACGTTTCGTGACCCTACCTGCTTCGCCATATCCACCGCCAAACCAAAGTCTTTGCGCATTAGCTGCACTTTAAAACCTTGCTTCCAGCCTCCCGACGATGGAGCCTCAGGGTATACATGTGGGACAGGACAGAACTTGTCGCAAATACTGTTCTGAGCAGTACCCGCAGCGTATACTTTGGCCAACGTTCGAGGGTCCAGTCCACTACGCATACCCATATCGAACGCTTCTGAGCAGGCTATGGCGATTATGCCCGAGAGGTAGTTGTTCGACAACTTTGCCGCAAGCCCTAGTGACGGTCCCCCACAGGGTATTACTTGCCCGCCCATCAGACCCATCAGATATGTAAGACGCTCGATATTTGGGTCCGACTCTGCACAGCCTAGAAAGAATGCGATTGTGCCTTTGATGGCTCCTACTACGCCGCCACTGACTGGGGAGTCATAGAACGAGGCCGAGGGAAACGTCTTCGCAATGTGATCCTTCACGGCGAGGCTTGTTGCTGTGTCTATTGTGGAGCAGTCGACGAGCAGCTTGCCCGAGATATCGGTACTACAGACACCATTCTCGGGATGGAGATACACAGATCGTACATGTGAACCTTCGGGAACCATGCTCAAGATTGTGTCCTGCCTGCTTGTCAGCGATCAGCTTATTGCGACGACGTGTAGACCTACAACTTGCTCCGCAACGTCTTTGGCGCTTTTTGCTTTCAACACTCGATCCGGAAACTCTGCACATGCATCGTCTACCATCTGTTCGACTACATCGTAGACCCAAATGCGTGAATCCTGAGGCAGTTTGTTGGCGAGATGTGAGAGCATCGGTTTTCCCATGGCACCAAGGCCGATGAAGCCCAGTCTTTTGAAGTCGTACGAATTCGACATGATGGAGTCGTGTGCTCAACGGGCGTTGAAGCGTTAACCCCAAAGCCCCAGGCTCTTCAGCCTGTTACGAAAGACTAGTGATGAATTCGAAAGGTTGTTTTTGGACGTCGAGAAACAATGCACGTCAACATTGCCGTTCCAGAACGCGTCGTGAACGAGCCGCGGCTGGCAAAGCGGGGTGGGACGTCCCCAACGGACACTACTGACTAGCAACCCTTACCCCAATGTCTCTCAACATCTGGGATGTTCATAGGCTAATCAAACAGAGGTTACACGTGCCATTTCTTTGCATCTGGATGTCTAGAAGAGCACTTACAGATGTCGCCCCAGTCAGCTGTAGTCTTGTGACACTATCTCTGATCGACAATCGCTGCGGACTACTTGACTGTCTCTGTTGAAGGAGATGGCTACCGACAACATATCTATGGATTCTGATCTTACGAACAGAGCTGTTGTTACTGTGCACGCATTGTCGAGCGGCCACTTTTCGCTTCCAGAATACCAATTCGTACACCCCGTTTCTCGAGATGCGCGCCGAACCGTTCCTTCACTGGCGTTTCTAGTGCAACATTACAATCATAGCACAAAGAAGCGGACACGCATTGTCTTTGATCTAGGGCTGAGAAGGGATGTCAAGAGATATGCGCCAGCAATACAAAAGCATGTTGAGACGAGACAGCCAATGAGTACCGACCCGGACGTTACGAAGAGTCTTGCGAGAGGTGGATTAGCACCCAAGGACATTGACTATGTGATCTACTCGCATGTAAGTCATATTACCTCGCGTTACAGATGGTAGGTAACATGGCTCCGGCAGGTACATTGGGATCATATTGGTGAACCTCGAGACTTCTCCACATCGACCTTTGTTGTCGGCCATGGCTCAATTGCTTTGCTACGTGGCACTTCACCATCTCTGCGCGGTGGTCATTCCTTTTTCGAACATGATCTCTTACCAGAGGAGCGGACAATTGAACTATCAGAACCTTCGGCACGCATGGTGAAAAAGCACGATTCATGCATGGCAGTAGGCGACATCAACTTCGGAGGCTCCTGGCAGCCACATGGAAACCTTCCCCAGGTTCTGGATCTCTTCGGAGATGGTTCACTTCTCATCGTCAATGCACCCGGTCATCTGCCAGGCCATATCAATCTTCTCGCACGAACTTCCCCTGATCATCAAATCTACATGGGTGGTGATGCCTGCCACGATAGACGACTCCTGACTGGTGAAAAAACAATTGGAGAATGGAACGATGCTCATGGGCATGTCTGTTGTATACACGCTGACAGAAAGCAAGCTGAGATGACGATTGAAAGGATCAGAACTCTAGAAAAAGAGGGCGTGGAAGTCATCTTTGCACACGACATCGAGTGGGAAAGCGATCCAAAGAACAAGACCCGATTTTTCGGCACGCAGGAAGACATGGATAACTAGCTGCGGAACGCATACATGACTTCTGTTCAACAGCACATGAGCGCACAAATCATCTCTCCCATCATTTACGACTTCGCAGGATCTGGCGTATTGGCGTCAGATGCGTTCCCTGTCATTCAATTAACAGGTGTTACCCTGTACAAGAGAAAGACTGAACAGGTAGAGATAATAAGCTCTACTTTGCAGCTTATGTTAGCTCCTAGCAAGAGAGATTATACAGGTTATTAGTATTGTAGGCTTCTAGATTCTCTATAGATGTCTATATAGCTCTAATACGCTTTGTTGTAGTAAGAAGGAGTACTTGGCTCAAATGAGATATTTAGTTCCTCTCTTTGGTGTAGTGGTGTGGTGTGTCGATCCCTGTGCTTCCCCACACTGAGGAGTTGGGGAAATGTGGGGCACTTCTGCTCACCAGCGCCTCCAACAGTACACCATCCGAGGTAGAAGCTAATGAACGCATGAGAGTGTTCAACTCGCGCCAATAGACGGAACATGGAAACTGGTGTCAGCGGTACTATATGCAACGTCTACTCTAGCTTCAACATTAACATTGCGAAGATTCTTACGAGTCTTCCTAAAGTACCCTTTCAATCGTCCGTACCAAAACAATAAATTTGCTACTTGTAGACCACTATGGAAAAGTCCCTTCTTTCAATTTCTCCAGAGAACCAGCACTTGAAAGACCGCTTCGATGCCGAGCTCGGCGCTGCAGCATTCGATGAGTCTTGGGCTAGGCTACTCAAACACTCCCCAGAGATGTTTGCAGCATCGCTACGCCTGACAGCAGCACCGAGAAAGACTGGTCATCTCTCTCCCAAGACCCAGGCACTGATCTCTCTGGCTGTAAGCTCAGCATCAACACACTTGCACGTTCCCAACATCCATCGATATACGCGTACCGCTCTCGCCACAGGCGCTTCGCGAGAGGAAATCGTCGAAACGCTATGTCTCGCATCCACACTTGGTATTCACGCCTCCACAGTCGGCGTACCGATTCTCTTTGAAGTGCTCGAAGAGCGTGGCGAAGCCATGCCAAAAGGAATGTCAGATATGAATCCCCAACAACTCGCCCTCAAGCAAGATTTCGAGACAAAGCGCGGCTACTGGAATGCGTTGTGGGAAGAAATGTTGCTTCTCGCACCCGAATTTTTCGACGCGTATACAGAGTTTAGTTCGGTTCCTTGGACAAACCAGGGTGGCAAAGGAGTACTTGAGCCCAAGGTCAAGGAGCTGATATATTGTGCATTCGATACTGCAGCAACGCACATGTACCAGCCGGGACTGAAGCTGCACATGCGGAACGTGTTGAACTATGGTGGGACGAAGGAAGAGATTATGGAGGTGTTGGAGCTGGCGACGCTTCTGAGTATTAGTACACTGGATGTGGGATTGAAGGTGCTAGACCATGAGATGGGTACCCCCCTAGTCTAAAGTCACTCTTTGATACGGTGGGTGTTAATATGTAGCCTTGGTAAACTTGAAGAACACCGCACTGATCTGCTAAGATGAGACTCGCAACAACTGCTTACACTTGATGGATTGCACCATGCCATAGTTCGATTGTCATGCCGTGCTTGTACAACGACCTGTCATGGCTCGGTGCTCACTCTATCTTAACGGGCTTACAGATCTTTCTACAGGACTACTTGTCCTTCCCGCGCCTACACCAGAAGCAAGCAGTTCAAGCCTCGAAGCTTGAACCCGATGCTTCTTCATAACTTCTACCCATTCTTCTTCAACATGCTGCTCTTCGGTCTCGTTTGTGTCTTCATTTAACTCCGCCCGCAAGTCTTCTTCCAGCACAGCAATCATCATGCTGAAGTCACCACCCAATCTACCTAGCGAACCAGCACAGTACAAGACCTGCGTGAGAAGCGAATCTCGTTGCGATCGGTCTTGTACGTTTGGGAGATATGTTTGCAGAGTGTCGAACAGCATTTCTACGAGATGTAGTGGGAACGTTGCAAGGGCTGATGGTATGGGTTGGAGGGGATTGGAAGTGGCGACTGGCTTTACAGCTGGGGCGCTTTCATCTGATCCGGGTGCTGGCAAGGCGGAGGGGAAGATGCTCTTGTACATGGATATAATGGCGAAACTCTGCTCGCGAAATACTTCAAGGTACTTCTTCAAGTACTTTTCGGTTTGTTGGCCTACCGCCCAGGCGGCGTCGCTCCTGGCGGGACTTGCCGTTCGCTTCTCTGTCTCTTGGTCGGCAAGTTCGCGTAGAGGATGCAATGCGCTGAGCATCAGCTCAAGGCAGACTAGTCGACAAACGAGAAATAATGCGCCCAGCGTGCCTTCTCCACTGCCTATGCCAGCTTGCTTGGCTGACCATGATTCGTCCAGTTCGGGCGCCACGCGTCTAAGCCATCCAATTGTTCGCATGGCACCTGCCAACTTGATGCCTTGACTCTGGAGTGAGCTTATAAGATTGGTGGTCATGGTCTTCATTTCCTGTTCAGCCTGAGCAGTGAGCGAGGAGACGAGTTCAGAGGTGGGGTATAGGGTGTGGAGGCGCTTGATGTGGGCATGAAGATCGAGAGCCGAGGCGTAGTTCGCGTTGGCGGTGGCCGTAGATGAAGAGGCTTGGGCAGCGGCTGTAGAGGAGCTGATGGCGGAGGAGAGGAGGGTGGGCAGGTCGAGCACATCGGATACGCGGTCAATGTTCCGAGATAGCAGCATGGCCTTTCTCCGTCTGTCTAGGATGGCATTGTCTGCCCCTCTGCTGTATTTATCAGAGAAGCTCTGTGCAGCTGTTTCCAGCCTTGGTAGTTCTTCCTGGACCGTTCCTGCATCTTGTCCTATTTGAGCGAGTGTCTTGCGTAGATGGAGCAGGTGGTCGGTCGAGGATATGATGGGCTTGTGTGAGCGTTTCGAGAGGGCTTGTAACGAGCGTAGTATAGATTGCGAGCTTTGTGACAGTGACTGTTGCTCTGAAGACGAGAGAGCGGCTAGGGGCAGGGTGGTGAGGCGGGCGAGGTACGTGTTGGTGATGGCGTCGTTCGGGGAGGGCCGTAGCTGCGCGTCTTGCGCGTCGAAATAGGGTATCAGCAGTTCGTAGAGGGGGTCGGCCATGGTGCGAGGTTCAATGGCTTGTCGAGAGTAGCCGTGGGGGTCTATCGGGCGGCGGGCGGAGGTGCCACGAGGCTGAACCCTGTCACTTTTAGCGCCCTTTGTACTTCACATGCGGCCTCTGCCGCTGCCGCAGGACTCATGGATCGCGACGACTCCCACGCAGACGACTCCAATCCTCCGGACCACGGCGCACACAGCCCCGAAACGCCCACCGTCGTTGAGCGATTTCTTGCTGAACTGTTCCAGAGCCGCCTTCTCATAGACAACTCGGCTGCCGACGAAGCTTCACCGATTTCGCCGCGACCGCTACAATCGAATATCAATAATCTCGTACCTTTCTTCAGCGCCTCGAGTACTTTCCCAGTGCCGCAGAACCCACAGGATACTACACAAACATCACACGATACAACGCCGCACGCCTCGACACGCCAAATGCAAAGCGCGCAGCATGTCGTCTTCTGCGTCGAGGATACCGTGGGGCTCAAGGACGACAAATACAGCGTGGGCATAATCGAGCGTTCTTTCGGCGACGTCGACTCACACGAGCCCCGGCCACAGCGCGACTATCCCGACGACATCGAGCGCCATGCCGACATTCCCCTCCAAGATTTCACAAAGTTCATGAAGGACGGCATCCCACCGCGGGGTACAGTGCTAGTATCATGGCAGACGCAGTACAAGACGGAATTGATACCAGAGGCAAACCTGCAATTGCTGGATCGTGCGCTGTACGTGGGCGACGTGGTAAAGAGAAAGGCGAAGGATCATATGAGCGGTACTGTCATTGGCACACAGGCAGTCTGCACCCTGTTCCCGGCCTCGCTGTTCAACGGCGGCCAAATCACACAAGCAACCACCGACGACTTATCGATACGGAACGTACCAGCCGACGAGCTAATCAACGTGCACGAGTTCGTCGAGGGCGCTTTGGTCGTCTACGGCGACTGGGTGGGGCGCGTAGAGAACGTATATGACGAGGTTGCCATCAGGCTGGCCAACAACTCGGTCGTAGTGGTCGAGGATCCGACTGAGTTGGAAATGGACGACACTACACTTGACCGATTCAGCGTGGGCGACACGGTCAAGACCAAAAAAGGCAACTTGCGGCGGGGACGCTGGAGATTCGGCGCCTATGATCCCAGTGTACCACCTGTGGGTATGGTTGTCGAGACACGACCATCAGATATCGACGTACAATGGCTATCAAGAAGCATCGGCGCCCGCAACGTCGCTTTCAACGCCGACGAGCCACCGGCAACACTTGGCCGAGACGAATTTGAGAGCCCCACCTTCTACAGATACGACGCCTCCGGAGGCACCGCCACCACACTCCCCGTTTCCGAAAACGGAGTCGACAAATCATACCATGTTACTGACGTGGCTGTGGGTGACCGGGTGCGGTTCAAGGACATTGCCGGCGCTGCTGTCAAGTACGATGGCACCAACACATTGCCCAACGGATATCCACAAGGGAAGGTGACACGCATTGCGCGAACCGAAAGTCTAGGCTATGACCTCAACGTCTTTTTGGTCATGCAGACTCATAGTCAAGTCACCGTACAATGGCAAGACTTGTCCATAACACACGATTTGAGCTCTTCACTACTACCGGATCCCAACATAGAAGACGACGATGAGGTCTGGCCTGGTGAAGTTGTCTTCTCGAAAGAGGGACGCGATGGTGACAATACCGAGAAATCAGAGACAAAGAGGCCTTCGAAAGTAGGTGTCGTTCAGACCGTCCAGGGTCGGGACCGAATAGCCACTGTACGATGGTTCAAGAATCCTTCCATTGAGTTCTTTGGCCCAGACCTACTTCCACCCTCCAAGACAGGAGAACTGAGCGATATTGTTGAGGACGTCAGTTTGTATGACATCTACTCTTTCCCAGCCCTTACACGAAGGCGTGGCGACTTCGTACTAGTACATCCCGATTCAATCGAAGGCGTACAAACACCCCTCAACGTTATAGGCCCCGATTGGTTTGGAGAAGTCATAGACTTGGGCCTAGACGGAAAGCTCACCGTTCGTCTTGGCGCTGCGAAACCTGTTGTAGACGTCAAAGTTCCTTACGAGAGTGTTACACTCGCCTACAGCAGCGACATGGCTGATGACTTCGGTAACATGGATCCGCTTGAGGGTGAATACATCGACGACTCTGAAGAAGAGGATGATTCCGATTTTGATACCGCGTCGTTCAATGAAATGTGGATTGAGTACGAGGGCATGGCTGGAGAGCACCCTGTAGGAGACGAAGGAGACTGGTCCACAGAGGAGGAGGACGATGATGAAGATGATGACGATGATGGCGATACTGATGCATCGATGCCCGATCTGGTGGACATCACAAAAGAAGACGTGGATACATCAAAGACCACTCCTGAAGACAAGTCACCCGAAATCAAAGAAGAGCACTCGATTGCCCAGCCCGCTGAAGAAGACGATACAGCGCCAACAGAACAAGAAAACACGGAATCGCCTGCAGATGGACCAGCATCCTTTCTTATCCTCGAAGACGCCCCACCATCTTCTCATCATTACCTCTCCCAATCGTCAGCTTCGTCATCAGCTTTTATGCGCAGGATAGCAAAGGAGCACAAGATCCTGCGAGGTTCCCTTCCGCCAGGAATCTTTGTCCGCACCTGGGAGTCTCGGCTTGATCTTCTTCGCGTCCTTATGATCGGTCCCAACGATACCCCTTACGAATATGCCCCCTTTGTAATTGACTTCCACCTCGGCTCTTCATACCCACAACAGGCACCAGAGGCCTTTTTCCACAGCTGGACCAATGGCAATGGACCCGTCAACCCGAATTTGTATGAAGATGGCAAGATTTGCCTGAGTCTACTGGGCACGTGGCACACCGACGAGCGTAACGAGAGCTGGAGTCCTGCAAAGAGTACGCTGCTGCAAGTTCTGGTCTCAATCATGGGTCTCGTACTAGTCAAGGAACCATACTACAATGAAGCTGGCTATGATGTCCATCGCTCAGCACCAGAGACAAAGCTGAGCTCCGCTCTTTACACCGAACGAGCATACTTCCGCGCCCGCGCCTTCATACATCATGCACTCACACACGAGGTCGCGCCGTTCAAAGACGAGCTACACTACTTATATCGAAGTCAAGAAGACAGCGCACCAAGACTTCTCGACAAAGCCATCGAAGCCGCCAAAGACATTGTTGATAGAAGCGCCGACGGCAGCGAAGAAGGGGAGCGCGATGGGTTGAGAAAAATAAGTCTAGGTGCTCTTGTCATGCTGAAGAGACAGGTCGAGAAGCTAGAGGCTTTGAAGCAGTCGGGTGCATGACCGGGTAGTAGAGAAGGTCTTGCGTCGGGCTCCAAAGGATATGGCTAATGCTGCTATGACTTGATGTTCTTATATTTTTCGCCTCTAAAAGTGGTTTACACCTTACCATTGTAGCGAAATAACGAAGCAAGAGAAATTAAACAATATACTTACAAGTGCCCATCAGCTGGCCTCAAATGTCACCATAAAAGTGCTTAGCACACTTCAAGAACTTTTGATATCGTACGCATCGCTACAGGAAACCTTGAGGCATATCAGGCTATCCTGTCTGTTGATAAGAACAAGTCATGACATTCCTAATCCAGTATACATCTGACGGAACCGAATATCAGACGATTCAAGCTTCACTTTCGCTCACTCTCGTTCAACCATTTATATACCACCCTTGCGTCTTTCCCTTTGTACCTTTCATCTTGCATCGCTTCGCCAAATGCCTCTAACGTCGGCTTGTCCAGTACAGTGCGTGCTCCCACCATCTCGGCAAGTTGGCTACCCATGCCTAGTACCTTTGCACAAAGCTCAATGCGAAATCCGCCTTCATATCCTCTCGAACTTGGTACGTTGGCTTGTATACCGGGTACTGGGTTACTTTTGCTAGTGACCCAACATTGGCCGCCAGACACATTGATCACATCCGTAAGCAGAGCGACGTCCAAGCCCATCTTTGAGCCAATGTTCAGTGCCTCGGAAGCGGCGAGCGATGTGATGGCACTGAGGTAGTTATTAATGACCTTGAAGGCTGTGCCTGCCCCGATGTCTCCACAGAGAAATATCGCATCTGGTTTGCCCATATGACTCAGATATCGCTTCACGGTAGGGAAGATGTCCTCGTTGTTTGCGCCAGCCATGAAGGCTAGCGTGCCATCCTGCGCACCCATTGGTCCACCTGAAACAGGCGCATCTACAAAGGTCAACATCTTGCTTGCGCTGGAGTTCTCCACTGTCTTCGCGACCTCGAGAATCGTTGCTGTTTCGATAGTACCACACTCCATGATCAGCTTTCCCTCTCCGCCTTCTGGTAGTCTCTCTGCACCAGCAACCACTCCTCTTTCCATATCAAGATACACCTTCTTCACGGCATTCGAATCCGGAAGCATCGTTATGACGGTGTCTGCTTTTTGTACTGCATCATATCCGCTTTGCACTATTTCCACTGGGCCTCGGCCTGAGGCGTCTGATTGGAATTTCTCCAGGGCGGAGGTGGATACGTCGCAGATCAGGAGGGTGTGGGAAGAGTCGAGACCTTTGCGAAGGTTGAGGGCCATGGGATATCCCATTACACCGAGACCTGTGGTTCTTCAGTGTCAGAGGAGATGACCAGATACCTAACCTGGAAGAAACACACCAATGAAGGCCACAGTCTTGCTTGGTGAAGACATGGTTTACAGAACCAGTTCGCTTTTCCGATTTCTGTACATGTGCTGCTGATTTCTTATGAAATATAGGAGTGTCTTTCGCAGGTTGTATCTATGGTTCTCGTAAACAGACGTTAGTGTGAACGACGTGCTGAGTAGCGTAATGTTTATTTTGGAGTCGCAGCTGCGACAAGCACACCAAAATCAATGCCCCCGCAAACATGGTACACCAATGATGTTCCACCGCAGACGATCTCGTCAAGCTCAAAGCTCTTCTTGTTCTGACAGGCGCGAGGATCCCCCAAGCCCAGCCCCGCATTTCACCCCGCTTTGGAGAACCACATGGTTCTCCACCTCCGCAGCGTTCATAGATCGAGAGCCGGCTAATACCTTGAACCTCGCCACCGACGTCGATATGCAGTTCCCTCATGTATTTTGGACTTTAGGCCTCCAGCGTATAGAAGGAAATGATGGAGTACCCATGGAAGTTGGAGAAGAGCTAACCAGCCGTGAACAACGGACTCCAGTAATGGACGCAGGAAAGCGCATGGCGCACCTGCGTGCCGGAAAAGCGTTTCATGGCCAATTATGCATAATGCAAGTAAAGACTTGGATCTGGCATCGAATGGAGCTTTGTAAATTGTTCTGTTCCTGTGTACCCACTAGTTCACCTTCGCTTTCAATCTCTCTTCGACATGGCGACAACAGATCTTCAGCGCTCAGTAACCGACGAGAAGCATGAAGAATTGCAGCGCGAATATCTTGAGCAAGATGAAGGTGCAGAAACGATCGAAAACAAGAAAAAGGAGGATGCGCTGCGTCGCAAACTGGATTGCTTTGTTGCGCCAGTCATGATGATGCTGATGCTCATCAGCTATCTGGATCGTGGGAACATTGGATTTGCTGCGACGCAGGGTATGACGACCGATATTGGGCTGAAGGGAAGCGAACTGAACGTACGATAATCCGCTGGCAGGGAACTGGGATATATATCAAGACTGACAAAATCACAGACTGCTGTATCAGTGTTTTACATCTTCTACATTCTCGCTGAAGTACATTCTGCATCTGACACCTTCAGCTCAGCATATCTGATGACATACAGTTTCCGACATCCCTCCTCGTTAAGCGCCTACAATTCAACCGAGTCATTCCCACGATCACCTTCTGTTGGGGTATTACATGTCTTTGCACAGGCTTTGTGCAAAACTTCGCCGGCCTAGTCACCACGCGCATCTTCCTAGGCTTTTTCGAAGGATGCTTGTTTCCAGCAATGACGCTGTTTCTATGCAACTGGTACACGAGAGAGGAGCTGGGTATTAGAATTGCGTATCTTTTCATAGCATCAGCACTCTCAGGAGCTTTTGGTGGTCTTATCGCATTTGGTATCCTCTACATGAACGGAGTCGCTGGGTGGTCGGGATGGAGGTGGTAAGTCTCAAGCATTACACATTTTAGAGGCCCTATCCTACTAACAGGCATCCAGGCTATATGTCATCGAGGGCATCATTACAGTAATATGGGCATTTTGTTGCATCTTCCTTGTACCAAAATCATTCGAGACCGCGTATTTCCTCAACGACGAAGAGAAGACACTCATGCGCCAGCGCGCACATCGGACACAAGCATACTCCGACTCTGAGGGCTCTGGTCATTACGGAAAGGCTGATATTAAAGAGGCGGCGAAGGACATCAAGAGCTGGGTCCATGGTCTCATCCAGATCGCAGTCGTGACGATTCTGTATGGATTTGGTACATTCTTGCCCATCATCATCAGGAATGGGTTCAATTTTTCTACAAAACAGGTATGCTTAAGTGCCTTATATCTTTTAACACAACGCTCACATGGTTAGGCGCAATATCTCGTCATTCCTGTCAACGTCTGGGGAGCGATCGTATATGCGATCGGCGCATATCTGTCAGATCGCTATCAAACTCGGTTCTTACCACTGATCCTGATGGCACCTATTGGCATTACCGGGTACGCCATTCTACTATCTCCTGTCAGCCCGTACGTACAATACTTCGCTACTTATCTTATTGCGACTGCTTGTTTTCTCTGCACTGGCGGGAACATCACCTGGTTATCCGCAAACTGCGCACCCGATGGCAAACGTGCCGCGTCTTTGGGAATTCTACTAACCCTCACCAATATCGGCGGCGTGGTATCTGGTCAGATTTACCAAAGCAACGCAGCGCCCAAGTATACTTTGGGCCATGCGTGGAGTTTGGGCTGTTTGGCTTTTGCGTGGTGCGGATGGTGGATTATCAGGTCGATCTACAAAAGGAGAGAGAAGAGAAAGGATGCTAAACTTGCACGAGGGTATAGTATGCCTGCTGGAAAGCAATACACAGATCGAGAACCAGACTTTAGGTATCAGATCTAGGCAAAGAATATCTTAAGCCGTAATGACGAACATAGAGTACTGCGATACGTGTTGTTGTATGCTTCAGAAACTTTTTGAGGATTTCATGTTACTCATAATCACATCGAGATACACCGCGTCGCATGATAACATCAAAACTGTTTGAGAACAAAGAGGCAGGTGAACAATGCTGTATAAAAATCTATTCGATAATGATGCGATGGTCACTGAGGTCGCTCCCAGCGAACTGTTGCACGACTGCACCATCCATTGCGCCGTGTATATAACAATCGCTTACGAGCTTGTGCCGGCCCTCTTTCGCTGGTGTAAGGAGAAAGGGGACGATTGCACCAAAAATGATACAACATACATCGCCAACCTCGACTAGTCCACCGTGCGGTATCATCCCTAATCGCCCATTTTCTGTCAAAAATAATTTTGAGCCGTCTAATCCTCTCAGACTATGTTCGAAGTGGAGTGCACGTCGTTTTTCTCTTGCCGTCAACTCTACAGTCTCCACACCACTCGAGCGGGCCACACAGGTCTTTTTCTTGTATGCTTCCAATTTTCCTTTTTGACGTTCGTCAGAAATCGACTCATTGGAACGTTCTGCGGGATAGCCCAACTTCAATGTACGAACGATGTCTTCTCGACGTACTGCAAATCCTAATCCAGTCGTTCTTTGATATACATGATTCAATAGAGTATCGATGGGCAACTCGTCTGATTCGCAGGCCGTCGGGTTCGGATGTGTGTAGCTCAAGCCTGTTCTATCAACCTGTATCGTGTTGGAACTCCAGACGACTTTGTCAAATATGAAACCCCCGACCGTCAAAAAACCTTCTTCGTTAGGACTGATTGTTGTAAAGAACTTCGTAGACCCATTAGCTCTGTACCAGTATTTTGGATCCATGATTCGCACACCATGATCTACACGAACATGCCATGCTGGTACCCATGATGGACAACCACTATTCAGAAGACTTTCTCTACTCCTGTGATAAACAGCTGAGAGTGCGAACGGTCCTTCTGTGGGACTTTTCATTAGCGCATGGGCGAGACGAATATAGAGGACGTGTATCGAGGACGTGTAATCTGCGTCTACCAGCGTTCGACCCTTTCCGTCCTTGGCGACTGGACAGCCCAAGAATGCGTAGACGTGATCTCTAGGATCTGTAGCCTGTAGATTTCGAGAGGCGCCAAGGATTCCACATAGAGTGTGTTTTTTGTACCTAATGGCTGTATAGGCCAATCCAGCTCGAGATTGTTGCCATGATGCTGGCCGGTGGGTATTATAGTGAAAGTAAAGTGCCAGGTCACGGCCAAAACGATATTTGATGCTCCCGACAATTCCTTGAATGGTGGCATAGAAGTCTGATTTTCTATTAAGCCACACACATATCTCCAGTACATCGGATATGTCGACGCTGGCTGAACCCCAGAACATGCGGCATTCGGCGGCGACAGCGACTTCCTGAACGGTCCATACTCTTTGGAACCATGAAAATTTGAAGAGTTTGACAACCCCTGACCATCTGTCCTGATCTATGCTGATAGGATAAGGTTCCTCGAATAGTTCCATTCTGGAAGCTTTGTTGCCCGCCTTCATCAAAGAGTACTTGAAATAGGTGTTGGCCTCGCATATTAGAGCGAACGTATCTTTGGCGACATTGTTGACATCGCATCCGAGCCAAACGAGCACGCACTTTGCGTTGGCGTACACTTGACCCATTCTTTTCACCTGGTGTCCCTTCTCTTGGTCATCTTTCTGGTTGATACACAGGGCATCCGCCCACAGTAGTCGAGGCTCGGAGGGATGTCGAAAGTTTCGAAGAGCGCTTGCAAGGCTGGCAGTAATCGGCACCTGCAGTCCATTACACCAAACGTCGACGGTGTGTTTGGCGTCGCCCCAAACGTACGATATCGCCTCGTATGCGTCCTTCGACGTTCCTATCTGAATGGTGTCGAGGCTGCACTGGATGTCGTCTTCGGCTTTGCCGGGCTGAAGTTTTAGAACACGTATAAATTCGCCCTGTGGGAGTGGTTCGTATATCGTGTTGGCTAGTCCTTTATTGACTTTTTGTAGTCGCTTAGCTTCTAGAGGTGGAGAAGGCGACGAAATGCTGCGTTTGGACATCCTTCGTTAGTAGGGTCTCACGACACAGGTTGTCAACAGATTTGTCGTGTCGGTAGGGGGGGCAGCTCAGAAGGAAGGCTGAGGCTGTGCAAGGGCGTAGCTGCAAGCCACCCACGTGACAATCCGCGAAACGTCATGCCCGCCTTTTGCCCTGGTTCGTCACATATGCTCGATAGACGTCAATGGACACCTGCTTAACAGTAACGAGTAGATATGATTAGACGCTCTAAAGAAGACGCTGTGCCCCAGTAGTATCTAATGCTGAACATAGGAAAAGTCCCAAAGCCGTGTATATGCCCAATACCGCCCCGAGACCAACCAGCCTCGTGGCATCAAGGACTCAACCCAAAGAAAAGTGGTATGCTGTGGTATCATCCCTATGCGAGCCAAACACCAAGAAACGCCATGTAACACCCTCGCAACCGACGCATTGCCTGCCGACTTTGCGAAGTAGTTGCTTACGGACAGGTCAGACTCCTCGTCCTCTTGCTATCGCCCAGACCCAGCACCTCTCCTCTGACATGCTTGGGTACCTGAGCCTTGGCCCAGCACTGCATGGCAACTCTGCGCATGAGCTCTACCTCCTCGTCGCGCAGTCTCAGTTGGCGCTTGGCTAGCTTGCTCTTCCTGAGCTTGACGCCCTTTTCCTGGACTGCTTGTCCTGACACAACAAAAGGAACAGTGGGATGTGTCAAGCCACGCTTTGAGACGGGGCGTTCGGTGGTAGGTGATGAGACGAGGGACTCGAGGTTTACGCATTCGGCGATGAGGGCTTGGATGCCGGCGGAGAGTTGTGTTGCGCGCGAGAGCATGTAGCCCCAGATGTCGGAGCCTTCCCAGAATGGGTCGTTGATAACGGCATGCTGGAGGGCGGGGAGAATGTGAGGGAGCGGTGGAAGGGTCTTGTCTTCAATGTCTTGCGGTGGCTCTTCTTGGGTTGGCGTGGCGATGTTTGCCGTACTAAGCAGGCTGGCTGCAATGGTCAATCGGATGTGGCTGTCGGTGCTCAGAGTTGCGGTGACGACGCATGCGGGACATCCACGTGTGCGGCACCAGTCAGCCTCCTCGGTGATGAAGCATTGGAGGCCAATGAATGCGCTGCGCGATTCGCCCGAGAAGGCGAGCTCGAGATCAGAGGCGCGCTGTGTGCAGAGTGCGGCGGAAGCCAGTGTTGACGCGCGGGAGAAGAGGGTCACGACGGGCATGATGAGGGCGTGGAGCATGTCGCGGTGAAGGAGATATGTCTGTTTGGCCTGGGGAGAACATTGCGAGTGTGCTGCGCAGAAGCTGCCATGTCTGTCAGTGCTGGCTCCTCGAATTGATGCTGTCGTGAGGCTGGGGCAGGAATGTGGAGGTGGAGAGCGATACGGCAGCGCGATAGATAAGCTTGCTTGACGCGGCAAGGGAACAACATACTCGGCATCTCTGGCCAAATGCCTCCTCAGCGCACAAAAGGCCTTGGAAGTGCCCAGCGCCTCGACATCCTCATGTGGGATCACAAAAGGGCTCTCCATGGGTGCAGCGTATCCGTAGTCCATCGTATCTCTCTGTCGGCGTGGCTGTCTCGCTTCGCATCGGTATGCAGTCGGTCTATCTCGAGTCGGCACGAACAAGCTTCTTTAACGAACAAGGCTAAAAAGCAAAACAAGAGGAGAAAGAGGGGAGCGAAGCAAAGCAAGCAAGATGCCAGGGAAAGAAGACTCGACGTTATCATTATTATTAGTATTCCCTGCAACGGACGCCGTTCCCTATTTCACCCCCGAATGACGCGAACGAGCCTCCCTCATGCCAGGAGTCCCACCCGCTGCTGCTGCCGGGGTGGATCCCATTGTAGATCTAGACTTGCATATGGCGCACCCCCCTTTCCTTATCCGCCCACGCTTGTGCATTGCCCGTATCCCACGACAACTCTATGTAGCCAACTAGCTGGCGCCAGATGGCTTCACTGCCGGCCGGGGACTATCTGCGTTTCGGATTCGGAAAGAAAACGCGGCGTTGGCAGTTAGTCGTTGTAGCGCATCAACAACCTTTTACTTTTCCACCGACCTATCGACCGACCGACCAACTTCACCCTCGCCGAAAGGGGTCGACTGTCTCCGTTGCGTCTTCGTTAATTTGAGGGGCGCCATGTTGCTTATCTCATACATCCACGCGTACGTACCCTCGACCTTCTCGCGCCTCTTCCCCTAAGCCAATTTGCGAGCATGATCTTCAAATGATGCAACCCAGCTTCACCGACCCCGACCGCACTGAGGCCGATCAAACCGCGCATCGCGATCGCACGACGCCCACGTCGTGAGTACAGCAGTTTGCTGCCAAGGACGACCTTGTCTTTGCTGCTGCAAACCCCACTGAAACACGTTTCGATAAACATAGTCCCTAGCCCGAGTGTTCGCGAAGCCACTAAAAACATCGCGACAGCGTTGACTGCCGCACTATTGGAATCGCGTAGCGGCAGAATGACAACATCAGCTGCGCCATTTCTCCTCATTCTGCAGAGGCCATGACAGCATCGCTTACACCTCAAGCACGAGGAATACAAAGGCACGACTGAGAAGGAGTCGGTTATGTTGCTGAACATGTCGTCTAGTTTATGAAAAATGGATCCGAATTACGCGTATCACTTGCTGTACCGCGGCTGTGGTCGGTCTCATCACTCGTCATGGTACACAACATGCTACATGATGAGCGATGAGACGATGCCATATTCTGTGGGACCGAAAAACACTCGCGACATCTTCTTAGTCAAGTGTTTTGGTGACACTGCCATGATAGATTCAGGTGCGAGCTGAAAGTACGAGTTTGCTGACGATAACGTTTACGCTACGGGCGACGGGCGCTCCCGTGATCGACACTACAGCACGATACATTCCCATTTTTCCCGCTCTAGATACACTATCTGCTGTCGTGGCGTAAACCATTCATCCTACTATTCCAATGACGCTGCCCAGCCAATATTACTACTGCTCATGTCCACAACTCTAGTCCTTGTTCGTTTTCGTCACTTTATCCTACGCGTATCCACCTCCACAGCCCATGACCCCCTACCACGTGTATGTGGAGATGCACCAGCTTGCAATCCATTAGAATGGTTGCTAGTCAGGAACGGCTGAAACGTGCAATCGCGCTATCGATCAAAATCTTGTCGCGCAAGCCGGAGTGGTGGCCGTTGAAGCATGGCGCCATATATAGCAGCATGACAGTTCCGTGTCGCGGGAAGCGACCCCAAGCTGGTGTAGACTTTGGATCTATCGGACTTGGCTACTAGTATACTGGGTGCCATGTACCAGGTTCCAGTTAGTCAAGTCGGCACGCGCGTGGTACGCATCTGTATCGCCATCTCGATAGTGATAGCTCCAACGAATCGTAACGTGTATCTGGGTCGATATTGCCGTCCAAACCTTCTCTGCCTCATTGAGTCGTCGAGAAGTGGAGAACATAACAACTTGGACGCTTCCTTCACCTGAACCAGAAAACCGAGTATGATCCATCGTTGCTAAGGATGCGCCGTTGGGTGCTGTCGGTGGCCTGTTTTCTTCCAAAAGGGTCCGTAAGGAGCATGGTAAGCTTCTCGGAAATTGGTCCCATTTCTTGCTTCGATACTGGTACAGGTGGGCTCAAAAGGCTCGGGTCAGGCTGGAGGATAGCGAAGATGCTGCTCTTCGACCTGCCGACCATCCGACGATGGACGTCCAGCAAATGATCGTACAGCGGCCAGAGGGTGTCCAGATAACGCGCCGCAACAGGTTCGCATGGCTTGCACGGCTCGAGCATTTCCATACACGATTTCGCATACGCAAGATCTGCCTCAACACTGTCAACCTGACCATCCATGAGTTTAGTAGTTGCGCTGAAGAGGAGGCAGATAGCTGCTGAAAAAGACCAGTAGATGATGATCCAGCAGCGCTTGGTCAGTGTCCCATCGAAGGAGATTAGTCCCAACATGCGAGCAATGTTCTGAGCTGCCATTGCACATTCCTGCCGATATCTCCTGACATCTTCGACCGATATGTTGTTCAAAGGAGATGGCGTGCTGTCGATAAGCTGGGCTTCAGCCGATGCGACCAGCAGCTGGCGATATAACAAGACTAGTGCACCAAGATACATGATATGTACCATGAATACTGCACGTCTTTGGTAGACTGTCAGATCCTGGGCTTCGCTCGAAAGAAGCGTTGGAATTTGTAACGCGTGTGGAATCTCCTCGCGCCATTTCTCCAACTTTGCGGCAAGCATCGTGACGTTTCCCTTGGTAGTCAATTCAGGAGAGGCCAATGTTTTCGCAACCTCGGCAGCGATCAAGTTGATCTTGCTAATTTGCATATGTATGAGCTCGTCAATGGGGAGCTGATCTGGATGGTTTACAACACAGGCAATCTGGCTATATTAGTATCATGGTCACCAAATTATGTGCCTAGCGACATACCTGAACATCATTGGTTGTCACCTCGGAGGGATAACCAAGGGTGTAACAGAGCCAGGAATCCATGAACACGAGGCTACAGAAGATCTTCTTCCAATTCTCGTCCGAGGCTGAGCGAGACCAAGCTTGCGCAGACGGACACTTCCAACGGGCGATCTGCAATCCCGCAGCTGTGGCTTGTTAGCTTGGTGGCGCGGTTGTCAAGAGGCAATGAACATACCAATCAAGTACTTGGCGCTCATGTGCTTCTCAAGTAGCGAGTAGAACGACAGAGAGAGCAATAGACGCATTGTACGGAAGTAGTCTTGTCTCGCAGTCTGCTCATTGAACTGGAGCGTTCCAGATGCGTATAGCAGTCGTCGCATGCGGTCCGGGAAGGCATCAATATCGTAATGTGCGCCCATAGCCGCGACCGTAAAACACTCAGCGAGCGTCATCTGATCCACCGGCTTGTGGGGTCGGTAGATGCGGTCAAGTATCTCGTTGACCTGTTCGTAAGTCCACATGAAGAGAAGCGATCCAGTCCCTCTCACAAACGCATACATGGACCGTCGAACACGATCTTCAGGAGGTAGAAAACCTTGATTGAACTGTTGAACGCCACCTCCGTTGAGTATTTCACCTCTGAGGGTGACCAACTCACTGAATGCGAGCGTCAATGCGTTATGACATGCTTCTGCTTCGAGTCCACCCGATACACTGGAAGATTGGAGCGAGACAGGACTGTCTGAGGAGATTGGGCTGGCACGTGAGTATGGTCTAGTATTGTTAGAAGTATCTGTCGTTGAGCGACTGTTCCCCGGTCGTTGTTTGCTGGAGACTGAGGTTGCTTGCTGTGTCTTGAAGTCGTTCAAGTAAGCTTGATACTTCCGCCAATTATCTGTTTTCTTGTATTCGTCCATCTGGGCTTCAAATTCTTGCATAGCTCGGGCGGCATTGCTCTCCCATACCCGCTTCTTCTCTGCAGGGAGCTCCTGCCATCTTCGGCCGACCTCTCGAGCTATATCCACAAAGGACAGTTGGCTGACCTCAGGGTCGGTGCGGAGCTGGTCAGCGAAGTTGACATCTGACGGCATGTTAGATCAAACACCGATGGTACTTTCGTAAGAAGAGCGTACAAGCCGTTTTTGGCTTCTTTGGCGCGTTTGGATCTGCCCGAGGATGTCGCCTGTACCTCCTCTTCTCTCGTGGCGGTGGGGTTGTTGTCTGTCTCGTGAAGCTTTCCAAAGCGGACGTCGATAAGGAAGTGGGTTCTGGTGAATTGGCTTCTGGCCCCAGCGATAGTGATTGAGGAATCCCACGGTACGTGGCAATCTCGCGCTGTAGTAATCTCCTATGGCCAAGCTTGAACTCGAGCGCCGTCAGATCATCCTCTGTAATGTCTGCAACACTCTCCCAGTTATGGAAACCATTTTTGGATAGTACCTGAGCATACTGCGTCAGACCAATCCGCTCCAGAACTTCGGTGAGGTCTGGGATGGGGGGACTAGAAAAGGTAGAGATCGCCATGATGAGTGACGTCTATGGTGGGAGAAGATGGGAAATGGGAGAAATGGCATATATGAGGGTAGCCACACTGCATGACAGATGCCGCGACTACGGTCTCACGGACAGGCAGAAGCTGAGAAGGACGTTATAGGATAGCGCGCAGTCGTGTCTGGTGGTCTGGACCGTGTAGATGAAAAGAAGTGTGTTCGAGGCTCTCACAGCCCCGACCCACTTTTGACACCCGCCTGTGGCAGAAACCGGCTGCTGCCACTAGCGGGAAATTCCATGGGAATTCAAGACGCCGCCACACGGTGCGTCCATGGTATTTGTATCCTTCCATGAGAGCATTGTTCATCGAATCCAAAAGCCATATTATTAACTCTCCGGGTCTTCTTCTGCCACTACAATTGAGAGTTTTAGTCTCGTTCAGTGCAGAACATGGCATCCCGTTAGCATCGCGCGCTGAGTCCAGACCTCGCACCTCGATGCAAAGACAACCATCAGAATCATGTGGCCCACAGACTCACCACCAGGACGCGCTGTCGCTCAATTTAGCTATCCGCGTCTAAGAGACAACATACGATGCTTCTGTACTATTTGTGGAAGAAACGCTACTCGAGGAGTTCAACGTTGACCGCCTTCACACCACTCAAATACCTGAAGCACCTCCGGAATTGCTTTCCACCTCCCTCTTCCAGTCAGAAGCCATCATCTGCACTGCAGTGTCCCATGAGCGTGTAACGAACGACCGGGGGCCGCTGATCGAAAAGCTGCTCGACGATCGTGTTCGTAAAAGCAACCTGGGAAGGCCTAGACTACTGATGAAGCTCCGGTACAGCGGCGCAGCACCTCGCCAGTCTTCTAGCCCGCCCACTCGGCTTCCCACTTTCCATGTGTGTCTGCGCCACAACTCCGCGCGATAATCAAGGGATATGCCTTCCCGTCAATCGGCACGCTTTCTCCACAAGCTTTTGCTGATCTCAGACATCGTAGATCTACACATCCCGGTCATTGGTAGATGGCATCTGGCCTCCACACACTGAAACAAACAGCCTTGCAACTGTTGTAGCACGTGCGCGAAGATCCGTTCATGATCCTGAAGCATGCAGCCACTTGTAGTCAGGCTCGTGCCTGAATCACACAACGATCCACGCTACACAAGCATTAGTATTCAAATCGGAACGGACTAGCACACCTGCCTTTGCACAGGAGGCTAAATGGTAGGCTTTCTTGCATTGGTATAATTGGTACTTGGCACGACAATCTAAGCCTCGTGCAAACAACTGCAGATGGTTCTATAGACAACGCTCTACTAACGCATTGTTGTACGCATCATATCCATCGAACAGAAACCACATTAGCACGATATCCTAGACGCTACAGGTACTTCTGCATAAGCTCCTTGACTCGACTCAAATTTAGCCCTTCGATCTTGTTTCCGTTGCCTTCCATCGTTTCCGCCATACAGACCACGTTGTATATAGCCTCTTCCACCACATCGGCACTCGCCTCGAATAAGGCATTGATAGTCTGGTCGTCAGTCATCTTTACTGGCACTTCTCTCGCTTTGTACGGATCGACAGAAGCTTGGCCTGCTGTGACAGTCTGAACGTGCAACTCGTTGGCTGTGGAGAAGGCAAGGAAGACATCGCCTGAAGAATTCGTGCCATAGCCGCCTACGCGTGATAGTCCAACGGTTGCACGTTTAGCCAGTCGTTGCAGTTGTTGCGGATGAAGCGGAGCGTCTGTGGCAAGGATTATGATGATAGACCCGTCTTTCTTATCCTTCTCTTTCTTCACTTTAAACAGCAAATTCGCTTGCGCCATCAGATCTGGGTCGTCAGGATTTTCTTCGATCTTACGCTTCTGCTCCTCGTAGATGATTCTGCCAATCGGCGCGCCTCCAATCTTGAAGTCCCACATCTTGCCGTAGTTTGCTTGAACCAGTGCAGCCACGGTATAGCTTTTGCCATCTTCACCCGGCACTACACGAGAACTCGATCCAGTACCTCCTTTGAAGTAATGGCAGATCATACCCGTACCACCTCCCGTGTTCCCTTCTTTTACTGGCTCGCTGCTGGCTTTGTCGATGCCATCCACAACGTGCTTCGGGGTCACAGCGAACTTGGATACATCGTGCAAGAAGCCATCAAAGGTTTCCGCAACGACAGGCAGCAAGAACCAATCGACCTTGCCGCTCTTGTCGCAGTTATCACGGATGGCGGATTCGTAGATGCCGTTATATGCTGAGCCAACGCCGAAGCTACCCGTGATGATGATAGGAGAAAACAAGAGGCCCATTTCCTCGATGAGGTGAGCTCCAGTCATCTCTCCAGAGCCATTGAAACGAAATATGCCTGCAAAACAGGCTTTGTGAAACCAATCTCTGCGCGGCAGAATGGTTGTTACGCCTGTGTTGATGTCGTTTGGTGGTGCGTCAGGATAGGCGGGCGATGAATGGATGGATTCCGTATGCACAAGTACACCAGGAACGTCTGTCAAGCTATTCTTGGGGCCAGGCTGATAACGGCCAAGATACAGCATTGGCAACAGATTACGAATGCGCTGGCGTGGAGTACCAGATGCTGACAGAGAAGACATGATGGGCTGGTTTCTGTGATTGGCAAAAGCGATGATCGTATGTTTGAGATGAAACTTAGAGGAGAAGTGTAGGGTAGATACGTGGCAGCCTGGATGCCTCACAATACTTGTACCTTGTCTTCAACCATTTACCCGCCTATACCAAGCTCACAGTCAGCGGGTTTCCACCTGCGCGCTTCTTGCAGGCACCAGCATAACATCCCTCAGAAGGGCGCAAGGCATGCGAACACCTAACGAGGGCGCCACACGGATGAAGAAGCTGCATCTGGCAGGTACGAAGGACTGTGGACCAATTTTTCGTCGGGGTTCGCGATGAACTTCATTGGACCATGGGGTTACTCGCCTTCGAGAGGTGGTAGATGTATGCTAGCAGCGAAGGAGCCGTGAGACGAAAGAGTCATACACGACGATCCGCTCCTTCGTGCATGATTAGCGTAGTGGCTGCTAATCGGGCGTCGCCCACCTCCTCATTTCTGACTGTTCTCACCGAGTATCGACTGCATCTGAATGCGACAGCTGTCACGGGTCATCATGACTGCACATGACACAAATTGCGAGCGGACAGACTGACGTGCGTAGTGAGCGGCCATTGCGCCCGCACATATCTCCGAACCCGTTCACGACTCAGCTGCCAAGGCCCGTCGAACCGGTTCCTGGATAGCGTATCTCCAACACCACAAGCTTGACCTTCTTCAGTCGACTTGATCTCCGCAATATGCCGTCTCGGGGTTATCTGACGTAGTCGGTCCGCTGTAAGGTACCCCCACCCTTGCAATAGAGAAGAAAAAGGCTGAGGTTCTCTTTGGAGGTTCTTGCGACCCAATCTTCATCACCAACCCGCAAGATGCTCACACGATTCCTTGCGGTAGGGCTCCTGAGCCTCGTGAGGCCTGCCCGAGCCAGCTATGGATTCTATGTCGGAAAAGGTCTGACCCAGGATGGTAGTGTCATGCTAGGTGGAACTGGAGAGGAAGTGTCTTCGCATTGGCTTCAGATTTTCCCAGCCAAAGATCACGCCCCGAACGCGACGATTACAGTTGGGGTAACCGAAGATGCATCGATGCCTGGCCAGTTGATGAACATCTCCCAAGTACCACATACCTTCCGTTATCTCTCTATGGAATACTCCGACTTTGAAGGCTTCCCCCCTCCTCTAACGAACGGCGGCGTGAATGAGAAGGGCGTTGCTGTTCGGGACATCTGGGCTCAAAACCGCGACGACCTCATTGCCATGACGCCGAACCCTCAGACTGGATTGCAATACTCCGACCTAGCTCGTATTGTGATGGAACGGGCAAGCACCGCTCGCGAAGGTGTCGAACTTATCGGCCAGATGATAGCAGAATATGGATATGCCGATTACGGTGGCAATTCACACCTGATTGCAGACGCGAATGAAGGATGGGTCGTATGGCAGATGTCAGGAGGCAAGAAGCTCTGGGCAGCAGAGCGCCTAGGAGAAAACGACGTTCGCGTGCTCTATCCGGGCTACATTGAGGATTTCCCTGTCGATTTCCAGAACAGTTCAGACTACATGGGCAGTCCAAACATTGTGAGCTTCGCTATCGAACAAGGATGGTGGAATCCGAATGATACCGAGCCATTCAACATTTTCAATGCATACGCACCTCAAGAGGAAGGATACACCGCTCGCGACGGAGGCGCGAAGTATATGTCGCAAGCCGCTCTCGAGGACGCTACCCGCGCGATGGCTCCCGTGACGGAGAAGGATCTCATCGAACGCGTTCGCGATTACCGCATCTCGGACGACGAAGCCGGGTATGGCCAAGTTGTCTCTCTCCGCGCAGACATGGATCCGGATCTGATTCGCATCTGGGTTGCACCGACTGGCTCTGTGACGGCACCTTTCAATCCGTGGTGGCTGGGTGTGACGAGCGTTCCACCTGAGTATGGTCTGCACCGCTATCTGTACAAGGACGCCGCCTCGACTTTCTTGGATACCGACTACCAGTACCAGGAGGCCACGCACTTTGCTGGTCGCATCTTCAAACAGGTGCTATATTACACTTGCTCGGATCCGGAAACATACCTACCCATTGTTCAGAATATGTTACATGGATTTGAAAACGCTTCATTTGCGGACATGGAATGGGTAGAGCGCACTGCCAAGACATTGGTTGACAATGGAATGCGCGACGATGCACTCGAATTTCTGACTTTCTATTCGCATACTAGGGCGGAGAAGGCATTGGCTTTGGGGAAGACTATGGTAGACGCGCTCGATGCATATGTCAAGCTCATGGGACAGTTCCGCATGCCGACTGGTGACCGCATCAACGACCCGGGACTTGGAGCTGAGACTGTGAACTGCCTAGTCGGTTGGGATCCTGATCAGCCAGCTGATAAGCAAAGACCGTTGAGGAGGTTCAGACGTCAGCTTTGAGACCATGATAAGAGTGGTGTGAGACAACCAAGGTCTTCATCGTAGTCATGGAAGAATTCGAGTGACATTTACACTGGAACTTGCTTGTGTTTAGTCGTGGAAAGATGCAAGTGACTTTGTGTGTGCTGTTGAGTACCGTCATATAACGTCCGGGTGATTTGATTTGCAGGTGTTGATGATGCTCAGTGGCGAATCGCATGTTGCAGCTTACTAAAGCCATATGCGGATGAGCCTCGGCGGCCGACCCGCTTGAGCTCCGTATGGCGCATCCATGCCGCAAGCTGTCCTCCCCGCCACAGCATCCACCATAGCAACTCGACTTGACGAACTCCCTGATCTGATCTGATCTCCTCGAGCGCTGCCGTAGTGTAACCGATCGTATACTAGAAATCAATCTACGAAATTAAACCCCGCCACCATGCCCGGCAAGATCATACCCGTGACGTCGTCTTCGCACTTCTCCCAGCTCCTCTCGCAGTCGACATACACGGTTGTCGACTTCTACGCCGACTGGTGTGGGCCATGCAAAGCAATCGCGCCCGTCTTCCAAGGCTTGGCAGAGAAGGAGACCAAGCCTGGCAAGATGCAGTTCGTCAAGGTGGACGTGGACAGTCAACAGGAGGTTGCAAAGAAGTACGGCGTTAGCGCGTAAGTGTACCACCACGGACACATATAGGGACTGGGAGCTAATGTCCATGGTGTAGTATGCCAACTTTTCTCATCATCAAATCCTCATCTGTAGTCGACACCATTCGCGGCGCCAACCCTGCCGCCCTCACAGCCGCCGTCCGCAAAGCTGCCAGCGACACATCTGGCCCAGGTGCCGCCTCTGCTGTTTTCCAGACCAAGGGTCGTACACTCGGCTCAGCTTCCGAACCTAGCCGGCCCGTCGGCGAGAGCCTGTTTGCCAATCTACAAAGGATGCTGCTCGGGAACGGCGGACTGAGCGACTTGGTCGTGAGGTTCGCAGCGCTGTACTTTGTCAGCTTGTTCGCCTTCGATTCATACAAAGCCGCAGAAGAGAGTCCCTTCAACGTCCGTGCAAGGCGATAGATGATAGCTGGAGACGGAACGATTAGTCCTGGAGAGCAAGTCGGACAACGCTCCACAGGGGCAGCGAGTTCCGCACCTCATCGGATATATGGCGTTTGGAATAAGAGCATGGCGTTCATGGTATACCATTTCGAGTCTCAGTGCCTTTTCAACACAAATATTGGCTACGACACCATTTACACAAATCACCTTAGATTCATCTTTAAATCTACCAACTTCTCTCCCGTTGCGTCATGCCAAACGTGTTGGCTTCTCTCTTTTGCACTCGTTCACGAATCTAGTGTTTTTCTTCGCACGCCTGTCGTGATATAGGAGTATGCTGGACCCCGCCACGTCTATATTGGGAGCGAGACAGTGCCCCCCCTTTAGAACGTCATAGCAGCCGAACTGTGGTCTGCATGCCTATGATGCTGAGCTTTCACTTTATCAAGTATTGCTGGATGTCTTCACAATTCGGTCCGCCGACGCTCTATAGATTGCCACAATCGGAACTTTACGCGTGATGACTTGAGATCATGTAAGTGCAGCAAACGTGGCACAAACAGCCATGATATACCACTCAAGTATCTTAACACTTGATTTCTTCTCTGCGCCAAGCATCAATTCGCCAGATCCGCCGACCATGCTATCCACAAATTCAACACACTTCACGCCCGAAAAGTACGATGACGCCTGGGAACGTGTCGACCTTGAGAGGAGCTACAAGAATCTTTACAGTGAGTATACCTTTCTTTCCGTGCAGCTTTCACGCGCCACCCGCCCTTTCGGAAGAGAGCGTACGATCCACAACCTACTGAATGCACGACTAAAACTTGAGCATGATCTCAAAAGCCTCAAAAACAAGTATCAAGAGGAGCAAACGGACTTGCAGCGTAATCAAGCAGGGTTGAAGAATGAGCCTCAAACGGACGAAGTAAATTACGACATTGTAGCGGAACTCCGCAAGGAGCTCCAGAGTAGCAAAGATACACTCGAGGATGTTTTGAATGGGATCAACCAATCCCAAGACACTAGCGGAACGGTCCGACTCATGAATGATATCGTGCAGTTGCGAGTTGAGAAGATTAAGCTGCTTGAGCGGCTGACAGACTTGGAAAAGAAGAAAAGAGAACTGGAGAAAGTGATTGACAAAACCGAAATTGGGAACTTGTTGCGACATATACGGCTAGATGAGGAGGAAGATGAAGACAAGGCGCAGCTGCGATTGTTGCTCAACCAATCTATGGACGAATGTGAAACATTGAAGAAGCGAGTCGAATATTATGCAGAGCTTCTGGGTTGAGCAAGGTACACAGACGCGGAAGCTATAACGGCGGCTTGTAGCAAAAGGAGCAAGAATCTTCGAGAGTATCTGTAATCTGGTGATAACATTATCGCGTTACATTCATCCTCATATCCTTCCTTTGATGAGACCACCAGGTCTGTTCCTCGTTGGATGCACTGGTGTATCCCCAATGTCCGCCATCTTATCTTCCAGCAACCGTGTCATATGTTCTACCACACCCCTGTATCCTGCATCGCCGTACACGTTGAACAGTTCTAACGGATCTTCCTGGCAATCGAACAGCTCCCATTCTTTATGCTCGGCATCCGCTGGTCTCGCACCTTCGATCCCAAAGTCCTCATTGTACCAGTAGATGAGCTTGTATCGCTGGTCTCTCACCCCGTAATGCGCATATGCCGCATGAATCATGTCGTTGTGCATCCAGTACCGGTGGTATGCAACTTGTTGCCAATCCGAAGGTGTCTGGCCTTGTAGCAGCTTGCGGAAGGATACGCCCTGCATATAGCTTGGTATGCGCAGACCCGCAGCATCAAGAAACGTTGGCGCGAAATCAACGTTGCAAATGATGTCGTCGCATACGGACCCTGCTTTAATCTCCTTGGGCCAGCGTATCAAAAACGGCATCTGGAAACTCTCTTCATACATGAAGCGCTTATCGAACCAACCATGCTCTCCAAGGAAGAAGCCCTGGTCTGAGGTGTAGATTACGATTGTGTTCTCTGCAAGGCCCTCTGCGTCCAGGTAGTCTAGCATTCGGCCCGTGTTATCGTCAATAGATTGGATGGTGCGAAGATAGCGTTGCATGTATCGTTGGTACTTGAACTCGGCGAGTTCTGCGGGGGTTTTGAAAGTAAAAACGGTTCCGTCGTCTTTATCGAGAAGGCGCATCTTGGTAACATCTTCAGGGTTAGGAATCTTTCGATCATCTAGTACCAAAGTCAGCACGCCGAGAAGTAGAAACGAAATGGGCTGCGCTCACTCCACCAGTATATATCGATCAGTTTCTCACCGACTTCGTTGCCGCCATCTGGCTGGACCAATCCCAAGTCATGATATGTGATGTCGTCTGCAATGCGCATCTTTGCGATCCTGGCAGCCCTGGCTCTATTCTTGTAGTCGTCTGTAAAGGTGTCTGGTAATCGAACTGGATCTTTGTACAGATGCTTGTGCTTCGGATCGCATTCCCAACTACGATGCGGCGCCTTGTGATGGCACATGACGAAGAAAGGTCTCGATTTGTCCCTGTTCTTGATAAAGTCCAGGCTCTTCTCGGCAATGATATCTGTTGCATATCCTGGAACCCGCTTTGTACCTGATGGCTCGATAAACATAGGATCGTAGTACTCGCCCTGCCCAGGCACAATACTCCAGTAGTCAAAACCTGTTGGCTCGTGTCCCTTACCTTCGCCAAGGTGCCATTTCCCCACCATCGCTGTCTGGTAGCCTCCAGCTTGCAGGGCTTTGGCCACATTGGGAAGGCGTTCATTAATCTCGGAGTTGAGTGTCATAACCAGATTGACGTGGTTGTGGGTCCCTGTCAAGATTGCAGCACGCGACGGCGTACAAATACTGTTCGTCACGTAACAATGATTGAACAGCATGCCCTCTTTGGCAATTCTGTCAAGATTCGGGGTGTGGTTGATGCCAGCGCCGTAGGCGGAGATCGACTTTGAGGCGTGATCGTCCGCCATCATGAAGATGATGTTTGGGCGGTCTTGTGTCGCCATCGTCGGTGTAATACTGAGAAAGCTTTTAACGCGCGCTCACTTTCGTAATCTCTGTCAGGATGGTAGGAATAACTTGAACAATCATAAATGAAGGAATGGTGGAAGAAGGGAGATGTCATGCTAGGGCACTACGCGTCTCTTAAACGCGTGATTAGCCGTCATGCGGACGAGCATAAGCCGCAACTGGCTCGAAGAAACTCGGGAACGCATCCTGCACTGTCTCATCGGTAACGCAAACTGATAGTAGCTTGGGCGCAAGAGAGCAGACGGGCTGAGGAGACACGCGATGCGGAGGTCTGAGTGGAGCGATCCCACGCTACGGGTGTCGGGCTCGTCCAAATCTGGTAACCGATGCCTGTCGGTAGCTCAACCAAGTGAGAACTCGTCCGACAAGACTTTGGCGCGTACCACATGATCTTGAGAGAGTACCGCGACTCATGTGGTATCGGATATCGTCATTATGGCCAGAAGCACGACTTGATCGCTGGTTAGGCGCGACCAACCGGAGCTGCAAACGGCCGACAATCCTAGGTGGCTTAATGAAATCCTGCAGGACATCTTTGCATCCCCAGATTTTGCCCCAGCTTCCATTACCCGCTTGCCGAAGAAGGCCCAATGAGGCTTGACCCAGTGCTGTATATAAGGTCGACTAGAAGCGATTCATACAGATATAACGCAGTTCAAACGCTGCGGAAATCATATTCCATTCCTGCCCAGACAAGAACGAAGCACGTTGACAGACTCTGATATTATGGCTCCAGATACCTCACAAGAAGAAAAGAACACGATGACCACGATGGAAGTTATGGAACCAGATAAAGACATTACAGGGTATGAAGACGAAGCTGCCCGAGGCACAGAACAGGAGAAGACAATGCCTCTGAAGGCTGCCTTCAAGTATTATCGAAAAGCCGTGTTTTGGTCTATTACTATCTGTGAGTAAGCGGGGTTGTGATCTTGTAACTATCACTTACGTTATCAACAGCCATGGCCACCATCATGGAGTCTTACGACATGCAGCTCATCAGCTCATTCTACGCATTTCCCCAGTTTAATCGAAAGTACGGTAAGCAATTGCCGAACGGTACATGGCAGGTCGATGCAGACTGGCAGCTGGGTCTAAGTCTAGCGTCACTGATCGGTCTCATCTTTGGCGTGTTTGCTAGTGGACACCTTGGTGATCGCTACGGACCCCGATATGTCATGATTGCAGCGCATTGCTTCCTGGCTGGATTTGTCGCTATAATCTTCACAGCGCAAAGCGTTGAGATACTTTTTGCAGGCGAGTTGTTATGGTATTTGATGGCACCCAAACATGATGTCTGGAGAACTCTAACAAGCGTAGTGCGTGTACCTGGGGCCTCTTCGCTGCAGCAACACCGACATACGCCGCTGAGATCGTCCCTATGGCACTAAGGGGATACCTCACGACATACGTCAATCTTTGCTGGGTTATCGGACGAATCCTTGCGACCGGCGTTCTTCGAGGCATGCTACCGGTGCAGTCAGAGTGGTCTTTCAGAGTTCCGTTCGCGCTCCAGTGGATGTGGCCACCAGTGTTGATTTTTGCCACCTGGTTCTCACCAGAGAGCCCTTGGTGGCTCGTTCGCAAAGGGCGTATCGATGAAGCAAGGAAGACGCTGGACCGCCTGGTAAGCGCACCTTCTGGGATAGTTAACAACGACCATCGTCTTGCCATGATGCAGCATACCATTGCACTGGAGCATAAATTGAAGGTTGGTGGATCTTTCCTGGACTGCTTCAAGGGCACGAATCTGCGCAGGACGGAGATTGCAATGCTCTCTTGGGGCGGACAAATACTTCCTGGCTTCATCATCCAGGGATACACGACCTACTTCTTCACCCTCGCCGGACTTGCTCCAAGCGACTCTTTCAATCTTACGATGGGCGTCTTTGGTATGGCTTTTGTTGGCACATGCGCGTCGTGGTTCTTGCAGCCTCGGATGGGGCGGCGCACCATCTACATTGCAGGTCTAGCCATCATGCTGCCGATCATGTGGATTGTTGCTTTTCTCGAGTTCGCACCAAACGCAGGCAGCAACTCCAGCATCAAATGGGCACAATCATCCATATTAATGATTTGGTTCTTCACCTACGGTAAGTATAAGCTCCTGATTTCGGATACTTGTCAGAGCTAACGCTGTGCTAGGCATAACGATTGGTCCAATTCCTTATGCTATCGCCGCTGAAGTCGGCGCAGTACAGTTGCGCTATAAGACAATCGCTCTTGGTCGTAACATGTACTACTTCCTTTCCATCGTCAACGTCGTTATCTCGCCGTACATGCTCAATCCGAGCAAGTGGGATCTTAAGGGGAAGGCCGCGTTTCCTGCTGCTATATTGAACGTGTGTTTGTTGATTTGGGCCTACTATAGGCTACCAGAAACAAAGGGCATGACACCGGAGACCCTAGATCATCTGTTTCACGAGAAGATTAGCGCTCGGAAGTTCAAAGCAGAGGCATCCAGGTTCCAATAAAATATCATGGAGCGCAGAGTCGCCTGAGTTCGAGAACATTAAGGCGCGAGGATATGGAGTCCATGTAACAGTCCAGTAGATTGCATTCATTTGCGGTATATCAGTCCACAACCATGAGGTGATTACAACTAGAAAAGTATTATCATTGCATTCATGAATTGGTTTACGTTAATGACAAACCTGAGAGTGAGCAGACAGTCCCGGGTTGTACTTCCAAGATCCACGGACGCGCTCGCTCTGGTTGTGCCTCTCGAGGATTGAGAGGACTGGTGCCACTGACAGCTGTCCGGGTCGCACTTGATGAGTGGCAGTCGCAGTTGGGTGATGACTCCCTAATCGTCGTTCAGAGCTATACAAATCACGGTGCTTGGGGAAAAGGCGACGAGTTTTGATGAGCTCAGCTGTCGACTATGTGGTAGAATGGATGGGATTGAACCTTGCAGACGTCAATGTCGTCGGGCTTGCTACAGGCCTGTGTAGTCCGCTCCAGTCATGTGGCCAATCGGCGCTCGTAGATGCCGACAGCCGGACGCTAATTCCTAGTTTGGCTTCATCCACTCTTCGCCATATGCCCCCTGTTTAGACACATCCAGCACGACTCGTAGGCCCGTACCGGATCTCAGTAACCGATGGTCTTGAGAGTATGATCACTGTCCGGAACTGTTGTGTTGCTACCATGTGGTGGTGGCTAGGATCTTTGGTGGCGACAACTCGCTCGGAAATTTGATGATAACGAAAGACTTGGTCCCACCTAGCAAACCTGTTCCGGCTGCAAAGAACGTCCAAAATGGTAGCCTGCGCTCAGTGTAGGCAAAGAAAGGTAGTGATTCTCGACTGTCTATACAGTAAATGCTTACCTCAGGTTACAGGTTCGATGTGAAGGCGGACCAATTAGTTGCGATGCATGTAAGCGACTGGGGTTTCAATGCTCCTTGGGCCTTGCTACCACCCCAATCGCCGACGTTGGCAACCTACTGGTGGCATCTCGAAAGCGAGGCACGCGAGCATGTGATGCATGTCGTTCTCAGAGATCGCGATGCACAGGTGAAACTCCTAGCTGTCGACGCTGTCGAGAGCTCAACCTTCCATGCAACTATACGCTTTCGGTTCGCCAATACCGCGCTGGAGAACGTCACAAAAGAAGTTTGGTTTCTGTCGAACAAGCTGTTAACCAATCGGGAGGGGATGATGTCGGCAGGGCAACGCATGGCACGCCGACAACCGGGAGTGAGGTCACTGCGAGTCCAGATACTTCTTCTACTGAACATATTGACAAGTACATGAACTCACTCAATTGAGACTATTATAGCTAATGGACCCAGAATTCTTGGGTGCGATCGAGCCGTCATCCGACAACATATTGACGCTTATTACGACTACATCTATCCAGTCCCAATTTTCAGCTTCTTGCATCGAGCAGAATTCTTGGGACAGTACACGGCTGGCATTGTTTCACCAGCGCTGCTTCTTGCCGTATGCGGTGTTTCGTCGCGCTTCTTGCCATCTGCTAGGGAACGAGCCGGCATGATCAAATCATGGATCGAGCAGGCTGAGACGATCATATTCCAGAATATGGGGAAAATGAATATTGCTGATGTTCAGGCGTTGATGCTCCTTGAGCTGCATTGCATGTATAATCACCAGAACGGCAAAAGTTTCACTTATATATCGTTGGCAGTCAGGATGGCTTACTTACTCAAGCTGCACAAAGAGAACAGCCAGCTGCCATTTGTTGAACAGGAATCTCGACGGCGGCTCTTGTGGTGCATGTTTGCATTGGATAGACTCCATGCTGGTGGTGTTCCGGTAAGTCTACGCCCAAGACGTCAATCTTCAGCGTTATCCGCTTGAAACTCTTCTGTAAAGAGGGCTCGGCGGATTTCGCATGACTTCACTCACTTGATACTGAATCAGTGTTGATTTGACAGCAGGAATACATCCTTCTGCCCGCGACCTCGGTACAGGTACAACTTCCGTGCCCAGAACACTTTTTCCAAATCGACACTCCTGTCGCGACACCACACATCCATGAAACCCAAGCGGACAACTCCAAGATTACACCCGCGGCGTTTTTACTGCGTATCTTCAACGCCCGCAACCATGTACTCCAGTAAAGCTATCCGACTATGGCCCTGTGTCGAGATTTCGCTAACATGGCAGGTATACAAAACAACTCCTGGACGCTTCGCTTAGCCCGGAGACTTCTCTAGCACAGTATCAAATGCTTGAAGGAGAGCTTAGGGAGATACACCAGTCTTTGCCCGCAGAGCTTGTGTTTAGCACACGTGCCTATCAACTCCGGACGTTCTCTCCCGAGCGCACGACTTTTACTATTCTACATCTTTACTTCCACCACTGTCATTGCGAACTTTATCGGTTGCTCAATCCAGGATACCGCGAGGCTCTTCCGCAATCGGTTATCTACTCCAGTTCACCCGAACTCGTTGCATACGCGCAGTCGAAATGCCTCGAGCACGCAATCTCCATAGGCGAGATCGTTGCATCAACCTACGGTCTGGTGGAGGTCAGTCCTTATGTCAGCGATACATCTTGCTTCGTTATCTTGTATCAGGCCTCGTGTGCTATACTCTACGCATGCCACCGTGACAGTCCTGCTTATGTCATGAAAGCCGAAACCGCACGGCGATACCTAGTCGCATTCATCACGACATTGCAAAGTCTACTCTCTTACTTCCCAAGGTATGCTATATACGTCAAAGACATCCGTAATATGCTTCGTAGCATTGACGAGCCGAATGTACCGCTCCCAGCTCAGAAGGCGTCCAATGAGGTGGACTTCCGCGCACGTATAGTACCTAGCGAAGAGAATTCGGATGAGGACAATTTGGTCAGCGAGATTGCGGTCTCTACTTCTAACGTCAGAGACGATACAGCGCATTCTACGTCTCAGACCGCTGAGGTGCCCGTTGGACCACTACCAGAACTCGTGGAAATGTCGCTTCATACACCATCCACCCTGGAAGGACAGGATCATTCGTTCGCTGATTTGGAGACATATCAGTACAACCTGGACCTTACAATGGATCTTGATCAGGGCTTGCTGTGGAACTGGGCAGATGCTTTGGGATCAGGCTTTAGCATATGAGTTCGATTGGTGAAAGCTCGTCTCAAACTGTTGCGGCATGCCAAGAATACACCGTTCGTTGAATGATATGTATGTGCGTCCATTGGTGGAATACGCTATATAACTTCCGCCAACGGTTCATCATTCGAAATTATCTACACCTGAAGTTCTACCAAGTCTATGCATAACCTTACATTCGATTACAACTAATCACAGCACTGGCTGTACAGCTCTTCCACAGGATCACTAGAGTATATGGGATCGGCGAAGCAAGCATAATTGCAGCAAATTTAAGAAATTTACCAGTTCCTAGGAAGGTTCATGTGGCTACAAAAAACATATATCGTTACCTAGTACGAGGATTTTCGCTTGCTAGACGAAGATGAGCTTGAGCCACTTGACGTGGGTCTGTTGCCAGCAACCCCGGCCTCGTCCTTCTTGCTCCGGACGACACGCTCACACCAGGAGCACCAGCTTCTGAGCTCACCTTTGACCTCGCGCTCGAGATATTGGATCGACTTGGTCTTCTCATCTTCGTATAGCTTGACACACTCTCCAACGCGCACCTGTTTCTTGTGTTTGACTTTTAGTACCCCGCCGATGCCTTCAATCTCCTGAGTGAGGTAGCAAGAACCCCTCCAGCGTTCGGGCGACTCTGGAGTTTGCGATCTCTCGATAGTGTCCAAGAGGTTCTGCTCGCAGGTCTCGTGCTCGACAATACGTGAACCCAAGCACGCACTGCCTCGCCCGCACTCTACGCCCTCGATACCCTCGCCAAACCCAACGCCTAAGCCGCCCAGCATGCGAGTGTACGTCGTGCGATAGCTCCAACCGCGGACATAGTGGGTGTCTGCATTTCGCAGGTCCTTGCCACATGGCGCGCAAAGCCAGACCACATTGTCGCAATTGCAGGGCGTACGTTCGAAAGCTGGGGCTGTGAAGGCTCTCGGTTTGTCACCGTCAAAGAGCACTGGATGTGTGTCCGGGGACCCAGGTGGCGACGACGACGACGACGACGACATTGACAACGTGCGCTGCTTTTGTGCAGCCATCAGCAGTGGGAGGGGCGCTTTGGCGCATGTCCGGCACAGTCGACGATGGCGCGCACGGAGTGTGGGCGTTGGTGGAGGTTTCATAGTGCAGTTCTACGAGGCCCGTTAGCTTCAAGCCTCTCCCTGTATGTTCGAGCGTCATACTCGGCACACAATATCTCCACACCGCTGACAATCGCCCACCATATCGCGTGCGCACTTCCCGACGCGACCAGTCGTCAGTCTATTCTCCAGGACCATACCGTGTCGCCCCTCTTGCAGTCGCGACTCCAGCTTCTCGCCGAGTTCGCTGTCTTCATTCTCGCAATGGAGTGTGTGCTTGACAAGTTGGCTGCGATACTCGAGTAGGTTGGCGCGGAACTGCCTGCAAGTACGCGAGAGGTCATGCAGCGTGTTGAGGTCGAGCTGAGCGGCGAGCTGGCTGACTATCCTGTGTGGTTAATGTGGTTAGCATACATCAAGGCGTGGAGTCAAGTCCATGCTATGGCTGGAGCTCACGAACGGATAGCAGCTCAGTGCCTGGCTGAATCCATTGATATTCGGGTTCGGCCTCTCGTAGCCCGCCGTCACGCTCCCTTCTGTCGGCGCATCAAGAGAGTGATACAACGGCTTAGCGTTAAACCGGCCAGAAGACGGGTGGGGATTCTCTAATGAGGTCGGCTCATCGTCGTCCAGATCAACTAAAACCACCATCGTGGGCAGCCGCAGAACGAGTGTGCAGCATCGAAGCCACACAAGGCTTGTATGTTCAAAAATGAGAGTATTGATGGATAGAGCGATGCCGGAGTCATGACGAACTGGAGACACGCTCCGTCGCGTTGGTGGGGCGCTTGGCGTTGCGCGGCTTTGCTTCCGTTCCACAGATACGCGTCTTTCCCTCATCGTGACGCTCGCAACTGTGCTACCTCAGAATCACGACTTCATCACCATCAGGTGTGCTTGTTTGCTCACGGGTGTTCAAGACTCCACGCAAAGCGGTGCTGGCACGCTGGAAAAATTAGTAACGAGCCTTACAGGGCTTCATGAGATGCAACGCAACCGTGAATGGGCAATATGTTCATATAAAACCACTTGAGCTCTAGATTTGAACTCTTTCTAAACTCTAGGACGAGCCGAAGGTGAATTCGGGAATCTCGATATCTGTGATTGTCCATGTCACACCACCATCACTTGTCGACATCTCGCCAGTGACACCCTGAGCTTTTCCCATGGTCTGGTCGTAGTTGGGATCCGCCTTGTCCAGTGTGATTGTAGTATCAATCCACTTGTGTGCCGCAACGGTACCGCAGTCCTCCGCAGCGCACTCGACAGCGCTGCCCCATCCCATAGCTTGGCCGTCGTCGGTTGACAGCGTGGACACTTGTCGGCCATTGACTGAAACGATCTGTGTATAGTTGCCGGTTGCGTCGTCAAACTTGTCTATAATATATCATCAGCGACTGGAAAGCAGAATGAAAGATACCTTTAACTACTCACAGTACATGGTAATCTTGTCTGCCTCTTGTGCCCTCTCTCCTTCCGTCTGAATCGGCATTTGGGTGGTCTCAGATGTGCTCACGAGCGTGTAGGCGTATATGTCCCAGTCATCTGCGTTGACATTATCCGCGATGGATTGGATTAGGTCACCATTCGAAGTTCCCATTCCAACCCATAGTGCAGTATCGCCTGACGATCCAGTTGGAGCCTTCGGGAGTACGAGTGTCGAGTTGGCTTCACGGATCCAAGAGCCAGTTCCAACAGGACCGGTGCTAAAGGCTGGTCCGAATGCCGCGTTCACCGAAGATGTGAGCACAGCAGTGGTGAGGACGGAGAGAATTTGGCGTGAAGATGGCATCTTGATTCGTTATTTTTTAGCGACGTATCGTGTGTTGTGAAAGTATTGCTTAGTGGTGTGGTGGTACAGATAGCAAGAGAGTGATCGCCTTTGAAGCTTACACATATCCAACCTTTTATGGGCTTAAAACAATTCTCAAAACTGGCAGAGGTGGAGTTGGTAGACAGGCCTCTCGTTCCTGTCATACGAAACCCATCGTACCCTCGAACATCGGTGCATTGCATCCGACCAGACTTGAGCCCTCAGACCATTCTTCGAAACTCGAGCTCGGAATATTTAGTAAATCCCCGATACATTGGTTGAGTTCGTGTATATGTGGAGCGTTTTTACACAGTCACGCATCGTCTCAGAGGTGGAAATTCTCGCGCAAGCTCACTCCGACCCTGGTATCAATGTCGTGTGTTTCACAACTGGGACTTGCTGTTGGTCTGTGGGAGTGGGTCATTCGTTTCAACTACCGACGAACCTTGCGTTGCGTCATAGCCAAAAACCACGCCCCGAGGCCCTCGATGTGGCCCCAATCCACCGTCTACCTTTCCAGGGTTGGACAGTCACGGTCCTTCCTACAGGCATTCTCTCGTTCTCGTGGTCACGGTCATCATGCCGGATTTGGGCTACAACATCATGGATTGCGTCTCCATGTCTTCGCATGAACTTGTAATCCAAAGGAAACTTGGGCCTTCGTATGCTTTCACGATTCCTGACTTTAACGAGTCAGTGTAGTTTCGGTCTGATGTAGATTAGCATCGCAGGTCGTAATTTAGCTTTTTCGGTGCTTGATTACTGAGATATCACACCATTCTCTTCAACAGACTGTCCTGTCTTGATGCATGCTATGCAAAATGGCCTGAGCGACTGAAGTGTTTTTCAATTACGACAATCTGGCGTTCTGCATCCATAGTGTCTCGCAGCTTAATATTGCATTGCTGGATCTGCTGTTAGAAGATTTCTCCCTGCTACCGACAGTCAATCAAGCGCTTGAGTTGTTGATCTTCCGCAATTGTAGCTTGAAGGGCGTGGTCCGTAGTAGACATCGGTTCAGCATTGCTTGAGTGCAAGATATACAGCTCTAACCTGCGGCGGCTGGGCATCACGGAGAGTGCGATACTGTTGCACTGATAAAAAAAAACGAAAAGATCTGGATGCTAGTCATTGGCCTGGCGATGTAACAGCAGATTGTTGAGTGAAAGAAGCAAAAATGGTGCCGGCTGCGGGAAGCGCCTTGACATGAACCGGGAAGAGCGCGACGCGTCTCGATCTTCCCCACCTGGCATGCATGCATGCCACGGCCACTTGTGGGCAAACCACCGCAGCGACACAACGCTCTTCCGAGAAGCAGCTTATGTTGATGGCTGTGCCTGCATTGATATTGTTCCAGCTCTTGCAACCCCTCACGCTGCGGCGGCTCGGCTTCGGCTCTCCACGGTGCTGGCCGAATCGGGAGTCTGCGATAATGAGTAATGACGACACAGCTATCGCGCTCATCCAGTCCCGAACACATTAGAAGATACTATCATGAGAATCCTGCGATACGATATACTGCTTTACGGTACTAGTCTCGCGGGCTTGAGACCCCTTCTATCCGTAGTACGCGGGCTGTATCCGGACGCTAATGCAACGACCCCATACAGGCGGACATAGCATGCAGCAGCCTGACCTAGGCGTAATCTTTTACATAAGCAATGTGTACAATACAGCGATGCGAATTGTTCCGTCTTACTCGCGGCCAGGAAACATCACAAAACTTCAGGCCTCCATCAGCTTACAGCCCATGCCAGGCGGGTATTGACCACTGCTTTTATGAAGACCGGTTTGCATCAGTAGCAAAGCATAGCAACAACGTAATCCCTTGTCCAGGTATCACCTCGAACTTCAACAACGCCTGGAAATATGACCACATTCCTCCTCCGCGATATCCGCATCTTTACTGGCGAAGAGACCATCGACGAAGGGTTCATTCATGTACAAAATGGCAAGATCAAGGCCCTCGGTCGGATGAGTGATGCGCCGCTCGATCCAGTAAAAACCTACTCCAAACCAGGACATACTGTTCTTCCAGGGTTAATTGACTGTCACATCCATGCAGACAAGGCCGATCCAGAAGCCCTGCCTCAAGCTCTACGCTTTGGTGTGACTACCGTGTGCGACATGCACAACGAGTTAGAGAACGTACAGAAGCTGAAGAAGCAGACCATGGAACCCGACACCGCTTCGTACAAGACAGCAGGCCAGGCTGCTACTATTGAGAATGGCTGGCCTATACCCGTCATCACAGCCCATGACAAGACTCCAGAGACCGCAGCGGCGATTGCGAAATGGCCAAAACTGACGGATCGGGATAGCGTGGTGGAGTATCTAGAATGGACTGGGAGAGAGATGCAACCAGATTACATCAAACTCATGCACGAGAGCGGAACTGCCATGGGTCAGAACTTTAGCTATCCTTCGGTCGAACTGCAAAGTACGATCGTTTCAGAGGCCAAAAAGCGGGGATACTTGACCGTCGCACATGCTCTATCCATGCAAGATACACTCGATGTTCTCAATGCAGGTGTCGACGGTCTCACACATACGTTCCTCGACCAGCTGCCGACCCAAGAGCTAGTAGATGCATACAAAAGAAATAATGCATGGGTCAACCCGACACTTGCTGCGATAGGCAGTCTGACGACTGAGGGAAAGGAACTGCAGCATCGATTTGCACATGATCCCAGGGTGGAAGGATTGATCAACGAAGATCGTGTAGGCAACATGTGCAGGTGCATGGGCTTTGCTGCTGGGAAAGGGAAAGTTGAGATCGCATATCAAGGCGTGAAAAGATTGAGAGAAGCGGGCATCGACATTGTGTGGTAAGTGATACTTTTATACCCAAAAGTTCAAATTGCTCACAAGAGTTAGTGGAAGTGATTCCGCAGGTCCTGCAGTAGGGACAGCATTTGGCTTGTCGATGCATCACGAATTGTACCTCCTCGTTAACAAGGTTGACATGACACCTGCCGAGGCTTTGCGCTCGGCCACAAGCCTGATCGCCAAACGCTTCAAATTCACGGATCGTGGTCGCCTGGCTGAGGGGCTGAACGCAGATTTGTTACTGGTAGAAGGAAACCCACTTGAAGACATTGATGCGACTCTAAATATCCGCGGTGTTTGGCGGGAAGGCAGTCTTTGTAGCACGTATCTTGCAAAGCTTGAAGCTGGTGTCGAGCCATTGATGGGTTGATTGGGCAAACCAGTGTTTACTGTTACAGGGCTTGGCTTTACGCTATATAATCGCTCTAAAAACCGAGTTATACTTCCATGTTTTTCAGTTCTGTCTAAAAGACAAAGCTACGAACGTATTCATGTATTGTCCACAATTTCACTGTATATGATTGCTGAACGCTTGAAGACAAAATAAAGCCATCTATGAGTGTCACTCTAGAAGATACGCGATGTTCTCAACATCGAGGAGCGTTGATTACGAAGCACGTTTGGGCGTCGCGCTTCAGGTGCCGGACGAAATTCCGTCTTTTATCCCCGTGCCGTCCGCCAACGTCATCGTTGTCGGCAGTCTGACTTCTCCATCAACGTGTGAGAGGCAACTCCTGGCATCAAGATACTCCCTCAAGAAGACCGCGAAGATGTCTCCATCTGTAAGATTAAGTTCCCATCTCTAAGCATTGCAGTTACCATGACGACCCCAGAGATTGTACTAGACTAGCCCTAACCGCTAACACTTGCAAGAGCACCAGCCATGATTTTGCTGAGAAAGACGGCCAATTTCGTCGGAAACCCTCAGCGTTCCGTAGCTTCATTTCTTCTGATCCAAATTCGGAGTTCCCAGCAGAGAAAGATCGATACGCCCTTTACATCCACATGGGCTGTCCTTGGGCGCATCGCACGAACTTAGTGCGCAGTTTGAAAGGACTTGAGCAGGTTGTGCAGTTGATTGTGTGGGATACCTCTCTGGTACATGAGAAGAAGGGATGGGGTATGTCCGGCAAACCCGGGTTCGAGAAAGAGCCACTCTATGGTTATACAAACTTGAGGCAGCTGTACGAAAGGGCCAATCCGGACTACGAAGGGCGTTACCTCGTCCCAACGCTGTGGGATAAGAAAAGACGTGAGATTCAAGGGTTCTGACGCATCATCAATATGCACTGACTTGCTTGCAGAGACAATTGTAAACAACGAGTCTAGTGAGATCATCCGGATGTTTTATACCAAGTTCGATGCGCTCATCCCAGAACATCTCCGAGAGTCGAGTAAGGGCGACAAAGCTATCTTGCCAGACCACTTGCGCAAGGATATCGACGCCATGAACGAGTGGGTGTACGATACCATTAACAATGGCGTAAGCAATATCCCTGTGCGAACTGCATATGAAACATACACTGAATTCATGAATCTACATCAGGTATATAAGACTGGTTTTGCGCAGAGTCAGGAGGCATACGAAGAGCACGTCTACCCCGTTTTCGAGTCTCTCGATCGGTTGGAGGAACACCTTTGTCAATCAGGCCACGGACCGTATTTGTTCGGCGATCACATCACTGAGGCAGATATTAGGTTGTATCCCACACTCATCAGATTCGATGTTGCATACTTCACAATCTTCAAATGCAACCTAAAGATGATCCGGTATGAATACCCGCAGCTTCACGATTGGCTGCGCAGGTTGTACTGGGATGAGAGTGAAGCGACAAACTACGGTGCTTTCAAGAAGACAGTTGACTTTCAAGCGGTATGTACATAGACGAGCGAAAGAGGTACTTGTTGCTAACTCACTTCTAGTACAAGGAAGGATACTCGAATGCTACGAAGGCGAAGATCGTACCTGCAGGACCCAAACCTGAGATCATGCCCTTATAGATCTTTCGGTCTCTGCTACCGTGGAGAACAACCAAGCAGTTTCTGCGATGGAGTGCGCTGCACTGTGTAGTGGCAAAAGGTAAGATCATGCGAGCGTAAAGACCCTTCGGAGAGCGGCTGCTAGCGTTCTTACTGCTTTTGGATTAGTCCCTGACCAGCACCCCGTCTCCAACCTGCCTTCTTTCTCGGTCGTTCATTTCTTACACCAGACGTACGGCAACCGCGTTTTCAAACACTGTTGTGCAATTTTTTTGTCATCTATTCTCGTGACGTTTTTTCTTGGTACAGCCGGCAGACATATCTCATTACAAATGTGCACAGCACTATGCAATTTCCTACTCATTACTCATCTCGGTGCACTGATGCTTACTGCGAACGCCGAAGCAGCGAACTGAGGATGCCTAATGTTGCACATTTGAAATCTAGTGAACTGTACATTGGTGACCATAGTCAACGAAATTGATATATTAGATGAGACATCCCACGATCATGGCGATACCACGGCACATTCATCGGACCTCCGCATACTCTCTGATGTTCAGTACCCACTCCGATAAGCACTCGTGACCACGACAACTCCTTCATAAGACCATCTTCCAGGTATCTGAAGTGATATCTTGACGATTCAAGATGCCTCACGCCATCGCCGACGTCGTTGATGTCTCGCCCAACCTTCACATACGTTCCAAACTGAAACCAAAGTCGCAGAGTCGCGAGGCGAGATCCCTATCAATTCAGCTAGATCGATACCAACTACACTACGAAGACTCGCAACTGGCGCAAACCATCCACCGGCAGCTGTCAGCGATGTTGAAGAACGCCCAGGGACCAATCACGAAGGTTTTATCGCTTGGTCTAGGTAGTCTTCTGGTTGCTAAGGGACAGTCAAGGCGGTTGAAGCAACTCGTCATCTTGTTAGCAATCCGAGACATCCTGCGACAGATACTGGACATATCGATACAAGTGTACGCCCAAGACCCAACATTCACGAGAAAAGATGAGTCGTTCTTGGAAAACTTGGGTATCCGAATCCTTCGAACGCCTTCCGGTTCGGAGCTCGGCGAGGCCTCGATTGTTCTCGATACTTCAACATTGGTATATTCACCATTCCTAACCCTGGAAGCATATGGACAGCTATTGGGAGACGAAAAGTCGGTGCGATATCTATTTGGAGATGACTTCGATGCGTTGTTACATAAATGGCCAAAACAGAGTGCTGAGCGGATGGAGGTAGAAGAGATAGTGAAGAATGGCTTGGGATCATATCGGAGAAGACCAGTTATTGATGAAGATTTCTGGACGACGGAAGATAGCACGTTTCCCATGGCCATATATGAGAGACCAAGGAAGAGCAGGAAGAGAACGCAGAACGCAAATCTATGAAGAAAGACTATTCGTTAAGACACATTTCATTTGACCTCATTGCAAACTTTTGCCAAACTGGGGATCTTATTCCTTCCTCTGTAACTTGGGCTGACGCTGTGTCTCCTGTGATAGATATGGCGAATATTTCATAAATTGCTACGACAGTGTGTTTTGGTGGATCGACTTGAGAGGCATACCAAGAAAGTAAGAAGGGCTGCGACGAGAAGAATCATCAGAACTGCGTGTTGAGTTATCAAGTGGATCTAAAGAGGGAGAGGTGTAAGCTCGAGGCACAACCGTAGCTGGTTTGCCAAAGAGCGTCACATCATCCTAGGTCTGATGACGCGCAAGTCGGTCCTAGCCTGAAATCTGTTTGAGTCGAGGCGGGGTATTTTTCTGCAGAAAGGCTTTAGACTGCTCATGCTGTTGGACGAATTCTTATCAATGGCTACGACGTGCCCGATGCAGAGATGCGTCGACTACCTTGGGCTTCCTGTCTCCACTATGTGTATAATGCCAGATTTAGGCCGGTGGCTTGATTACACTCCAGTAGAGCTGCAGCGACGATCGTATTCTTTTTCGCTTTGCGAGCGCATACTATCGGTACGTGATCTTGTCCGGCAATGGTCCTGCTACCATGTCCATCCGCGGCGACTCTATCGCATCCGCCTCGACGGGCCCTGGAACGTCCTGATGTGTTTGTCCAAATATGACAGGTTGTGGCTTCGCATAGTGTTGCCTCGTTTCTTGCGCAAAGCCTGTGTTTACGTCTTCAGTGCCTTCGACCTTGCTGTCCTGTCTGCTCACAACACCATGCTCTCCGAATGCGACAGGGTCTCTGCCCACCCAGCCCGTGCTTCTCAGCTTGTCCGTTTTCTCGATGACCTTCCTGCAGACATCGCGGTGGGCTTGCTCCATCTTGCCCTTGACAAACGGCATTAGCCACCATGCGCAGCTGACTTCGACGTCTTCGACGAGCACCCATTGTGCATCGCCCACGCCCATGCCCTCGCCCTCGACCTCGCTGCCCGCCTCGCCGTTTGCAACGACTCTAAACTCTGCCCTGACTATGACGCCTGCCGCTGCATCAGCGCGCGTCTTTATGCCCTGCCTGGTGTCCTGGAAGCAACTTGGAAAGGTAATGTACTTCTTCCCATACTGCCCAATCCCGGGAAACAAGGTTATGCACTCGGTGACGTGGTATGTCGTGATGGGGTATTGGTCGGGCGGGTACCAGTACGTGTCTTTGAGGGTCGAGGGGGCAGTGCCGGGCGCTTTCTCGTGCCCGCAGGTAAGGGCTTGGAGCGTGAGAGCTGTCTCGTGGTCGTGCAACGCGGCGATGACCCAAGCGGGGGACATGTGAGGTGGGATGTGGTGCGCCACGTGTAGGTTGTGTTTTGCGCTCATTGTAGAAGCGCGTTTCTCGAGACGCAAAGAGGACGAGGTTTAGGAGACCAGAACTCGTGCTCGTCGGACTAGTAAGACTGGCGGTATAGAAAGGATGGTGGTTTCGAGGCCAGCTGCGAGGTATTGAAGATGACGATTAACGACTACGATTACTACGTGCTATACAAGGTGGGTATCAGTGTCTTCACAGGATGTCAAAGGAAGAAAATTAAACGGGGAATATGTGCGAACCGCGAAGCTGCAGGGCGAGTAGCTGATGCATATTGCGTTGCTGACTGAGGCGCTTCTATCTTCAGCGCTGGAGCTGAAACAAAAGCATGGGTGTGACGCGACAAACAGGGTCCGGCAGTAAACGTCATCATCGCGCTGCCCTACTCCGTAAATGGCAAAGATCCATGTTCAAGCCCACCATCTTTCCAAAGTCGACTCTGGTAATCTGTGCGCGTTGGACGTGAATCGGCCAAGATCACGTAGCTGTTGAAGGTGTGATTGAAAGCTAGCGATGTGTTGGGACGATTCAGAGTAATCGTGAAAAGACTGCAACATTAGGACGCACTGCCGAAAGAGTACGCTCAAACGCCTTGGTCACCCTTGGTGGCCTATATAGTATAACGAAACCCGGCCTGCCCTTCATTTTCGTCCATAGGCTCGCCGTTCGCCCTCTGTCGATCAACTACCTTGTTTCTCCTCACAAAATACGTAGTAGTGCAGCACAGCACTAACAAAATGTAAATTTGGAGGCCGGTTGTCACCCAAAGCCCAGTAATGTATGTGGGTGCCTCCGTTTGCTTGAACGTCGTCGACGCGAGAATGCCGCCAATTGCACCGAAGCCAATCTGAAGAGCGCTTCCAACGGAACGCTTACTTTGGCCTCGAATATTGTTGCTCTGATACGCAAGGATAGCCGGGACGTTGCCCTGGCAGCCACATACCCCGAGGAATGTGCCAAAGTACCTTGCCCCATTGTTTTCGGCGTATGCAACTATCATGAGGCCGATGATGGCAAGGACTGATTGAGCGGCGATGACGGGAGCACGCACACGGTACTTGTCCCCTAGCCATGCGAATCCGAACGCTGTGATCATTGCGAACAGACTGGGAGGGGCTGAAAGGGCGTTGGCTTGCCCAGCAGAGTAGCCCATGCCGAGGAGGATGACGGGGAGGAAGTAACTGAAGGCGTAGGCGGGCATCGTCGTCGACATGAAGAGCGTGGCGTACGCCCAAAGCCTCAGGTCCTTTAGATGTTGGAAGAACTTAGCCCAGGTCAGAGGATCCGCTACTGAGTCGCCACGATCGTCTTCAATACGCTGCATGATAACAGCGGCCTCGGCAGACGTGAGAAAACCTTTCTTTTCGGCTTTGTCAGGAAAGTCCAAGATGATGAACCAGGCTGCGATTGCAACTAAACAGGTGATGATTCCTTCGATTATGAATATCCTGAATTTGGGTATGTGAGGTCAGCACATATCTCGCATACAGTTCGTACAGGGTATATATTACCATCTCCAGCCTCGAATATCACCGACACCTTCCATTTGCATAAGGCCGTATGCAAGGATGTTTGCAAGGCCACCAATACCGACTGAGAAGAGATAGAAGCCACCAAGTCTGCGTGTCCTGTAAGATACTGCTACCATGATACGGGTTAATGAGGGTCGCATACCGCTTTTGTGTTTCATAGCGACGGTACCAGCAAGTGATGAGATATACACATCCGGGGAAGAAGCCCGCCTCGAACGCTCCGAGCAACACACGGCATATGGCGAGCGAAATCCAACTCTCGACGAAGCCCTGTCCTATCATGACAGCGCCCCATGACACAGCGATAAAGGCCAGCCAGTTGGCACTACCAACTTTTCGAAGAACGATGTTAGACGGAAGTTCGAGCAGGAAATACGTAGGAAAGAAGAGGACCAAGACGATGGTATATCGATCACCGATCTGGAGGTCAAGATCTGTCCCCATTCCAGCAACACGCGCATTGGAAATCTGACAATTCTCTGCTCAGCAAAGTTTCCCTGAACAAGGGGACTAGATAAGGATTTGAACTCACGTTTGTGCGATCTATCAACGCGATAGAGTAGAGTGCACCCAAGATTGGTAGAAGTCTCCAATCAACTTTGCGAATCAACCTCTTCTCTTCAATCTGATCGTAAGCGTAATCCGCGGCATTGCTGTCTGTAGCTGGCGGGCTGTACGCTTCCTTGTGAACAGTGTTTTGCTTGTACTCGTCATCGCTATTCATGGTGGGCAAAGGAGTACTGGTTTAGTTTCTCCTCGGGAAGGATCAAAAAGAAAGGAGATCGTCACAAGGAGACGAGCAGTTGTAGATCATTCTGGCAGTCATGCATCCACTTATATTGATAAGACAATGACGCCTACCGAGGCAAGTTTCGGATTCCAAGCAGAGCGCTGTCTTTAGAGGTCTGGAGGCTTCGTGGCTGGGCATGCCGTGTGTTCCATTCGATCGATCGTATAGCTAACGTATATCGAGCCTAATGGTCCCTTCGTAATTCAAGTACAGATCCATAGGGGTCGAATAGACGAGGATCATGGTTCAATGAGATCTGTACCAAGCTACCAGAAGACCCGGACCTGTAAGAAAAAAAGTCTTGGACAAGGAGAAAAGCCCTAGAGAGGATACTGCTCCTTGTGCCAATCGACCCCGAAGTGCCAAAGTTGCCTTACCTCGCGGGGTTACTGTCATGCCGAGATGCCAACACCGAGAGTCGTCCAATGATGATGGTAGGAGAAAATGAGCGCAGATCTCATGTCCAATAAAAACACCGAGCAAGTCAGTGCTCAGCCTGTCTGGGCGTGCAACGGCGGGTTGGGCATTTTGCGGGGTTATTCTTGGGCCGTCTTGAGGCTCTTAGCCATGTGGTGGGGTTTCCAAGCGCACGTTTGGGGCGCGTGCCGGCGGCGGAACTATGGAATGACAGCTCTAGTATATCACATCGTGAAGACGGTGTCATTAGCGAAGAGCTGTTGATAGCTAGTTAGGGAGAAGGCGCAAACAACAGCTTGGTCGAATGTCTGGGCTCGACTATCTTCAGTGCTGTTCCGACGACATTGAAGGCTTGCATGGGTGCCGCGACATGGACTTGGGGTAGACAAGAAGGACGCGGTTGGGGTTTGCGGAAGATGAGAAGGGAAACGCGGAGGTTTAGCGCCACAGGCGCCTTGGCGTGGAAGGCCCGGATGTGAAAGGAGGTGCTCATGTCCGCACACTCTTCTGTGCACTACCATCACTTACGGGCCGCCACTCATCACCATCGCGAGGCGCTTGGGACTGCTGTCTCCGCAGTTGCGCAATGCGCTGTCATGACCCTTCATGACGTTCTACACAGCGTCATGAAGCCAGTATAAGCCTGTAATAGCTGGTTTACATCTACCACATGTATTTGTAGTACTCGAAGACCTCAATACTAATGATCACAGAGATTTGAAATAACGCTTGCAATCCCCAATTTCTTTCCTCTTGTCGTTTTGTCATACTGGGTGCGTCCAGTGCATGGCAGCGTATCGTTACGTAGAAGGGTTGCCACGATCAGTACTCACAAACACGACCAGTACAGCAGCGAATCTGATAATGTCAGTCGGCTGCCACTTCTTCGAGCTCATGATACGTACGCGGATGTCACGGCAAATACCTCAGCTCGCTTGGCATTGGCAAAGAACGTCAAACAGAAGCTCATTCCCACATTGAAGGCTGCGATCGTCCACAGCTTCGCTTTGAGTGACTCAAGTTGGATCAACACAAGAATGGATGCAATAGGTAGCATGGCTGCGATCATGGAAGTGATCCAAAGTGTGACCTTTACCACGGTAGTATCGTAGTACACTTTTCGACCAAGATGGTGATCTCCCTTGGTGAAGAGACCCAGGCCGTACTTGAAGAGATAAATTGCGCGCTCGGAAACCACACGAGAAAACTTGTCTGGGATGTCACGCGGATGAACGCCGACGATGTCAGGAGGATGATTGTCAGCATCGCCCGTTTTACCCCATATATCTGCATCTATGCCAGTCATATGTTCAGGAGCCATGTTTTCGCCTTCTAAAAAGCTTTGGAGATCGTGAAGATCAAAATGATCCGGCGCCTTGAGCTGTTGAAGAATCGAGATCTGAATAAGAGCTTTGTCTAATATTTTGTAAGATCAGTAAAGGTTTCATGTACAGGGTTTTATCGTCCTCACTGTATTGGTTCAGCTTCTCGTGCATCTTTGCAATCAGTCTGAACTGCTCTGACTCCTCTCCATGCGGCTCCTCCAACATGCACTGATAATCAGTCGCGTACTCAGATCTTCTGCCGCTAGTGCTTTTGTTGTCTTGCTGCTCGAGCCAAAACAAATTCTTTTCCAATGTACACAGCTCGGCCTGGAGATACAACAAGTGTCTTGCATTAAGTCCGTCAAATCGTCGATAAATTCCGGTTTCAGGCTTGAATGAGATGCGTTCAGATAAACGAGGATAGCCGACGGGGTGGTGCGTCCAAGCTGGCAGGTAAGGCGTAGCTTTTCTGGGGTCTCTCTTGATTTTTTCCGCGGCTTTCTCTAACATGCTGGTAGTTCTTGAGGGAAGTTAGTATAGAGGACACGCTGACGCGTAGCAGTGTGCAGAAAACGTCGCTTTGAGAATCGCCCTCGAGTTGTACACTGGCGTACCTTGTTACAATCACACTGCGTTCTGTGACTCTGTCTGTGTAAAGCTTCCTCAGCAAGTTGTCGTGCGCCAATCTCCGGTCGTACCACAGGATTAGATGTTTGCCAAAAACCGACAAGCATAGTGCGACCATGATCTGTGGCTGGAGCATGGCGCTTACATCTTGCAACAGCTGCGATCAGGACGCAAAGCATGCAATCTTCGCTGCGAGTACGCCTGAAATCATGCTTTGGCTCCGAAACTACAGAGAAAGCGTTACTTTCGTTTTATGGCAAGTTCGTCAATCTACGCGCTTAGATCGATCATGATTCAAGAGGCGTCTAAATCAAACCGACTATGAATTGTATCCTCGGCTCCTCTCAAGATTAAACCTATATTGCAATATGCGCTCATGGACGTCATAGCCCTATTTTACGTCGAGTCTGCGACCCAAGACTAATGGGTACATTTCTGATGCCATTACAGGCGGGCTTCAACATACGGAAGCCGCAAGAGCATCACCGTATGTAACATGGATCTAACAGCAACACATTTTACATCAACGAGGTTAGGTGTCGACTCACAACTCATTGTATTGTGAAATAACTGCCAACTCATGACCACGTCTGGTGGACGATGTGCGTGTGAAAATGTTGTCATCCGATGACTTAGAGAACGCAAGCAGACAGGATATATAATATCTTCAAAGCGGTTCCTGAGTACCTGATACCAAATATACCAGAGACATAGAAACAAGATATTGCTAGCAATGACATCGTGTGGATCGCGGAAGAATACCGGGAAGAAACTATTCCCAAGTAAAGGTCATAGCGGTTCTCGTGAACTCCCTGAGAAGCTGGATACGCTTGAGAATCTCGAAAACGCTCAGAAAAAAAAGCAGAAAAGGCAGCTCGGAGACAACCTAAGATGGTAATCAAACCTGGTTGGAGTTGTGGCGGCATTTCACCCACAGTTGGCCCTTGCCATATCAACTATTGTGGAAATGATCATCGGCTGTATGTACCATGTGTTGGCAACGATTGTCAGCATAATCGATGTGATCGTTGCTGGGAGGCGCGAATCTTTGATTCTGGTGTGGATAAGTCCGCAACCGGTTGGTTCCATTCTTCGTGCGGGACGTATTATGCTGGTATGGACTCACTTAAGTATTGTACAAGCTGCAACCACTCAGTTGCCGGTGATTTCAGGTATGTATGTCTGTCAAGGCCTTCACTAGACCCAGATTATGGAGGGAGAGGAAGATAGATAGACGATGTTATTAGCCATGGATGCGAGTTTCAGGAACGGCATGGAGTGTTTGGCTTCTACAAAAATAACTTGTCTCTCAGGAAAACTGTCTTTATAAATGTATACAGCAGTTCATATGATAGTGCATTATAATGTCAGCATGATTCTCGGACTACCTGGTTGCGTTTAAGGTTTGTGAAGATGACATCCCTTGGTTCATAATGTGATGTTTGATCAACGAGCGCTACTTTTACAGCAGCGAATCTGATCAATTACTAGTACTCCTCGTGGACTAAAATACTGCGCACTTACTTTCTGTGCATGTACTCACATTTTCGACTCATCCCACGCCTACGTAAAGTGAAGCTTTGACTACTATGGAGGTATCCTTTAGTCAAGGTACAGATGCCGCCTTGAACGCTGTGGTCTACTTCAACAGTAGAGATGTTTTGGTATAACTTATGCCAATAGTCTCCAAATCCTGACAGTTCGGTGTGTCTCCAGCTGAGTGCGACCTAGGCATAGGTAAACGAAGAAACACTGGTCCTACGGGTATTTGAAGATACATGATTGATGTAGAGCCTCGAGTGATGAGGCGATGGTCATGCGTGATGTGCATCACCGGCTTGTGTAAATCTACAGTCCCTTCGTTTGGAAGATGATGACGTCTAAGGCGAGCCGTGGCATATCCATCGGGATTTAGGAATGTTGTGGATACCTTTTTGACCAGGTGGAAGTCGCCAACTTTTCTCGTTTTTCTCATGAACATTTCCTTTTGATTTGCATATCAATCGCATCGCTCGACGAGCTTGTCAACACAGAAGTAAGATATTGTTGTAGGAATCGACATCAAAAAATTAGCAGGGTGTGATTAGTATCGATGCAGGATAGGTCATGCGCTGGTGTCGAGTTGAAGGCGTCGTTAATATTCACGGTTGGGCTTGGGCCTGCCGGCTGAATGAGAAAGTATGTATTATTGGCGAACCTGAAGACCATGTCAAATGGCCCGCTGTCCACGACACCCTTCTATCGATGAAGAAATCTCTGGAGAAAGAAATAAGCATCCTTTTTGACGCATGATCTATTTAGAAGATCTCTTGGTCGTCATACGCCCTCACACTCTCTAGGCGTTCTCTAACCTTCTTCGGATCCTTGCAGACATGCTTACTGTCCCAACCATCACTGCCACCATTGTGGTCAGGAAATGTCGTCTCCAGCCCTTCAAGAGCCATATCCGCGCTACACATGATAGCTTGGCGCATGTAGTCAAAGCAGTGGATCATGTGCCAGTGATGGTCTTCTTCAAGCTCATGGCCCGAAGTCATACCGGAATAGACTGCGACGACAGCATAGAGGCAGTGGAGCTGGTGGGTCATGGATGTCGTGAAGACAGTAGCGTTGGGCCAGACGATGGGAGTGGGAAGGTCGTGGTAGTTCTCTGGGTCAGGAATGCTCTGAAAGCCCATGCCGACTGTGAGGGATGTTAGTGGAACCTTTGAAGAATTCGGATGTTAGGGGAGTCGTACCAGGCAAGAGTTCGTTCCATGCTCGAAGTACTTCGGGCTTGAAGAACTCTGATGTGTTGTAGGGTGCAAATGTCTGGTTTATCTCGAACTTGGTGATCTGCGTTGGGACTGCATGGCTGTTAAACTGAGTGCGACAGTGGGTCGAATAGCAAGACTCACTGTGTGGGGACCATCCGGTGATATCGCCACCTACATCGTTGGCGCTTGTTGAACGTGCCTTCCACCGTGTTGAGTCGAGCATGCCTTGATCTCTGGCCAGCAGCCCGATGATTACGAGCTGCAACCCTATCACCAGTATCCATCGTATCGCTGCCACCAGCGGCGGGCACATTATTCTTCTTCTTGACAATGGTGCTTTGCTGTGGTATTCGCCTGCTGCCCATTGCTTCTCTCCCCCAACCAAAGATTCAACTTCCGTCGATGAGTCATCATCATGGTGATGGTCCTGCGAACGTACATCTGCGTAGTGGTGTTGTGGCTCCATCATGTCGATTAGTAAGTTGGTGACGCCAGGTCAATCGTAAACTTGGATATTAAAAGCGAAAGTGAGCGCAGCTGAGGAGCCAAAGGCAGTGGCGGCCTCCGTACAGATGTACTCGTACGTCAAACATGCTGGCCCACACCGAAACGCTGAGGCCGTGGTTCCTGGTCGGAGCTGTCATCGCCATTCATGGTAGACGCCGGCGACAGCTCGATGGGTAGTTCTAAGCGTGAGTTGAGAATGCTGAAACGGGTTCCTGGATACGCGATACGTGGGCTATGCCAAGTTTCGTTAGATCGCCGGGATGAAACCGAGGATGAATCGCCAAGAGTATGAAGCTATCTCGTCTTCCGCCTCAAGCGAAGATAGCGTGAAACCCAATGCAAACATCGAGCATGAATGTTTGTATGTAGTCAAATGCGGTTGGTGTTGGTTTATATATTCTTGAAGCGTATTGCCGGCTTGCTGTCCCCTTATTTCAACAAACTAAAGGAACTTGGTAATGATGATTAAACACAATACCAGAGTTGTTACATCAGAGAGGGATAGATTACTTGCGCGATCGAAAGGCACAGAAGAAAGATATGATGGGTCTTGGAGTGAAGCGTAGCGTGGTGTGAGGTAGCTACAAGAGCTAGGAAGCAAGAGGGGAGAATTCGAGAGATCAGGCTCAGTGACTAGAGAGGCAAGAATATTTTGATATATCGGTATTTGAGGAAGGCCATTGTATATATATATATATATATATGTGTGTGTGTGTGGTGGAACATGCCAAACCCGAACTTCGATAGGTGGACTACCCGAGCATGCATTAGTTTCCGGTCGCATGGTTTGACAGCTGTAGCCATGCGATGTCTTGTAGGACTTCATAGTGGGTGTCTACATCGTATTCGTCGATTTCGCAGTGCTGATAGCTGATCTGAGTAAACCTAGCAACACAACATATGGTTAGTGTCGCAGCTACCTGCGTGCATCCGTCGCATTCTCCCAACGGCCCCGTGAGATTACAAACTGCACTGGTAAGTTCAGAGATGTAATCTAGGCTTGCGACACAGATGTCGGGTGGGGTCCAGGAAGGAGTAACCTATCGCATCTAAGTTTTGGCATGCAAACCGCGTAGCTCAATGGCCATGGTAACACACACACAGCAACATACTGTGGCGAGATGTATTCGAATCCGCAAGTTTGGCTTGTTGTTGCGAATGCCAAGGTCAACTCTGTCCACTCGGAATAGCGTTGAAGATGGCGAGTCCTTTGGGGGTCGTTGTCTCCCAGCAGCACGACTCATCGCTTGACACACAAGTCGCTCCTGATGACCCATTTCTCGCCGCCGATGACCTCACGTCCTTCGTGCAGCATGCAGTCTGCGCCATGTCGATGCAGTAGCGCAAGACCAACTTCAAGGTCGACAACGACGGGCTCAGGTGGCGGATCCCTACTCTTCTTTCTTGGCAGGTCTGGGTAAAACACCGTCTCTCCACCCATGCAGCCTGTTGCTGGAGAGGTGAGATATATTAACAAGGTCCAGGTGGTACGCGCTGGTACCGGTTGCGAACCGGAGGGCTGGATCATTACATTATTGGAATCATCATCTGGCTCTGTCAGCATTTGGTCTATGACTGTCAGACGGCTTTGAACAAGCCGTTCAGTAGGGATGATGTACAATGCTGATCGAAGAACTGGCCCTTGGAGTACCTGTAGATGCGAATATTCTGGTTCAGGCCGAGCACCTCACCGCCCCACAGGTCCTTCCGCTGTTCTACACTGAGACCAAGCGCCCCTTCCTCAACATGTCCGCTGACCAGCTTTCTTAGCCCGGTCTGGCTCCACAGTCGTTCAGCGAATGCGGGATCATCAATCTGGTAGCGGTCGTTCACGCGCACCGCATCACCTTTCTTAGGCTTTCCGGGCGTAGTCGTCAGTGGTAGTGACGACAGGAAGGAAACGTACGTCTTGCATAGTGACGCCGTGAAGAAGTTGGGGATAGTGACGATCTGCTTGTGAAGCACTTCCTGCAGGGCAAGGTCCTCTTCTGGTACGAGAGGAGTGAAGGCGGGCCAGTTGGGAGGCTGTCTCGCCGGTTCAGACGAGGGCGCTGGCCGGCTAGATGCGCCTTGCTGGGTCTTCTTCTTGGGCGCCATGTAATGGACGCTTACTGGCAAACCGACGGGTAATGCAGATGTCTTGGTTCTGTATTGCTGCGATTGGTGCGGAAGGTGAAAGTTTGGATGGATCGCTCCTTCTACCAAAGAGCGGCCAAGGGTGCCGAAGAGCGCGTTCACCTGCGAGGCTGTATCTTGCTTGGAGAAGTGTGCACCCTCTTCCCACAGTCTTTTCACCTCGCAATTCCGCCTGCGCCGTCACTTCTTCTCAACCTGCTCTTGCTGCCACCAGAGTCCAATGCACTGACGATGAATCCAACAGAGGGAGGTCCAGAGAACGAGACGCTTTTGCGGCCGCTCAGATTGGAAGGTATCTTGGATGCACAGTCAATGTTCATCTCCCAAGCATCAAGTTGGTCTTTCTCATCGGCGCCGGACCGTGATGCGGAGATGGGCGGCCAAGACCCACGTGCAGCAGGATTAGGCCCGGCGCAAGCCTCTCATGAGCAGCGTCGACCGACATCCTCCGAAGACACCAACCCGCTGCGACAGCACGACGAAGGCCCTTTGCAAACAGAAGACCGCCTAGGCAAGCGCAGCTCCGCCTTGTTCGGACCTCACCTGGCCTGTACGTATTGCGCGACACTGCGACGCGGTTTGCTGGGCGAAAAACAAGCGCGCCGCTAACCACCTGCAGCGGACGGCATCCTAGACCACTATTCCCTCGACTTTGACTTCCCTTTCGCACTCCCCTACGCACTTCCCGACGAAGATGGCGGCGGCAGGATGGCCGTAGCCCCTTCTAACGAGCTTTTACACCATGTCACCCCCGAACATGACACTCCCGACGCCCTTCTCTCGCCTGCCCCCGATAAGCGCATTCCCGACATGGCAGCCGCGACCAGCGATGCGTCGGCCATGCCAGCCCTCGGCGGCGAGAAGCCATCTGCCGACCACAACATGATGGACACAACCCTCACCAACGGACTGCCGCTGCTCGACACACCCATCGACTTTGCGCAGTCCAACAACCTAAATGGCGCCGACATGACCGCCGACATGACTGCCATGCCCATGGACATGACGACCGCCTTCCCGCCCATGAATGCCTTCATGCCGCCCACGACCAATGAGCGCCTCACGGCCTTTGCGCGTCTGCGCTTCGATGACGGCTCCTACTACATGCATACCTATCAGATCACCCTGGGCCGCAATCTCGATCTCGCGCACAGAGACATGAAGCGCCTTATCAAGGCCGAGGCACTGCACGCAAAAGGCCATGTGCAGGCTGCTCGCGAACACTTGACTGGCATGGACGAGGCCAATGCGAAGAAGGACAAGAAGAAGAAGAAACACAAAAAGGGTGGCGCCCGTAGCGTCATCTCCGAGAAGGGCGGCATCCTCAGTGCACCCATCGAGTCGATGCCCATGGAGTACCAGCAGCGTCGCCAGAGCAATGCGTCGCACTCTCTCAGCTCAAACTCACACCCTACGGGCGAATCTGGCGAGGAAAAGCCTGCCGAGCGCGCGCCACAAGACATGATCATGCAGGCCTTCCCCGAAGTACCTGCCCAATTCGACGGCCACGTCCCCGAAGACCCCAACGACTGTCCATTCGTGCCTATACATCCCCAGCAGATCGTAGCCAGGACAGGATCGTTGGGTCCCAAAGGCATATCGCGGGAGCATGCCAAGATCTTTTTTGACTTTGACGCGGGTCACTTCTGTATCCATGTCCTGGGTAACAATGGTTTGCATCACGAGGGAGACTTTTATCCCAAGGGTGAAACTGTACCTTTGGATCATGGCGACCACTTGCAGCTGGGTGCTGTGAACATACACTTCTTCCTCCCAGACGTCGCGCTCACAGAGCAGCAACGCCATCGCCAGGAGTCTGGATCGCGACCTATGAGTTTCTCTTTCGAAAACGGGAACGGTCAGTTGGAAAGTGACGAGCATATCAGTTCTGAGAGCGAAGACCAGCAGAGCGTCAACCCGCGCCATGTCTACTACCACCATCCTGTCAGTGACAGCGATGACGATGACGGACTCGCCGATGAAGAAATGGACGATTATGAAGAGCCTGCTCCCAAACCGCGACAGAAGACAAGTCTCAAGCTCAAGATCAAGAATCTGCCTCCCGCTTCCTCGAAGGAAAGTAAGAAAGCGCACAAGAGGAAGCATCAGCAGCGCGAACTCACGCCTGAAGAGCCACCAACAAAGAAGGTCAAGCTCAAAGTCAAAGACACTGCGAAGCTCAAGGAAGCGATTCGTGAATCCACGAAGGAGCCAAAAATTCAGAAGGAGCGCAAAGAGCCCAAGGAACCAAAGGAACCCAAAGAGAAGGAAGTTGCGCCGCCCAGAGAGCCCAAGGAACCCAAAGAAGCCAAGGAGCCGAAAGACAAGGGCAAAGCACCAGCCAAGACTCCCGCAAAGGCACCTGTCAAGGACGAGACGCCAGTCGAGGAGCCTGTCAAAGATGTTCCCATGGCTCCAAAGCCCGAGCAGCCAAGTAAGCCCCCACCGAACGATAGTCCGCCTTTACTACGCAAGCCACACGAAGGCGAACTCGAAGCCGGAGATATCGATGGGCTCATTACGGAGGAGATGGCGCTTCAGCACAATTTGCCACGGAATCTTATCGGTCATGTCGTTGAGAAGCGCAAAGGACCAGGCAGACCGCCCAAGGATGGCATCATGTCAAAGCGCCAGCGTTCGCAGCTCATTAAGCAGGCTAAGGATATTGAGAGGGCAAGAGCTGCTGGCATCGACCCAGCTGACATTCCGATCCCGACTATCAAGCCGAAAGCACCCAAACGCAAAGAATCAAATGCTGGCGATGGCGAAGATGATGGAGTTATGGAGACAACGGAGCAGGGCGATGGTAGCTTGTCCAGTCTCCAGAAACAAACGAAGCCCATCAGACCGCCTCGGACACCTTCACCTGAGATGCGTATTGAAGACTACACCGAGGAACAGCTGCAACGACCCACAGCCAACTATGTTGTACTGATTCATGAGGCGATTTCGTCTTCACCCACTGGCCAGATGAACCTCCAATCCATTTATACTTACATTGAGCGGAAGTATCCTTGGTACAAGTTCAAGACTACTACGAGCGGTTGGCAGTCTAGTGTGCGCCACAACCTTGGTCAGCACGACGCTTTCATGAAGGGTGATAAGGAGGGTAAAGGCTACCTTTGGAGAATCAACCCCGAAGTCTCGATCGAAAAGGAACGTAGGAAGAGGCAAGCCAGTCCTCCACTTAGCAATGCTCCGCGACAGTACTACCAACCGCCGAATGGATATCAGCCGTATCCCCAGCCTGGATACCCGTATCACCCGGGCATGCCTCATGCGATGCCGCAGCCACCACCACCAAGACTGCCACCTAGTCTCGCGCAACCTCGCTTACCACCTAGTATGGCTCGTAATGAGAGCAACTCAGCTGCATCGAACACGTCTCAGAACGCACCCCATCCATCGCCTTATGCGTCCCCTTGGGGCGGCGGTGGTAACACTGCTGGGAGTCCGCCAGCGCCCAATGCTCCACGACCGTATCCGCAGCCTAACTCGCAGGCTCCGCCAACTTCCTCAGCAGCCGGTTCGAGTGGTCAGTACGGCGTTCTCTATCCCACGGCTGCTCCACAACAATCGCCATACAGCCAACCTCCGGCACCCAGCCCATACGGTGGTCCATATGCTAACACAGGCGCGAGCCCGTATGGCCCTGGTCCGCCTCGTCCCTACGGAGCATATCCACCACAAAGCCAGCAGTCGAATGCTCCTTCGGCGTCGCAGCCACAGCCTTCAGCGTCGCCTTACGGCCCGCCTCCGTCTCAGACGCCCTCACAACCAGGGCCTCCCAACGACGCTTCGGCACCTCATCCGTCTGGACGTTACCCGATTGGAGTTCATCCGGACCTTATTCGCCAGCTCGAAGCGTACCGTCACGTTTACCTTGACAAGAGGCCAGGCCCTGAGGAGCAGAAGAAAGTGGACAATGCTATCAGAGCTTGCGTAGACAGAACTGTACCTGAATCGACATTGACGGACCAAGAAAGAAAGTTGCTTATATCCATCTGCGGAGTGGAGAGCATTAACAAACATGTCAAGAGGGCACCTGATGTCAAAGATGAAGATGAAGCGAGTACTGCGGCAGCGTTCGCCGCAGCAGGTGCAGCCGCAAACACGATGGCTCAGCAATACCAATCAGCACCACAGTCTGCAAACCCAACAGGCACCGCGTCCCCAGCACCGACACGTGAGAACAGCGAGCCACAGAAGTTTACGCCAAACATGACTGGCGCATCACCAGCTCCTCCCATGGCACCTTCACATCGTCCGAGCGTCGAGCCCATCACGCCTGTGCCCGGTTCGCCAGCAGTTCAAAATGGCACCCCGCTGCGGCGTCCAATGACCGAGTTGACCGCAGACAGCGCACCCGGCACGGAAGAAGCCAAGAAGACGGAGAACAGTCAAGATGCATCGAAGAAAGCTGAGTAGCTTTTGTTCTTACGGCGCCTTTTCTATTCTTAATACGCTCGTTTTCAAAACCTCCTCGCCTGGCCTCTGCCTATGCGTGTCACTTATTTCTCTCCCCTCTACTCGGCGCTTCAAGCCTGTTTGGAGCTAGCTAGCATTTGAGTTTGGCGTTTTAGGCGGAAGCATTTTGGCTTTGCCAACATTGATACCCTTGACAGCGTAGCTTGGTTGGGGGTTCTACCAAAAGTGAGATTTCGCGTAGGTTTTTACGTCGAATATGGGATATATGCGTTATGGTATACATGACTGTTTCGAGTAGATAGATGATAGCGACAAGCAGCGGCAGCATCACATCGGCTATAAAAATGATATACAATTCTATAAACTTTGAGTGTCTTGTCTCGATCGTGTAGTATGTGGTGTATTGACACGGTACAGTTTTGCCTAGCCCGGCAACTTGTTTCCAATGTAGCGGAGAAAGCACCCTCTTTCAATCTCGACGCGCGTTCAAGAGCACATTTATTCAAGCTTTTATGGATGCCTGATCTGATAAGCTGTTGCCTGATGGGGTACCTCTGCGGTCGGAAACATGACGCACAGTGCACAGCTGTAGCTGATGGAATAATGAAGCTTTATACGTTTAAAAAAAAAGGGGGGCCAAACGGTAAAGAGTTTGGTATTGCCTGCGTATCTCGTAGGTAGAGTAGGTGCCTCGACACAAATCCAAAGCCCAAATGCTGCGATTATATATAGAAAAGAAGAAGCTTAAGCCCAAGATGCCGCTTCTGCTGATGTCGCCGTACGCCTGAAAACCCCGCCACTCGGACTCGCTATGCTCATTTGATAGCAATAGGTTGAGCCGGCACAGCCGCTTACATGGCCATCTCAGCCTGTAGCTTCCGCAACTCCTCCTCTTCATCGTCCTCCTCAACCCGCTGTGGTGCCTTGGGGTTGGTACTTGGTGCCTGTGGTAGCTTCTGTGACGATGGAGCATCGTGGATGGGCACGTTGCCAGTGTTGAGCATTTGCTCGTCGAGCTTTTCTTGTTGTAGCTCTGCGAGTTCCTCGTCCAGTTCGTCTTCGTCGATGCCGTTGGAGGCGACGCCCGAGGTGATGGCTTCGCTAATCTCTTCGCCGATTGCGTGTTGCTCGCGGAGGTCCTCCCTGCGCACATGGTCAGCAAACTATTCGGTAAGGCTTGTCTTGTGCAAAAAGCATACATGACATTGTCGACCTTGTCGATGGTCAGACCGGCGTGTATCTGCTTCATGGCGGTTCCTGCATTCTTCATGGCATCCAGCGTCTCCTTGTTGATATTGGCCGTCTCGATGGAGTAGATCTCTCTTTCTAGCGTCATGATCTGCGAACTGGTCTGCTCAAGTGAGTGCTCGAACTGCTTCTTTCGCCGTAACGCCGACTTGGCAGCTATGGCAAGCGTCAGCGACAACAGCAGGAAGCGGGATGCATGCGGACTTGCCTTGCTTGTTGGTAGAAACGTGTTTTCGCGCCAGCGCATCTTGCTCGTCCATCTGGTTTTGCAGGTGCTTCTCCCGCTTGTTCAGCATCTCAAGTTGGCCTCGAAGCTGGAGGATGGCCTTCTTTGGCGCCTCCTTCTTCGCCTGGCCACCGCCAAACCAGCCCAGGCCCCAGCCGCTCATGTTGAAGTAGTTCTGGGGGTCTTGAGTTAGCAACCTTGGTTCGCTTGACGCTATCGCAAGCCGATGCAGCTGACTTGAAGCCTATCAGAGTGTGGGTTGGCGGGGCTGCGGGGGGCGGTGCGTAGTTCGCACGTACTTTGTAGGAAATCCGGGTGTGTGTCCGAGTTATGGCAGGTGAGGAGAGTGCGCAGAGGTTCGTGTTGTTGGAGCGGCGGCGTTGGAGTGACTGAAGGGTGCCTGGCTGGTCATGAATCGGGCCTGGATGCACGAGGGTATGATGTCGTCCGCGCTAACCATGGCACGTGCATCTCGGCTCCGGTTTCCACCGCATTCTGCGGCGCCTTCACCACCATGTCTGGTCCCGTTGCCTCGAATTTGGTGCTGTTGGGTGACTTGCCCGCATGCGCGCAAGGCAACAAAGTCCGCTTTCTGGGCTGGTGCACCGAGTCGTCCCCGATCACGTCGCAGAGACTGACTGTATCGCAGCATCGATGACTACGTCACTGAGACCGCAACACTGCGCCTCAAGCACAACTACCCGACATCCAGCCCGCCCGTCATCGCGAACCTCAATGTCCAACACGTACTGGAGCGCATCAAGCATCTCGACGTAGACATCGGCACATGGCTCAACGTCATCGGCTATGTCGAGCGCAGGAAGGAGCAGGGCGTCTTTGTACAGGCCGTCACTGTCTGGAATGCCGGCAATGTCGACCTCAAGGCGTATGAAAAGGCCGTTGAGGCGCGCAAGGCCGTTGCATAAACGTCGCCAGGCTCATGCATTATGCTCATGCACGCTCACCCAAGCAACAATCATAGTATGATTGTGCAACACCAGTATCTAACACCACATGTGAGGTTCTCGTTGCACGACTTTGCCAAATTCAGCCTTGTCTGACAGATGGAGAATTCATTCATGAATATGGTGGGACACTACAAAGAACGCAGTCTGATATCAAACCACTATACTGTCCGAAAACAAACACTTGAAACGATTGATTCCACCGTCCTATCCTGCACGCTGATTGACTACTGATAGCCTTACGTGTTCATTTGGAAGCATATTCCAAGGTGACCTCCAATGGCTTTTTATCCTACGTCGCCGTTAGCATTTGTTACCGCAGAATCTGATCATACGATAGATCGTACCCAAAGTAGATATGTGCACTGCTCTCCCCAATCCCACCTGTCCAGATCATCCTTTAACCTGATATTGAAACTCCACAACAATCTCGCAAGTATCAGTCGCATCTCGTTGTTAGCAACCTTGGCACCTATGCAACTATGTCTACCCACCATAAAAGGCGCAAACGCAGCCATGTTGTCTTGTCCTGGCTTTGGATGTAGGAATCTCTCCGGTATAAAGGAGTTTGGGTTGCGGAAGTTATACGGTTGTCTATAGGCGGAGTATTGATTGTAGGTTACGTAGGTCTATTCAGAAGAGTTTAGTTAGGATGAGGTAGTATGGGAGCATGAATCTCTTACGCCTTCAGGAACCCATTGGTCGCACACAGTGTCTCCGCCTTTGGGAGCAATGCGAGGTACTCCGATGGCGTTGGGAGGGCCAAGTCGCATGCCCTCATTGATGACCGCGTTTAGATAAGGCAAGTTGCTTGTCGATGCTACCGTCATGTCGCTCTCGTTCTGGAAATTACTCCTGATCTCTGCTGTGAGTCGGTGCAAGACACCTCTGTGCTGCAACAACATTCTTACGATCGCAGTCAGAGCACTCGCTGTAGTTTCGCTCCCAGCAAACGCAATTACGAGTAAGTTGATTCCCCACTCAGCGTCTGTGAAGTGATCCTTCTGATCACTATACTTCTTTGTCGGAGTTACCCAGTCCGGCCGCTCTACATCCAGCGCTATTCTCTTCTGAGCTTGTTCCATACTCAACTTACGATGATCCATGCTCCTCTGCAAGATGCGCTTGGGAATGATGTGTCGGAGTAGTTTGTCGATGGGAGGGTAATGGTTGATCGAGCCGATTAAGGCAAGCCCTTTGCCAAAGTCCTGGGCAATGTCGACCCAGGGATGCGCTTTGCCATTTGCAACACAATCCCAAGACTCGCCATAGGTAAAGTCTCCAGAGATATCAAAAGTCAAGTAGTTCAACCATTGCTCAAGATCGACAGTCTTTCTTTTTTTCACTTGTTCCATGAAGAGATCAACATAGCTTTCAATGACTGGTGCTTGTTCTTTCAAGCTTTTCTCTGAGAAGGAATTTGCAAAAGCACGTCTGTACCTCGTATGATCTTCCTCATGCCAGTTCACGATTGAGTTAGGTTCGGTTGGTGACATCTTCTTGAATGAGGTACGGTTACGTTCGAAGGGTAGATGGCCCGGGCGTGTGATATAGATCTCTTTCAATGCACGACTGTCGGCATAGGAAAGTTCGTTAGGGGCCACACGTACAACTGGCCCATACTTGGTGTGGAACTCAGTAAAACGCTTGTGAATTTCGCCGCGGTGCGTCGAGATAACATAGGGAATGCGGAAGGATCGCCAAAGCAGTGGACCGGGGTAGTGACGTAACGGATGGAGGAACGCGTTGTAGAACGCGTATGCGAACGCTAGCTTTGTTGATGGATTAGCATCGAAGGGAGCCACTTTGCATACTGACAGGACACTTACGGCTGAGATGCATAATACACATGCTGCCACTGGATGCACGCGACTGGGTAACGATGACGAAAATTGGAAGCCCAGGGCATCACGACCGCCTTTGTCTGCCATTGCAAAATCTGGACCGAGCTACAAAGCTCAATTTCTTGTGTCGAATGCCCTTATTCTGTGTTACTACATCGCGATAGCAAGCATAGCTATTCGGATGTCGCGTTATCGTGACGAAAGGGTAGTCCTTGGCTTATGAAGTAAGGCACCCCGCTTTAGCCTTTCCTCTTTCGGGCATTATACTTTGCCATGTCCAGACCCAGACCTAGAGTCCTCACGTCGATGATACTCCAATGGGTCCTTTTAATCATTCGGATATGGATTTGACATGTACGAAACATCTTGGGGGAGAGAGGTGGATCGAAGAACACGAGCTGCAGGTTGGCGCACCGCTTCCGCGTTGGATGCGCCCTCAGCATGCGCCGACATCTCAAGTATCAACTCACGCCGGCCCGGCCAGAAGCAAACCCAACTGAACGGATGTAGAGCGGGAGACATATACTGTTGCGGTAGGTGTCACAGTCTTGACTGCCACCATGCAGCCAATGCAGGAGCTGTCAAGAGTTTGAAAAGCACTTCAGGATGCTGACAGGAGCCCAACATCCCGCGCACACGTGTATCCTCACCGTAATGAAGGGTAACTCCTGGAAGCGTTCGAGCGACGTTCATGAGCTGGGGAAGTGTCGCACGTTATGCGGGATCATCGCTGAAACCTTCGCTTGAGCTCTGACACAGCTCACTCTGTGAACTTCATGGGTTTCCAAACACTTGTTACTGTGAAAGATCCTTCGGCCGACCTGTCGTTCACAAGTCTAAACGAAACATTCGACTTACTCGCAATTGGCGTATGCAACGTCGTCCCGCAATGCACCACGAGTTTGCTCGCTAGATAGACGGGTGTGTCACGAGCTTACTGTGGAGCAAAAAAGAAAGGAGGCTAATGTCGCCGCTTCGACAGACTTGCAGGAAGCTAATGAGCCAACATTACCCCTCTTTCATTGCCAATGAGGCGATACCAAAGCTCTGTCAGACGATTAGAGGGCATTTTGTGGCTCGTGGGTAACCTGGTTCTGGGTTTGCTAGTCAATGTCTTCAGTACGTTTCTTACCGGATTGCAGCTTTCGCGAACGCCTTGCCGTGCGCTCATATTGGTATCGAAGACCAATGCGAAGGGACTGGCTGATGAGTGCCACCCCTCGTTTAAACCAACCATGTAATTTATGCCTGATAATAGATATCAGTCTTTGTGCGGAACAGGCATCATGCTCAAGTTCGCAGCATGGCAAGCTTCACAGTCGCCTAACCGCAGCCGTACGTAGCATCGGTGCCACCGCGGATGCAGACTCCCTGAGACGCCGACAAGACTTTCGCCGCATTTCTCTCCCAAGGCTACCCAGTGAACGCCTACACATTCCAGGACTCACAGTTGCCGCATTTTCCGTTAATCTCTGTCGAGTACCCAGTTAATTAACCAACATTTGGGCTTGAAGCGGGGCTTTCGATAGTTCGTGCATGCTACTATCGGGTCATTTACTGACTTTGCTCAGCCAGATCAGGTCATTTACCAGCCGTCCGATGCATGGCGTCTGCAGCGCACAGGCAACGGGTGAATGCCAGGGAGACCCCAGCCTTCTAACCAACCTCCCGTTCAAGCAAGCGCAAACCCAATTCCCAAAATTGAGTGCACTTCTGCCGACGTTTGGTGTTCGTCTGGAGGGCCTGATGCTGAAACTAAAGAATCCTTCGTTGGACGACCACTGAGGGTGTCAGGTCAACTGTGCCGCCTCCCTAAGGCAGAATAGATGCCTCGCTGTCAGACATTGCGATGGATGTGGAGGCCATGTAACAAAAAACCAACGTTCAAAAGACTAGGGAGCGCGAATGGAGGCTCAACACGAAGAGTGGACAGCGCCACTGGAATGCGGCTCACTACAAGGGAAGCAAAGCCCATCGTATCGCTCTCAAAATCCCTGCCTTTGATCGCAAGATTGCACGTATCAGCGCTTACAGCAGACACAAGCCTTTTACCCAGCTTGCCGGGAGCGGCAAGGTGACATGCGGAAAGAGGACTACCCTGAGACGCTAAAGCCACCTCCAGGTCTCACCAATTTGGCGTGCATATCGCTTGAAGGATAATAGTAGGAATCTGGTCAAGATGAAGGCCCGTGTTGACGTACACCCACACATGGCGGCGCATGCATGCCCATGTAGGCCGCCTGTCTAACGGCCAAGCGCGAAGGTTACAGATGAAGGTATAAGTCTGTCGAGCCGCCTGGTCTAAGAGGGAGTGTAACGGCGATATCAGCTTCGAGTTCTTAACAAATACTTATTCACCTTCACCATTGTTCAGAGTCTACCTGTGTTGCACAGATCATCCTCGCAAGATTTTTATACTGCCGCCACCCGACTTGCAGCGCACTTTTTCCACGAGAACAACCCGGATTCAGCAAACCCAAATCATCTTTACAGAACGCATCATCAACAGCGTTCGCTTTTCGCAAGGCTACACGCTATCAGTCACCATGCTGTTCTCCACAGTCACTGCGGCCCTTCTCTGTGTCGCAACTGCCACTGCAGCTGCTCTACCATTGCCTGGCAAGCCACAAACATACACTCCCGCGCGGAACCTCAAGAGCCTCTCCAAACTCTTTCCCCAGAGTACTCTTACTAGCCCAGACACACTCGGCCTAGACCTGAAGTACGTTGTCCTCGGTATCGGCACACAAAACTACACATGTAGTACGCCCGACGACAGCGTGACTCCTGGTACCACTGGTGCATACGGTAAGAACAATAAGAGCTCGACAGTAAAACATCTCTAACAGCCATCTAGCTACCCTATACGACATCGGCACGAAGCTCAACGACGACAAGATGGCCAAATGGAAGATTGGCTCCATTTCGCCTCTTGCACTCTCGCTGAGCGAATGGGCACCTCAAGTTGTTGACATGAGCCTCAGGTCGCAGGGCTACGAACATATCGCGGGTCATCACTTCTTCGCAGATGTTTCAGGAACAAACACGCCAACATTCGCTTTCGACAAGCTCAGCGCACCCTTCCCCATGACCCAAGTGGCCAAAATAGGCAATGTCGACGCACCAGCACACGCATGCCCAGGCAAGAATGGCCTACCTGCTGTTCAGTGGCTGTATCTCCAGCACAAGGCTGGTATCACTCAGGGAGGAATCGACACTGTCTACCGCGTCGAGACTGCTGGTGGTAACAAGCCTGCTACTTGCAAAGGCATGCCAGCTTCTTGGGAGGTCAAATACGCTGCGCAATGTAAGTGTACATGAAACCCTTAGACTGCTGTAGTGGTCCACTAACATCTCGCAGATTGGGTCTATGGTCCAAAGTAGTAGGCGCCTAGCTTGCGACGCTCGTTTCGAGTCAATTACGAATGCTTCTACCCCTCATGCCTTCTTTAGTCCTTCCATAGTTGGGTTAGTCGCGCGCGTCTATATTTGTCCCAGAGACATCTAGACAGTGTGCAGCAGGGCATGTGTTTTTTTTTCTTGCCACTTTTAATTTCGTCTTCTGAACTTACGATACCCTTTCTTTCCCATGGTTCGCACGGCTTTGCTAGGTCTCAATTCTTCTAAAACGGACATTGGCATGGTCATGGGCGTTTGAGGCTGTCAGCATTGGGCCATTATAGTGTACGCCGACTTAGTATAGATCTTGCCCTAATTCTAAAAGACTTCTTTTATCTTTTCCGTTCTTTTCTGATACTTTCGTGATTCCTCGTGGAATAGTTCACGGTACAGTACGCGAGTCGATGCGCGAGAAGCCAACAAGACGTGATATAGTGCAGGTGATCACAACTGCTATCCCACCAACACAACACGCTTACGTGGATTGAGTCTTACGACACGTACTAGATCGACCGATAACATCGTGGCACGACATGTCAGCCAACATGCGAAGCTCGCCGTATATGCCGCAGTAAGGCGCGCAAGGCTGTTTGCGCTATCACGTCCAATTCAACAAGGTTAAGATACTAACAGCCCTCATCTGCCAACCGCACGGCGTATGAGTTGCCAATAAACACTACCGGCCTCTTCACAAGCATTCATGTCTCTTATGGTTCTTTTTCGACTCGACCTCAAGAAAGCCTTGCTCCAATACATGACGTGAACCACTCGCCCAGTCCTGTAAACCCTTTCTTTACCCAAGATACCTGAAAACAATGCAGCCCTCCTGATTGGATGGCTGCTCGATCGAGGAGTGGTTCGTGCTACTTTGGTGGCTGTGGCAGCGGGTATTTCTCTTGGCAAAGCGGGTGTGGTAGGTGTGGCACAAGTCTGGTTTGACGGCGGCTAGAATACATCGGAGGTTTTTCTTAGGGGTTTGTATAGTTTTGGCTTGAACTCTATCCATTGTGTGGTCCTCGGAAAAAGAAACGCCCCATTGGCATGCACGGAAAAAGGGCTTCCGCGCGAATGATTTGGCGTAAATGTATTCTGCTCAATTTGGCGGTATTGTTCCTGTTTGAACCTTTGTCGGATCACATCCACCAAACCCATCGCACCAATGTTCACTCTGGGCCTTCATCTCCGTGTGGCCTACAGCGTATTCTGTAGTGCACCTGATGTCCTGCAGCTCTTTATCATCGACAGTGTTGTCCATGCTTCCAATTCGCTCCTCAGTGATGCTGTAAACCACACTCTTCTTGCCTTGGTCGGGAAACGTGAACTTCTCAATCACACTCTCTCATACACTACTTCTAGCTGATGCCTAGAGATTTTCGTTTTCCGTCTATGTATCATTCGTTTTCAGAAGGATCTTGCGACGCTTAGCATACTTTCCTGCACTTCGAAACACGTTTCGTTCGAGACCATCGTACTTGCTGGTCTTGAAAGAACTCGCGTTCCTCCTGAATAGTGGTTTGAGGGCGGTTACGGAGGTTGCGATACTCCCCACGTGTATTTGCATGCTGAACGAAGGAGGTCAGTGCTGACTCACAGTGCATCATTTTGTAAGAGAGAAAGTCTCAGGAGGATCACGTACGAACCCAGAATGTTCACTCTTTGATCACTAGACATCGTCAACTTGAGGGGTTGATGATTGTTGTAATGACCTTATAAAGTGCAAACCGGTCATTGTTGAAGAGCCAAACTGGTAATAAGCGTCTTTGGTGACTACGGTAGCTGAACTGTAGTCTTATGAGTGATTGAAGACTCGAAGATACAGTAAAAGTACGTACAGCCAGCTTACGCTCAGCAATGCCATGAAGCTCAAACTTGTTGTATCGAGGCATCTGTGGGTTTCGTATGACCGGTATAGATATAGTGGCGCATGCCACATCGGTGAACATGTTGCAAGCCTGGTGACGTTAATGTGATCAGGCATTCTTGGCTGGAAATGGCTGGATTTACCTGTGTTCGCTAACGCAGTACTGACAAAGAAGCCAATGAGTAGCACCTGGCATTGATCGTAGTACTCTAAGTACCAGATACAGGTGAGTATTGCAATGCCAAACTGAAGAATGCGAACAGGGTAAATGCCACGACAAAGGCTATCATTACCCATAATGTGCACCTGAACCAGGCGTTTTTCTTACTCAGCCTTACGAGAAAAAGCGTAATAGTTATTGTTCAGTGGTATTGAAGCAATGATGGCTGGAATACTGGTTTGGTGATAGACAGCCTGGTTGCTCCCTGCAAGATTGGATGGCGCCTAAGGCCATGGCGACTCTGGACGACGAAACATATCATCTTCGTCATTTCATCATCCTGTTTGCATCGAAGTCTCTTAGCGACATGAGGATATGTTTTCTTGGGGACTTACACATACTCACATGTTGAGTGATTATGCATTGCTAGCTTGCGTGACACAAATACGCCGCCCACAGCGATGTAGGTGACGGCATTTCATGGGATTCCCATATTTGTTAGGAACCCGAGGCTGCTATCACCTCCGCTACGCTCATTCTTTCGTGTTCGGCGGCTCGTACAGACTGTGGAGACTCTAAGCCAAAAGACCCAGTATAGCGATCTTTCCCGAGGCCCGCGTTGGATCAGATTCCGCTAGTAACTAGTGCCTGTGAACCCTGCCCAGGTGCTGATGCTGGCTCCACAGCGTCCCGTCTTACGGAACACCATCGAGACTTCCGCGAAGAAAGCGTCGAACATCATCTGCAACCTCTGAGTAGTAGTAGTAATAGTAGTATTAGTAGCTGGCGTCTTCCGTTTGCTTTACCCAGAACAGCACAACGGAGATCGACAGTCGTGGTCGTAAGAGACAGTTTTGCGAGCTCTTCATTTACCCTGCATGAAGAAATCTGCCGTTCCTGCGTGGCTGCAGCGTGCTCATCGGTTTCGCGACCTCGACCCGGCCAAGCCATCCCATCGGGGCTTTACGATTCAGCATTTGCAACCGATTGAACGAATCTCGACTCTCGTATCTTGGACTCATGCGACGCTACTGTATGAACATCTGGTATAATGCAGAAACCACGTTGGTTGCCTTAAATGAAGCCCTATTTCAGTAACTCCGATGCGGAAGACTGCAGAGAGCATCTTTCGCCTCCGCGACCACCTCGGATTCAAGTTAGCGAACCTTGCAAGCGTAGTCGTTGCATGTGTGTACAATTTTGATACGGGGCCAAATCGTATCGTCGACGCATATATAGGACTGTTGGCGCGCAGCTGTCGTCGCTCTATCCTAACGCAGCGCTTTACTTCTCTTGGTGAGATTCTTAGATAAAATGCGATTCTGTGGAATTTCTGCCATTGCGCTGGCTTTGACCAGCGTTGCTTCGTCTGCCGCGGTAATACCTAGAGATGATTTGCTTACAGATCTTCAAAATCAGGCCATGGAGGCACTGAAGCAGGCCGAGGCAAACAGTACACTTGCGAAGAGGAGCTGCTCTCTCTCCAACGCACATGTCCGTCGGGATTGGTGAGTGATTTCAGCATATTACTCGAGAAAATGAGAAGCTGACTTCTGCCACAGGAACTTATTGAGTAAAAAGGAACGAAAGTCCTACATCAAAGCTGTGAAATGTATGATTTCGTCGCCATCAAAAACACCTGCAGGACTTGTATCCGGCGCAAAAACACGATACGACGATTTCGTCGCTCAGCATATCAATCAGACAACGTCGATCCACGGAACGGGCAATTTCTTGAGCTGGCACAGGTACTTTGTGTACGGCTATGAGAAGGCTCTGCGGGATGAATGTGGCTACACAGGTTACCAGCCGTACTGGAACTGGTTTAGTTACCAAAACGATTTGAGCAAATCTCCCCTTTTCGATGGTTCCGAGACTAGTATGGGCGGCGATGGCGCTTTCCTCAAGCACAATGGCAGTGTCAGCGGTGGTGGCTTGATCCCCTTGCCATCAGGAAATGGAGGCGGATGTATAAAGAGTGGTCCTTTCAAGAAGTAAGTCGGGTATTCTCAAGTTCTCAATCATCCATCTAATAGCGGTCAGTCTGCAACTCAACCTCGGTCCTGTCCTCCCTGCTATGGAAGGATACGCTGCCGTAACGGACCCATTTGAGTGGAACCCAAGATGCGCTCGACGCGATTTCATTCCTACTACCGATGACTACACCTTCACCAACCTATTTAACATGACACTCGGCGAAGCTGCTCAGAGCGTATACACGTTTCAGAACGAGCTTCAGGGACGTTTTTCCGACGGATTTCTAGGTACACATACCGCTGGACACGTGAAAGTTGGTGGTGATGCCGCCGATTTCTTCAGCAGCACGAACGACCCTGTGTTCTTCCTGCACCACGCCATGTTAGATCGTGTGTGGTGGATGTGGCAGGCGTTGCATCTCAATCAGGCAAAGACAGTAGCTGGTACCATTACTATCCTCAACAACCCACCAAGTAGGAACACTACGTTACAGGACGTCATCAGCACGAATTTCCTCAACATGCCAGACAGGCCGATCGGAGATCTGCTGGGTTCGCTGGATGGAGAGCCATTCTGTTACATCTACTTGTAGTACATTGAGACATTGTATATACGCTACCTCGAATACAGTACATAGAAATGCACATTTGAATGTTCACATTTACGCCTAGCTGTTGATGACGGTAATACGCAGCAGGCAACGCGCAAAGACCCACAGAGCCGCGAACTAACACGTACCCACATTCCACAGCCCGCTAATTGGTCCGATCACCACTAGCCATCGTGATACTACTATCGACTCTATGACAACCTCTCAATCAATCTCATCATCGTCTTCTCACAACAATCAAGCGAAGCAGATGCTGCAGCCTATTCCCATAATCGGCGCTGGCATCGCCGGTCTAACACTGAGCCGCAGCCTCCTTCATCGCGGCATCCCAACCATTATCTACGAAAAGTCAAGCTCAAGCCCACGCTTCAACTACGCCATCACTCTTCATTCGACTGTCTACCAGCCCCTTCTGGAAGCTCTGAATCTTGATGATGTTTCGTTCAAGAAACGCGTCGCTGTCGATGCCGAAGATGGAGGGGCTGGAACAATCGGAGAGCAAGTAGATTTGCCCAGCCATGGAGGTCTATACGCAACAACATCATCATTTCGCGCCAATAGAGCGAAGCTCGAACACCTGCTTCGTGAAGGTCTCGACATACGTTGGAAACACAGTCTTCAAGGTGTTCAGAGGACTCAAAAAGGACCTAGGATACGTTTCAGTAATGGCGAATCGTGGTCTAGTGGGAAACTTGTTATAGGCGCAGATGGTGTGCATTCCGACCTACGGAAACTCCTGCTCCCAGCTTCATCACATCTGAATGTCCTTCCGTATGTCGTTTTCAATGGGAAAAGGAGAATGGAGAGGGAGGAGTTTGACAATATGTTCCGCGACGTGGCGAGGCCAAGGGAAACGAATGTTTGGGAACTAAAAGCTGGGGATGTGATGCTTAATGTCAGTGTTAACAAGACGACGAGTGAAGAGGTAAGCCTTAGCTGGGTCTACTCGCGTCCTGTGCGTAGCGACGAGGACGCACTGCATCGTCCTAATAGGCCGAACGAGGACGCGCAAAAGACACCCGATGAGCTCTTTCAAGAGATTGGTGAGCTGAGAAGTCTGAAGTCTCCCTTCTCGGACATATTCGATGCGAAGAAGATGCGCGGGGACAGGATACTGCATTGGCTGATGCGAACAACATCTACACCACTGTCGGATTTGCAGGATCTGTTTGCGAGGAGTGGAGTATGCTTAATGGGCGATGCAATTCATGCAGAGCCTATCGTGGGAGGTAACGGAGCTAACGCCGCTATCCTAGACGCATTGGCGCTTGCAGAGGTCATCTCGAGCGAAGAAAAGAGAGGTTTGGAACGTATCAACAGCGACGTGAAGAAAGGCGTATCGAAGTGGTATGACGAACGTTATCCGGACTGGGAGCAAGGGGCTGTAGAAAGTCAAAAAGCCATCACAAGAATGCATGAGCTGTCGTTAGGGGCGGATGCGCGGCTTTAAGTATCCATGTAGGAGTACTCACCGAAGTAAATTAGGGAAGCCACGTCAATGCAGACAAGGGTGACATGCTCGATAGATCTGTGTACTAAGAAACTAGTTCTTTCTGGATTATCCGACACTACAGAAGGTACTCTACAAGCACTTGCTGCACTTCCTAGTAATATACTTGCAGAATTCAAAATGCATTATGCCTTTGAAGCACGTCAAGGACGTGCAGTAGAGTTCAGTAAAACAATACCTGACTGTAACAGCATTTATTGGTCACTACAGAACAGAACGGACTTGGCTGAATAGAAAGCATCTCTGGTATTTTGTAGTCAGGTAAAACTGGGCAGCCACAGCTACCACGCAGTCAGACGACTATCAAGGCGTGTCGTGTCGGTATGGGTCTTTTGCTGGCCATTTAGACCGTGGTCTCTTGTTAGAAGTCGTCACAGGCATCTACCAGCCACCTCCGCCAGTGTCACCTCCCCATGAAGCCTCACCTCCAGCGACAGCAGCAGTATCGCCATCACCCGCACCCGAACCCGCACCCGCACCCGCACCCGCACCCGCACCCGCACCCCAATCACCACCTGAATCACCTCCATCCTCAGCAATAGGCCGCTTGCAGCGCTGCTCAGGTTAGCTTGTCGCACTTGCACATTGGATGATATCGAACATACCTTAACGGTGTGGCCCATCTCGTTACAGTTATTACACTTGACCTTAGACCAGTCCTTGGGTTCAGGACAGTCGCGGGAGAAGTGACCCGTCTTTTCGCAGTTGCGGCAAAGAGTCCTTTCCGGGTTCTTAGGCTGGTCGCAGTCCTTGGCCATGTGTTCGGTGGAATCGCAGTTGCGGCAAGCACGAGCGGCAACGTTGGGACACTGTCAGCTGTTAGTATGGGCTAGAATGATTCGTAGTCCCACGATACTTACATCCTTGGAAAAGTGACCAGTCTCGTTGCACTTGCGGCATTCGACGCCCTCAGCAGAGCGAGGCTCAGGACACTCCTTGGAGTTATGACCCTCCTGCTTACAGTTCTTGCAGGCGTAAGGGTTGACACGCTCCTTGGGGCAGTCACGAGCACGGTGGCCAACTTCCTGGCAGTAGACGCACTGAGCCTCGGGCACGGTGTTCTCGCGCTCAGCCTGCTCTTGCTTGCAGTACTTGCGAACGTGACCAAGCTCACCGCAGTTACCGCATAGCGGGACACCGCAATCCTGGACGTAGCCGCAGGAGGTGAGGCGCTCCAGATTCTCAGTAGGACTCTCAGGCCAGCCTTGAGCCATCTTGGCGCGACGAGGCTTCGCAGAGAGCTGGACGGACAAAACAAACTTGCAATCTGGGTTGCCGATAAGGTCGACGATAGTCATGTTAGGGGCGATCTCCTGCTGCTTGGCGATAAGAAAGATTGCGAGGTCATCCTCGCGAAGAGCCTGCTCGACGGCGGCAAGATTGAACTCATCCATGGTAGCGCGAGCGTAAGCCCTCAAGCAGATGCGGAAGGCGTCGAGGTCCTTCTCTTTGGCAGCATCGATCAGAGCAACCCAGGCAGCGGAGGCATCCATCTCAGGCACACCGGACCAGTCGACAATGCGACGAGACTTGCAGTCGACAGCGCGATGGCCTTGCTGATCGCAGAGTTTGCAGGTACCATCGAAAGCACGCTCTACCCTCTCGTTGGTACAATCTGCCTTGTTGTGACCAACTTGACCGCAGTTGAAGCACTCGCCAGTAAGACCGCCACCGCCCTCAGGCTTATCAGGGCAGTCGCGGGCGAAGTGACCGGGCTGCTTGCAGCTGTTTTATTGTCAGCAACATAAAACGAAGTTGGCTGACGAGGCATTGCTTACATGCGACAACCGTCGTCGTTAGCATCGCCTCCGCCTCCGCCAGCGTCAGCACCACTTCCCCAAGAATCGCCTGCACCGGCACCGGCACCGGCATCATCGCCGTTCCAGCTGTCGCCAGCAGGAGCCGGATCCCATGAGGAGCTGCCGCCTGTTTTTGTGTCAGTAGAGGCTTGAGGCTACCGCAGCATGTCGCATACCTGCAGTTGTACCCGTATCCCAGCTCATAGCTGTGGGTGATGACTGGGGGGATTGGAGTTGATGTCAAGTGTCTGTACGACAGTATGGTTAGCATACGCAACAAGTGGAGAGTTAACGCTGACAATCCGAGACTGTCGTCGTAATATGGAGTGAAGAACCAACCACCGGATGGGAGTGACTGACCTTTTTGTAGTCCAGTGACAGTAACGCGATCTGTCTGCAACAAGCACCGAAGAGATGATCAGAGTGATCAAATAGTAGATTGCGGTCGGTCGATCGACTGCTGGGGAAGAACTGAAAAGTAGGTATTGGGATTGGAAATTGTGTTGTGGACGCAACTTCTCTATTGATATGGGGTAAACAGGCGGAGGGCCCGTGCTGAAGCCCAGCGATAACAATGCAGGTGAAGGTGAGGTCAGTATTGTAAATCGCTATCAGTATCGGGAAGCTGTAGGTGTATCATTGGCGACATGCCACGCGATATGCTGGGTACGGTAAGAGAGGATACGTGTGGTGATATGTAAGGAACGTAAAGCGTCGACGGCCGCTTTGGGACGACAGCGAGAGCAGAGCGATAATCCACTTCAACAGAAAGAACAGGAGCAACGAGAATAGCAGGAAGACGAAAAAGAGAAACAGAGAGTCAGAAGCTCTTGTGAGCGTTGAACTGGCATTTGGCACATGAAATACGTAAATACTCATCCTGCACGCCGAGATCGCGTGCTTTTCCAAGAAGCTGGTATCATGTCATGAACCTCACCAAAGAAAAGGACGGAAGTCCTCACAGCACCACCCATAGTCATTTAAAACCTGAACGCCAAAAATGATTTCAACCCCCCAAACTGTCGACATCGTGTCTGATCATACACCACGGAACTGCAAATCGTTAGTATGTGCCTCACGTCTGGTTGGTGTTGCCCCAAAGCCATTGGTGCGTCACTTACCATTCGTACCACCAAGAACCACATAGCTCCGATGAACCTAAACGCAGCCAAGCCAGCAACACTGTAGAGAACTACTGCCAGGTAAATAGTGGCAGCGTCGTTCTGCTTCTGCTGAGCCTCGTCGGGACTACTGACGGTGAGCTCCAGGCCACCGGACTGCAGAACCAAAGCCGACAAGCCCAAATTGCAGAACATCCAGAAGAGCACGACACCAGATCGAAAGCCCTTGTAGTAATCTTCTTGCTTCTCGCTAGCCGAAGGAACCTTTTTCTCTTCCTTCCACTTAGCGCTGAAGACGCGGAGTTCTGTTTCGTACTGAGTGTTGAGATCGGCGTCGTCAGTTGGCGCCTGGATATCAGCTTTACCATCAGCCTTGGTGGTGACCGAAGGCAACTTTTCCGGTTTGTCGTCTCCCTTAGTGCCCCAAGTGATATCGTGGGTATTGCAGAAGGCGTAGACGTTGAGAATGTTGATGTAGGTGGGTGTCATGAGCAGGTATTGGAAGAACGACGTGAACATGTGCCATGGATCCAGGAAGATGATGGACACCACTAGCCACATCACATACGTTGATAGTAGTGATATAATCAAAGTGGCAAAGATCTTATCCTTGAACAGGTCTGCCGCGTTGAAGCCACCGTTGGTTTCGATCTGTCCCTGGACGGAGCGAACGGTGATGAAGATGGACGCGAACATGAGATAAGCCATGATAATGCACCAGAAGTAGACCATAGACATGTACCACTTGTTGGAACCCTGTGGCCGATTACCGAGTGATAATATGAAACACGTTATCAGCACAGCGATGTAGAGCCACTCAAATACGATAAAGAGTACTTTACCCGCCGTACCGAGTTCGTTCTGCAAGGAGGCCGTAAGGATGCGGAAAACCAGGAAGAAGTTACCAAGAGCAAACCAGGCAAAGATCATGCTAATAGTTTGATAGGCAAACTCAACGAGAAACATGGTTTTGCGCAAGAAAGAGTGGTCACTCCGGAAGATATCGAAAGAGTGAGCCAGGGCGTAGACAGCAGCGAAGAAGGATCCGTTCAACCAACGACGACGTTGACTGATGAATTCGGCCATGGTGGTCGGTACATCTGTCTCTCCGGTAGCAGATTTGACATACTGGAGGATCCAATGGCAATTTCTCTTGGAGACGAGCTCGAAGCAAAGAATACGATCCTCGGCCAGGTACATGTTAGCTGTAAAAATTCCAGCGTTGGCACCGTGCATCTTTTCACCAGCAAAGTACTTCTCCAGTGGCCCTTGTCCAGTCTTGTCGTTTTGGAGCGCTACGTAGCGGTATGCGGAGAAGGCACCAGGAAGCACAGAGATGAAACCAAACGCAGACTCGAGAGGCTTATCCAGGATGTTACTCATCTTGTACTCGAAATTCTGTGTCGCAACCAGCGGGTTCAAGAGCTTTTTACCATGCACTAGCATAGCCTTGATCTCACCACAGGCACCTGCACACATGGGCTCGAGATCAAACGCCTTCCACAGCTGGTAGACTGAGTCTTTTCCAGGCTTTGTACCAGCATCGATAAGCACGCAAACATTGGGATCCAAAACAGCTCCGAAAGCCTGGAAGAACCATCGATGGGAGTTGATCTTCTTCTGGTTCTTTTCTTTCAAACAGAACAGCATTTGGACGGGGGTGTTGCCTTTCTTGACGCCGACGACGCCCTTCTTGATGTCGAGCGTCATTTGCGTGGTGTACTCATATATATGGGCAGTCACATCCTTGCCGTTGACTTGCTGCTTGGCAATGCCGTCCTGGTAGACACCGAGGGCTGCTAGCACGGCGCGGGTCCTCGGGTTGATCTTGGCACGACCATCGCTGACGACGCAGACTACGATCTTCTTCCACGCGTCCTTGCCCCACGTCTTGCTGTTGGTTCGCGAGTTCATATACTCAATGTTCTTGATGACACCAATCATTGTCCGCGCAAACAATTCATCCTCCTCGTTGTACATGGTGATAACAATGAAGAGCTCAGTGTGCCTTGGCTTTGCAAAAAGCTTCTGACGCAAAGTGAAGCGCTCTGCATCGAAGTCTGCAGGGTCGCATGTGGCGGCCGAGTAGCGCATATGAGTGAACTCGTCACGCTCCGGGGGCTGTGCATGTGGAACCTGGTTCAGTAACCGCGGCGGAATTGGACAATCGAGCACCAAATTGCCCTTGAACAATTGGACTTCCTTGACTGTTTTCCATCGCTTGATTGGAGCTGGGCTAGGTGTGGGCGCGGGCTCGTCGTGGAAGGGGTTCTCTGGGTCCATGTCATCTGCGTCATGGGGATCCGGGCCATAGGAATTGGCCCCGTGTATCATCGGTCTGTTCATGTCCTCATCTTGCCAGTAATGCGTCGGTTGTGTGCCGTATCCTGCGCCTGGGCTCTCATCATGCGGAGTTGGGTCGTAAGGCTGGTTGTAGTATGCATCGTGATGCGCTTGGGGGTCGAGCGAGTAATCGGAGTCGTGATGTTGCGGTCGTGGGTCGTAATCGTCGTGATAGTTGCCAGCGGCGTATGGGATGTTCTCTACTGAGTACTGTTCTATGTGTCAGCCTGCCGAATACCTCAATCCACGGTTGAACGATCTGCACAGTCTGCATCGCTCGTCGTCTTCGGGGAGACGCGATACATACACTTGGTTGTAACGGCAAGCGGTCGCCGGAGGCTGCTGCAGGGTTGGGTCCCATTGGGATTTCCAAGATGCCCGAGGGTTGTGGTGACGCATAGCGGTCTTCTAGTTGATAGCCACGGAGAGGCTGCCCTGGCGAAGGAGTGCGCCCAACTTGTCTTCGGGGATCCATCTCGTACGGGTCGTCGCTACCGCCTGGTGCGCCTATGTAGTACGGTCAGCCTGACTGGCAAGTGTGGCACCTCGTGGTGGAAAAGGCTTGTTCGGTGGTTTGCGAAGGTGTCAAGGTTGACTGGCCTCTCCCATGCGACCTCGAGTCTGCCAAGTTATTACTCACCTAATCTGTTGTATGACATGTTGATGTGTTTCCAGCGTATGCTGCTGCGCCTTCAATCTTTCTGCGGCAATGCGACGGGCGGATCAACAGGCCAAAACACAAATACAAGGGGTTGCCCAGTTGAAAAGCCAAAGGTGCGACTGTTATGGTGTGCTATCGTATAGGCGTCGCGGGAAAGGCGACTGGTATATGTTCGGGTTTCAGGATGTGTTTGGTGCGTTTGGCGGGCCGGTAGCGCTCTGGGGTTGTTTACTGTAGCAACCAGCGGGTACGCATGGGCGGTCAAATGATGTAACACCAAGAAGAGCGCAAGTAACCGGCTTTCAGAGATTGTAACGACTGGGGCCTCAAAGCCTATAGAGATGAAGTGGTTGCAGCTGAGTTTAGCTCGTGGAAGACTGGCTCCTTGGAGGGTTCATCCATTCAAGTGCACCTGAGCAGCTGCCAAGGAAGCACTCACTGCGCAATCGTCGTGGGGTGCGCCACACTTCACAGCCCTGCGATTACGAAGCCCCAAGGTCTATTTCCGTCAAAGCTTTGCTCACCAACGGCTGTGAAAAGGCCGAACTTTATCGCTATCGATAGATGATTGGAGCATACATGTTGACTAGACGACATGGCTTTTCCTTCCTGCAATTCTCGTCAGCATGGCACTTTTACTCCTTGAACATCAGGCAAGTCATCAGGCGCATGCTCATGCGTATGCTGCTCTGGCAACTGGACGATTTCGGAAACCCCACCAAGGCCGAAGTGACAGGTCACTCGTACATACGTAGACGTGTGGCTGCCGCAGTGTGAGAATGGCTCGAGTGTGTGTAGATCTTTACACTACACTGCGTATTCCTACAAGTGAGCAGCAAAAGCAACTCAAACCTCAATTCAATATGATACCTGCGTTGTCTTATGATCATAACGCACTGGTGATCGCTCGCTGTCACGTTTGGCGTGCGTGCACAGTACCTGTCGATCCCACGTCATTTGCGGCGGTGCACATCGAGTCTTAAAAGACATCTCACCGTACCTAGAGTGTAATTATTGTCGCGGTATTAGTGTATGATACATGGATCGCCAAAGAATGTCACGCGAATCCAGGTAGCCTACTCTATCGCAAGTGGAAGCGCTTCAACTGTTGCTTGACCTAACAGGCCCAATCCCGACGATACGCCGTCCCAAGATGATCTCCGATCTTCCCAGATTCCTCGCATCCTCGTCTTCCCACAACACTCAATCGCAAAGGAACCTCACGCCTACCCAACCTACCCACACACGACCAAGACACCTCCCATATCGCCACAATGAGCGACTCCAAATCCCCTAGACCCGTCTCCGTCCTATTCGTCTGCCTAGGAAACATCTGTAAACACACCTCCACCCTTTGTATTCCACCACAGCACTAACCTCTCTCAACAGGCCGTTCAACAATGGCAGAAGGCGTCTTCCAGTCTCTTACCGCACCCTCGCACCCTCTGATCTCAACAATCGACTCTTGCGGCACGGGCGCCTACCATGTCGGTTCCAGCCCCGACTCACGCACCATGGCCACCCTAAAAGCGAACAAGATAACCACCTACCGCCACTCGGCACGAAAATTCTCTCCTGGCAGCGATTTCGAAAAGTTCGATTACATACTTGCAATGGACGATGAGAATTTAGAAGATTTAGAAGCATTGAGGCAGAGGGAGCTTAAGAAGAAGGGCGGAAGCGACGAGGGCATTGGGAGGGTTATGCTGTTTGGAGAGTTTGGGGGGAAAATGAGGAAGGGGAGGCGTGGAGAGAAGGGCGAGGAGATTGTGGACCCGTACTATGGAGGAGATGACGGGTTCAAGGCTGCGTACGAGCAGTGCATGAAGTTTGGTAAGGTGTTTTTGGAGAGGCTTGAGAAAGGAGAGCTGAGCTGAAGGGAGACAAGGTCATGGATGGTAGACGATTATTTCAAGTGTGGACTGGTTGTGTGTTTAGATACCCCATAGACTGCCCTAGGCTACAATGCATGTACAATTTCAATTGGACTCTAATAAGCCTCATTACAACGTGTGATGCTTCCAGGGTATAATTCGTTATCGTGTCGTATCGCTATGAGTTCCGCTTAATCTGCCTCTCAAGATCCAGTAGCTTCTCTACCAATTTCCCTCGCATAAAGTCGGTCAATCCCAAACTGCTTGTGTTAGCTTCGCGCCCAACTCTCTGGATTACAACAAAGATACTCACATCCCCTCCCTCGTCACGACGCGGTACGTCCCGCTGTTCTGCCAGCCTCCGTCTCCTCCACTAAAATGACCATTGCCGTCAACTTCGACACTGCCGAAGATGTCCTCGGGCCACGCAATGCGCCCATAGTCTGGTGGATTCCTCAGATCACTGATATGTATCCAACCTCCATGACCTGCTCCTCCCATGCCGCCTTGGTGATTTGCGCCGCCTGCGCCATCGTTCGGTTGCGAAAGGTTAGAGCCGCCTGGTGACGCGTAGACGGCTGCTTGCGATTGTACATATGGGTCAGAGATGGCGTGTGTGGCGAACACCGAGGATAGGATGGGAAGGAACTGTGGGTTCTCGGTGAAGTTCTGGGGCGTGGGTGGGAGAGCAGTGCATGTGCCTATGGCGAGTTGTGGTGTGGGGGGTTCGGTGGGCAGTAGTGACAGCAAACGTTTGCTCGGATCGAACGGATCTTTATGTACATACTGAATCGGGTCAGTAGGTGTTGTTCTAGAAACGTGGGGTACATACAATGTGTGGATTCTCTGGCAATGTCGAAGCATTCCTCGCGCCTCTGAGACGAAGTGTTTGCGCTGAAGGACGTACACGACGCGCAGAACGCACGAAGGTGTTCGCAAACATCTGATACAATACAGGACACATGAGTATATACAATCGTAGGGTCTGAGACTTGTTTACTATCGTTGCTGGAAATGAGGCCGAAACCTTATGCTCAGATGCTCGATTACTAACAATGACGAGGACTCGGGAGTCCGCACTAGCGGCAGATCAAGCCGCCCGTTGCTCCTTCCGTCTTAGTCTCGCAACAAAGTACCTTAGGTACCTCGATTGTCCATGACCGCATATTCGGGATAGCTTAAACAAATTTGCGATGAGTCCTAGATAGTGCCGTTGTCCCGCGTGGACCCTCGGAAAATCACACCTAGTTGTAACCCAAGTCTCGACCGCCGGCCATGATCATTCCCCAAACCATTGCTAGCGCTACCCCACTAGCCATGCAAAATGTTCGCATTGGCGAATGGGAGTGCCCACGCAGTTAGTGGAGGCATGACCGAACGGTGTATCGGCTTAGGTAAGTAGGGAAGGTGCTTCGTTGAGAAGTATCTGTTCCCCTTCGACTCACCAGTCTGTTTCGTGTTGTCGCAGTTCCACATCATGGCTTCGGACGCTGTGGAGATAGCACCCATCGAGAAAAGGGTCGGGGACACGAGCGATGCAAAGCAGACAGGGTTGCACCAGGATGTCGAAGTCGGACCCGAAATGGTCGATATTGATAGAATAGAGAGAGTTTACTCGTAAGTTGTCCATTTTCTCGCCATGAGTTATCGTGGATTATGCTAACAGCCACTCAGCAAGCTCGACCGTCGGATTCTGCCAGCGTTCTGGGTCTTGTACTTCTTATGCTCGGCAATTCGCTCCAACATTGGACTTGCTCAAACTATGAATCTGGCTGAAGGTCACGATCTTGGATCCGTACTCAACATCACGCCGAAACAGGTCTCTACTGGTCTGGCGCTGTTCTACGTCTGCTATGTCATCTTCGACCTTCCTTCCAACCTCATCATGTCGAGGGTTAGTCCTCACGCTTGGATGAGTCGCATCGTCACTTGTGTTGGTATCATCGGCATGTGTCTGACTGCTATGAACGCTGCCTGGAACCTTTAGTAGGTACTTTCCCTGCATGTTCTATTCAAAGACTAATAACAACACAGCCTTCTCCGATTGCTATTGGGTATCGTCATTGCAGGCATGTGGCCCGGTATGTCGTATTACCTGACACTCTTTTACCCTCCGTCTCGCACCGGCAAGCGCATCGGACGTTACTTCACAGCGTCCCAGATGTCTGCGGCGGTTGTGGGTCTTGTCTCAGCTGGTTTCCAGAAGATGGACGGAGTAGGTGGTCTGGTCGGATTCCAGTGGATGTTCCTATTGTACGGTATTGTCGGCTTCATCGTCGGCATATCGCTACTTTGGTGGCTTCCCGATAGGCCACTGCCTCCTGGTGAAGTTCGTCAACCAACTGGATTGGCGAGATGGCTGCCGCAAGGCAAACCAGCCCTAGAAGGCGAAGACGCGCGCATCCATTACGAGGATTTGACCCGCGTCTACAGCCGTAAGCTGTGGAATATGCAGGATCTCTGGCACGTCGTAATTGATTGGAGAATTTACCCCCTTGTCGTCATGTACTTTGGTGTGGTGGGAGTAGGCAATGGAACACAAGCTTACGCGACTGTTATCATACGCGGCATCAACCCAAGCTTGACGGGCATTCAGCTCAGTCTGCTTTCGGCACCCATCTGGATTGTAAGTATCTGAATCTTGTTGTGTGAATTGAGCTAATTGCAACAGATGGACCTCATCGCCATTCTCCTCGTGACGCCAATCTCTGATCGTTTCCACCATCACCGTCCTGCTTTCTTCAGCGGCGCCGTTGTCATACAGATTGCAGGTCTGTTGATCGCCACATTCGCCAAAGACTGGTCGCGTTACGGTGGTGTGCTACTTATCGGCTTCGGACTGGGCCCGACGGTGCCGATTTGTATGGCCTGGTCCAACGAGATCTTCCAGCCCCGCCATGGAGAGGTGGGTGTAGCAGCAGCCAGCGCACTTGTGTCTGGACTTGGTAATCTAGGAAGTATCTTGACTACCTACGCACTCTATTCTGGATGGCCCGAAGATGCCAAGGACGGTCCGCACAAGTACCGCAACAGCAACTTTGTCATGATTGCCATTCTGTGCGCTAGTATACTCAGCGCGGGAAGCATGGTGGTCCTACTGAAGATGTTTGGCGACAACAAAGGAAAGCAGGTTAGTAGTGCAAGCTCGACTAGCGAGTGCGAGGCTGCATACGTGGATGGTGCTGCTCGGCGCGAGGTCCAGCAGAGGGGTCTCGGACGAATGTTTTGGTTCCGATGAAGAGCGGGTGGAGAATGGTCCTGCAGGCGGTGATTGGCAAAGTGGCAGTCATGGAGAAGACATTGGTTGGGATGGGTTTCTGGAATTGCCCATGGGGCAGCCAGAGGGTCACGAGAAGGCGGAGCACTCGCGTGGAGGCGGGAACCAGGTCTACCTGATGCAAGTCAACAATCCCGGGCGGACAGCGCTGCTGCGACTGCTGTAAGACAAGATATACAAGTACCACCAAGCATAGTACGTTGTTCCGATTAGTGTGTCGTTGGGAGTGCCGTCGCAGGTGTGCGTGATAGCAATAGCCGACCGACGCCGGAGCAGCGGTTGTTCAACTCGCAGGCAGAGCCAAGAGGGGCTTCACGATACCCCAAGCTCCGTCACTTTTTGCGCCTAGCCTGCTTCCCCATAACTCCATCTTTTTCTTCACCCTGCTCCGCTTCCGGCGCCTTGCCTCGCGTAGAAATCCTCGCAACCTCTGCTCCCAACATCCAAAGCACCCCGTGTCTCATCAGGAGCGCGCCCCACCACAGCTGTCCATGCACTGCAGTCGACGATCTGACAATCGATAAACCGTGTCACCGACTCGGCCGCCTCACACCGATCAGTCGCACGCAACCGCTGCAAGCACGCGCTCCAGGGAGTCATTGTACACGCCCTTTCCCCTTCGCCCCCCGACACGTTTGATGGTGGCCCTCGCAGCGTAGTAGCGGGGCAGTGAGCCAAGCGCGGTATACTCGCAGCACAGAGCCCCAGGACCACGGCTTGCGCGCCCCGCTGTAAAGAAACAGACAGCAGTGACGTAAGTGCTCGTTGTTTGCCAGCACCCGCGTCCGTCTTCACATGCTTTTGGAGCCACCCGCTTGTCTGGCTCAGCCCTGCATCGGCATACCTGCTAACACCCCATGTATAGTCCCCGCAGGCGCTCACCAGCTACCACCCCGGCCAAAGCTCCAGCCAGTGCTCTCAGGCACGACAAGCCCCACTACATCACCGCCGCTCCATCAACACCACGCGCACCATGTCGGCCGCAATCGACAACGAAGACCTCGAGGAGCTCTCCATCTCCATGCCCGCCCAACGCCGGGGAGCTGGCGCCGCAAGCACCACCAAGGCCCAGGACCATGCCGTCGCGCCGCCCGCTGCGCTCGGCACAGCTGTGCAGGAGAGCAAGAGCAAGGACTCCAAGGCGAACCAGCGGCTCGGACAGTACACCATAGTCAGGACACTAGGCGAAGGCTCGTTCGGTAAAGTCAAACTGGCGACACACCAGGTCAGCGGCCAGAAGGTGGCTCTCAAGATTATAAATCGCAAGCGACTCGTCACTCGAGACATGGCCGGCAGGATAGAGCGCGAGATCCAGTACCTGCAGCTGCTACGACATCCTCACATCATCAAGCTGTGAGTGGACTGCATGTCCCTAGCTTTCGTATACTGACCGCCTGCAGGTACACAGTCATAACGACACCGACAGAGATTATCATGGTCCTCGAATACGCCGGCGGTGAGCTGTTCGACTACATCGTCAACCACGGGAAGCTGCAGGAAGCCCAGGCGCGCAAGTTCTTCCAGCAGATTGTCTGCGCCGTTGAATACTGCCACAGACACAAGATCGTACACCGAGATCTAAAGCCCGAGAACCTCCTGCTCGACGACGAGAGCAACGTCAAGATTGCCGACTTCGGACTCAGCAATATCATGACAGACGGCAACTTTCTCAAGACAAGCTGTGGAAGTCCCAACTACGCCGCACCCGAAGTCATATCTGGAAAGCTCTATGCAGGTCCAGAGGTCGATGTCTGGAGCTGCGGTGTTATCCTCTACGTTCTACTCGTAGGCCGACTACCCTTCGACGACGAGTACATTCCCACTCTGTTCAAGAAGATCGCGGCCGGGCAATACAGCACGCCAAGCTATCTATCCCCTGGAGCCACGTCTTTGATCAGGAAGATGTTGATGGTCAACCCCGTACACCGCATCACAATTCCTGAACTTCGACAGGATCCCTGGTTCACCAAAGATCTGCCTGCGTATCTTGAACCACCTGCCCAAGACTTCTTCGATAGCGGCGCTGACCCGAACAAGGCAATCGATCCCAAGGCTCTGGCGCCATCAGCAGATGCTCCCCGTGTACAGGCGCTACATGAGAATGTTGTCTCGAAGCTTGGCAAGACTATGGGTTATGCAAAACATGATGTGCAAGATGCGTTGGCGCGGGATGAGCCAAGTGCAATCAAGGATGCCTACTTGATTGTTCGAGAGAATGAGATGATGCGGAAGAATCGTAAGCCAGCTCTCACCTAAAACATGTACATGGCTAACAGTCTATCGCAGCTTTATTGACAGGTGCCGAGTGGGATCAAATGTCGCCTCCTACTCACGACAGTCACATGGATAGATTCACGCCCCAATCGCTGAATGCTGCTACTCGTCCACAGTTCATACCGCCATCAAATTCTGAACACGAACGAGTACGTCAAGGCTCGAATGCTAGTAGCCAGCTTGCAAACATTCGAAGTCCTGTCAGCACAGTTGCTATCTTGCCTAGCAGTCTCACGGAATACCACAAAGCCTATATGAAAGGTCATCCGCGACCTCTGAACAAAGTCCAAGAACATGATGGTCTCCCACCCACCCCAGAACAAACTGAAGAACAACGGCAGATCTCAGCTAGAAGGTTGAAACCGAATTTCCGCACGATGCCAGAAGCAGGCAGAAACAAACCCGAGCCAATGACAAGTCTACCAGCCAAGAAACCTCGAGCGACCAAGTGGCAGTTTGGTATCAGATCTAGGAACCAGCCCGCAGAGGCAATGCTTGCGATATTCAAGGCACTCAAAGCGATGGGTGCTGACTGGGAAGTACCTAAGATACGTAGAGCAGGCGGCAGAAGTGGATCTCGTAGCCGCAGTACCTCTCAGACTCCCGACGATCGCTCACCACCTAAGTCACGAAGTCAATCGCAAGACTCGATATCATCGCACTCTTCGCATGAAGATCAAGGAGCTAGAGTGAACTCGCCACATCGTGAGCCGCTTAGTATACGTAACAAAGATGCAAATGAACAGGAGACAAGAGGTCGGCAAAAGAGGCATTACAACCACACCAATGACTGGGGTTACCATGTACCGGAAGATCCGTGGGTCATCAATGCCCGCTTCCGCAAAGAAGGCATGTTCCCTCCTGGCGTCGCACATCCTTCTTCGACGCACTCGTCGCGCGTGGATCTCGCCAACGATCCCTCTGGTGTTCGCAGGCGTAGTTCGACCAACGCAAGCGCATCGAGTATTCACGGAGTGGATGGCATGACTCCGTCTGAGCGTGCAGCTTCTCGCGCCGCTTCCATTAGCGAAGGGCACCCCGACCCCGACGAAGCGGTCTACATATACATGTCCATTCAGCTGTACAGTATCGACCGCGACTTCTTCGTCGTAGACTTCAAATGCGCAGGCTACGAGCGTCTCGTGTCCAATCTTGTCCGTGAAATAAAGGCGTCTCCTTCCATCACATTATCTTCTAGTCATTCAAATCCACACCAAGATGGTTGGGATGACGAACAGGGCGTGTGGCGTAGACTGGGCGAAGGTGAGCCGCTGCCAGAGGATTTGGCGAACAAGCTCCGTGAGGGGGGAACAGATATTCTCCGAGAGCGGACGGAGCTTGTGGGTGCTGGACGGCAGGAAGGAGAGAAGATTGTCACTAGTCCTTTTCCTTTCTTGGACGTCGCCAGCACGCTTATTCTGCAGTTGAGCGGAGAGTAGTCATGGTGTTACAAGACGGATAGACTTGGCGCTGTTGGTATGGGCTTTGTGAGACAGGGAAACAATGCGATGTGCGTAGCATGGGATTCGCAAACTTTTAGATCGCGTATAGAGGCAGATATACGAAGAGGCTTTGATACCAATGTAGTATATTATGCCCAATACAACTACCTGGATCACACGCCTTCTGCCATGTCATCATAATCATCATCAACAAGAACAACAACCATGCGTACATTTACAACTACACACAACCAGGAGCAGAAGAGATATGGCAAACAAACAAAAAAACGCCCTTTTGTTGCTCGATCGTGCATTTCGTGCCCACCCAACTTTGGTCATCTTTCCAATCTCTGCGTCCACGCAACTGCCTATACTAAATACACGTTTTGGAACAAAGGGGTGAGAAGAGCGTAAGAGCAGGCCGCTTGGAGCAGAGAGAAAACAGCGTGCAAAGTGGCGTAGATAGGATAGAGAAGGTGTATTATGAACCGGACGTAGGCATCTATCGCATGCCACCTGCGCCAAAACCGCCAGCAGCGGCGCCCATAGCACCTAGTCTTGAGGCGAGCTTGGGGTATTTTTCTTGTACCTTGAGGAAAGAGTTAGTACTTGTTGTTGTTATCGTCTTGGAAAAGCGTGTTTGGTGACGTACCTCAAGTTGTGTCCTGGTTGCCTCAGCATAGCTAAGTGCGTTGACAATCTCGCCTTCTGTCCTCGACAGCTCGGCAGCACGCTCAAAGTACTTGAGCGCCTCTGTGACCTTTCCTTGTTGCAACAGCAACTGTGCCATGGTGGCAACAGCAATGTCGCACTCTGGATCGATGATGAGCGCCTTCTCGCACAGCTTCTCGGCATCGTCAAAGTCGTTCTTCCATTGGAATAGCGCAAGGGCCTTGTTGATGAGGGGCAGGACGTTCATTCCGAGGGGCTTGCTCGTCTTCTCCATCTCGACAGCAGTGTCAAACTTCTCGATAGCCTCCTGATATTTTTGCTGATCGAGAAGCAGTTCTCCGTAGTAGTTGTAAACGTCGGGTACCTGTGAGAAGTTCTTCATGCAGCGGCGGAAAGTGGCCATGGACGAGGCGATGCTGCCCATCTTGTATTGTGTGACACCAAGTTGGATGTGGGAGAAGATGAAGTCCTTGTCGAGATCGATCGACTTCTGGTAGTCCTTTGCAGCCTCGCCAAACTCGGACTTGATGAAGTGTAGTTGGGCACGGTGGTAGAAGATGTCGGGATCGCTGGAGTTCTGTTCGAGGGCGGCGGCGAAGTCGGCTTCGGCGGCTTCTGGGTTAGCAAGCTCCAAGTGCATGCTGGCGCGCTTGATGAAGCTCTGTGTTAGTGTGGGCTGAAGCTCGATGCTCTTGTCCATGTCCTTGAGCGCGTCCTCGTTGTCGCCCTTGAGGTAGCTGAAGGTTCCACGCATGTTATACGCGAATGCCTCGTGCTCTCCGAGATGTCCAAGCTCGACTGCGCGGTCGAAGGCTGCTGCAGCTTCCGTGTATCCATCGCCGGTCTTTGTTGCCATGGCCTTGAGACCCTTGCGCAGCTGGCCCTTTCCACTCTCCTCATCAAGCTCAGCGTCGTCTTCGAGGCCTTCTGGTGTTGGCTTGGGTCGGAAGCTCTGAAGGTAGTTTGTGACGAAAGTCGGGCTCGGCAGCTTCTTCTCCTTGGAGGCAAGGATGGCCTTGCCCTTGGCATCGGCCACCTTCTTCAGCAGACGCTCGACGCTCTGTGCGCTGCTCTCATTGCGGAAGCCATCGATGATGCAGCTCGCAGTGTAGTCAAGAAGGGCTTCGCTGTTGCGCTCGACCTGCTCGTATGCGTTTGCTCGTCGGTTAAGCGCCTTTACGTATTCGTTGTCGAGGTTGATGGCGGCGGTGGTGTCCTCGATGACCTTGTCCCACTCAGACATGGCATTGTAGCAGGCGGCGCGGTTCGAGTAGAAGACGGGATCTTGCTTGCAGAGGATGGCCTTGCCGTAGAGGTCGATGGCGCGGTTATAGTCCTTGGAGCCGTAGGCCTTGTTGCCTGCAGCCTTGAGTTTGGCGGCATAGTCTTTACGGTCCTGCAAGTCGTCAGCATGGAGACATGGTGGATGACGCATACGAGTGTCGCACCTCGTCTGACAGAGAGCCTACGCTGTTCTCGTCAACGTCTGGAAGCTGGTCTTGGCTTGTTTCTGCTACGGATGCCTTCTTGTCTGTTGCCTGGTCAGTCTATGCTGTGTCGTGGCCATGCATCTACCTACCAGAGTCTGCAGATGGCTTGTTGGGCGCCGAGTCCTTCTCGGCCCTCTCCTTCGCGCGCTTGCGCTCGCGTTGCCTCTTGCGCTTGTTCGCTGCTGTGTCTGCTGCGCTGTCTCTTGAATCATTCGAGAAATAGTAGACGGCACCACCAGCACCAACGACGAGCGTTATACCTGCAATCGTGTAGACGACGCCCTTGTTCTCCGAAGCCCAATTCGACAATCGGTCCCATAGCGAGTTGTTGGTGTCGACAGGAATCTGGACTGGGAAAGGCCCCGGGCCCTGCGGGGCAGGTGCATTCACGGGCGCCATGGTCGGTGTGGTCGAGAGTGGATTAGGTAGATGGAGGTCTAGAGAGCCCGATATTGTAGTGCTCAATGGCGTTGGGCGGTTGTGTGTCGAGTCGCAGAAATTTGGGCTAGGGCAAGCTTGATGTGCAGCGACATGAACGCTGTCGGGCCCGCTCGGACGTCATCAGCCGGACCCACTTGAGACACTCAGCCTGTGGCAGACAAGTGCACACATCTTGCCAACAACTGATTCAGACACGTCCGACAATCCATTATATATATAAACATTACATACACGCATGCAAGCATGGTTACCAAAAGGCTGACCTCACAGCATGCTCCTCCTGTTGGCCAACTTTTGATATTGTCGCGACGTCCTCGTATGACCATCTTCCATCTCATAGTCCGCTGACGCTATGCTACCCGGTCTTACAGTCGCAGGGGCTCGGAGGCTCTCTACACCACTTGCTGGCCGAAGCTTTGTCGGTGCCGAGTCTTTTCTGCTTAACCGCCGCTTGATCACCTCGGATATGTGAGAGAAATAGCCATTGCCAGCTTTGACCTCTCGTGGAGCGGCTTGGTGTACCGGAACGTGGGTATGAGTATGACTATGGCTGTGGCTGTGGTTATGCACATGCGCGTGCCCATGATCACCAAGAAGATGTGACTTTTCGCCAGGTTCCATGTATAAGTGGCTACCCTCATGGTTGACGAACCAATTCACCATGTATTGTTTGCCTTCTGGCCCACCGCCACAAGATCCAGCGAGAACGTGTGATGGAGGAGAGTTGACGGCAAGGGCGAAGAGGTTTGGTGGTTCGCAAAAGTCCGTCACTAGTCCGCGGTGGAGAATGAAGTAGATCAGGACAAAGATGTTCATGGCGAAGACAAGCGCAAGTATGAGGACCCACGCTCTAGAAGCACCTGGCATGCCGCCAGATGCGTATTGCTGGGCTTTAAGAGATGCTTTGAAGAATTGAGTTTGATAATCGTCGAGCATAGGGTGTGTGTAGTTCTATAACCAGGTTAGCAAGCCTGGAAGAGGTAGAGAGAAGAAGTTTGCGTACCCAGAACGTCACAAAGGGCGTATCTATCATACTGAGAAGCAGTGTGCATCCAGCCAAGACAGCTATCGCCTCTCCTATACTAGGTATGGCGTCGCTTAGATCCACTTTGAAACTTTCTGGAGCTGGGTCGCTAGGCTTCAGTATCAACTGTGTTAATAGTCTGGAAGTGCTCGCATTCGCATCCATGAGGCCTGTGCCGAGCGAAAGGCTGTTGGCCCAGTCAGTTCCTATGTCGCGCCAATTAGCCACGCCTTGGGTATTGACGCTGACTGTCTCTCCCGTCTCGACGAAAGCCATTTTGTCGTCACCAGCTTGTTCGCAAAGTGCTTCCATGGTAGCACCGGATCCTGTGACATTGTGTCGTGTACTGCATCCTGGTCGCACCATCAGGTGTATCTTGCACAATGAAAAGATACCTGTTCCGTCCATGCCGACGTCATCTGGGCCACCTTGCCCAAGCATATATATTGCAGGTCGTCCCCAGGCGTTGCTTGAATGATTCATGATCGTGTTGAAAGATATCGGGTATTTCGCAAAGACAGGCGGCCAGTTGAGGGTGGTTGTGTCATTAACGTCCCAGCCGAAAATCTCGTCGACCACAGTCCTATTGGTTGTGGTCGCGTTGTCTCGAATTCCGGGAAGACTCCCCCACGAAAGGAGATCGACCGTTTCATTGTTCCAGGTGTCGTATACGATAGGCTCTAACTCCGTTTTATTCATGTTGACGCATAACACATTCAAAACTGGTGACGGTACCGAAGCACGCAACGAGTAAGTCCCTTCAGAATTCAACTCTTCGGGTTGCAAAATCCCGTTTCTCTGGTCGCGGGCAGCAGCAAACACACCCGAGTGGGGCATTGCCATTGTTACGTTGTTGACAGCTCGACCGTACTTCTTGGATACTTCGGTAGTATTGATGATGTCGATCCACTGCCCACTGACCGTAGTATTCTCGTATAGAAGCCCAAAGCCCTGGGGTCGTAGCTTCTGAATCGCAGTACCGTTGCCATTTCTGGCTGATAGATCCCAATCTGAAAGGTAGCGCTGAAAGTTGTGGTATCCCTGACCAGCATGTTCCATTTGTAGACAAGTCTCTCCTTGAGCTACCTTGTCAGTTCGAATGGGGGTCTGGCACATTTGCTTAAGGTAGTTGATGTTTGCGAAATCGCTCTTAACACGACCAGCCAAGACCAGGCCGTTGTCCCAGTTACCATCTCTTAGCATGGGCTGAACAGTAGCTGCAGCCGCAGATGAATAGAGAGTCGCTAGAATAGCGCTCAGTAAACTCAAGATACCCAGGAAAGACAGTCCAGCATACTTGGCAGTTTCCCAATGCGTGATTAGAGTTCCAGGTTGAACGACCCATCTCCACATGCTGAGTTCTGACAGCGTTACACCGCGACCGTGGTCTTTCATGAACGCTCTTCGACTAAGCACCTGTCCAAGGAAGGCCACAAAAGCCGTGACGAAGGACAGCTCGATAAGTTTGGCCATGACAGTCGTAAGTAGAATAGCGTCAGATGGAGTAATGGGGCCGTGGCTAGTGATGCGCCGACCATAGTGAGGCGCGCGGATAGCCAAGGCTAGAAAGATTCCAGAAAACAAGCACGAGAACAACGAAATGACAATCAGGGACAAGTTAAGCCAGGTAAAGCGCGGATGATAAAAGTCTCGCGTAGTCGCACACTCATGTATTGGGCGAAAGTCGTTCTCATATGCCGACTTGATGGATGGAGCTGCCCCGCCTCCCCTGAGTCCCTCAGTATCTGAGGCATGTATGTACGTTTCGTAATCGTTCACACTGGTGTTGCTTTGCTTTGCGTTCTTCAGTATGCCATGCCGAAAGTCTTCGTATGTGCCAACGTCCGGACTTGCCCTGCCAACGTCGGGGCTGAACCTGTCTCGTCGTAGATCTGGTGTGGACTCATTTGAGCTCTTGGGGAAGCCTCCAAAGTATGGGTCAGCCGAACCTGGAGGCGAGAAAGTGCCAGAGGTCTTTGTGGGTGGGCTTTTGGGTCCAGGACCAACAGCTCGTCGGGGGATGGGTTGTATACTGACACGTCTGGCGGTCTGCGTAGTCGCACCAGACTGTGCTATCCCTAGCCCAGTATCCTTGCCTCTTTGAAAGTTTTCTGAAATATCCTCTTCCTCATCCTCTTCTGGTACGATGCTTGGTGTGTTGCGGCCGACAGCAGCGGTATCGCTCTGGTGCCGTGCGTAGTTCGGTCGTGCAGGCGGTGGGGTAGTAAGCCCCAGAGTGTGGGAGTTATTGGAGAATCCGAGCGAGGGCAGTGCGGGTGTGTTGTCTGAGCTCTCAGAAAGATCCGAGGACTCCTGCATGAGTGGCCGTCGATCGACCATGGTGCCTGGCGTGTACCACCCCTCTTTGTTGTCGCCTACGTTTCAGCCTTCTCTTCTTACAGTGCTCTTGCGGTCCGTATTGGCGGGAGGTTGCGTAGGGTCGCGTTTGCACAACCTAGGGCTGCAAGTGAGCGGCTCAGCGTGGTTGCGGCGGGAAGACTTCACGACAGGGAGTGGAAAAGATAGACTGTCGTAACAAAGTGAAATGACATGGTAAGGTCGGTCTGTGAAAGACCTGAGAGTTAAGGCTGGAGGGGATTACTATAGCCCGGCTGTCCGCAGTTGTCGCACGCACGTTCAGCTGTCTCTGGGCGTCTGCAAGCTATTCGCTTGTGGCGCAGGATTACGGCCCCCAAACTACATCCAGACCCATCTGCTGTGCCCTGTGGTGATCCATAGCCTCCATATTACCTCGCACGACCGGCCGCGAAGACGCCGCTGTCAATCATTGCTGCTTGCGCTTTGCGAGCGCGTCTAGCCGTTCAGGAAGCTTGACGAAGCCTATCCCTCTCTCCATAGTTTGCAGTATGTATGCGGGCCGTAAAGCAAACAATCAGAGTCAGGCTGTAAATTGGCGACATCAGGGTGTCTCAACAAGGCTGGTGCTGCATGGTGACTCTTTGTGACAAGCCGTCGGGTGCGGCGAGGGGGGGTACGCGGTGCCAGGTGGGTTGGAGTGTTGGTGTTAGCACGCGTCCCCGCAAACTCCCATGCCTCGCGTCGCGAGCTAATAAAAGCACGAACGAACACTAGAACTGAAGCCATCGCTACCAACCCCATGATATTCTAACTTTCTAATATCCTACCCAATAGCCTTGACATGGTCATCCACCAGACACTTCCAATCCGCACTCCCATAGTAGACAGTGTGTCCATCGTCATGCGTCAGCTGTCCAGTGCTCTTCACGGTGTCACCCAGCTGCCAAAACAAATCCGCCGCCATACCACTATCCTTCAATGACAGACTAGTCTTTTGCCAGCCACCCTCCACCGGACAATGGTCTTCCTTCTTCGGCACACCATATTCTTCGAACAAACACGGCTTGTTGAGCTTCTTACAAATCTGCGCATGTGCCTTGATCCAGCCGTCGCCAAACGCATTGCTCACGCCCCAGCTGTCAGGGTAGAGGTGGAAGGTACCGAAACTGATATTTCCCACCTTCAAGTTTGCCTCCCAATCTATGCCTTCACCAAACTGGTAAGGATAGGAACCATCGCCCGGGAGACCGAAGCCTTCGTCGCCGACAGTGATCATGTGGTCTGAGTCAAGAGAACGGATGTAGTTACTTGTCTTGCGGATCCATTCAGTCAGGACAGACGTCTGGCAGCCATTACAGCGCGGCTCGTTGGCGAGTTCCCACGCAAACACAGCATTGGAGTTGCGATAGCGGGCAATGACGGCTTTGATGTAGCTCTGGTACATGCCCTGACATCTGGCCGCTGTGTACCATTGTGCGTTGCTGCTTACGCCGCAGGCGGAGAAGTAGGCGGCCATACCCCCATAATCGGTCCAATTATTCACAAAGTTGATTATGAGCTTGATGCCGTGCTTTTCCGCAGCTTTGACTACAGCATCCAGGCGCTGGAGACCGTTTGTACCTGTATTTATGGTGGCAGAGGATCCGGAGAAGGACTGGAAGTATACTGTGCCAGAACCAGGGATGGTTTTGACGTCGTTGAATCCCCATACTCTGAGTATTTTCTGGCCTGACGTAGCAAGATGACCCATGATTACGTCGACATCATTGTCGTTCGTCAGGAAAGGAATCCAATAAGAGTTGGTACCAGCATAGTCTATGGTATTATGAGCGGTGCAAAATGATCATTAGTCTTCAAACTTACACTTCGTCACACCATCGATGTTGAACTTGAGACCGTCGGCTTTTGAGATCGAGGCTCGTGGTGATAGGCTAAATGTTGCAGGTAATGCCGCCGCAGCTGCGCATAGCGAGAGGATTGAAAGTAGCTTCATGGAATCGAGTCGCCGGTTGCTGGTGATGAGTGTCCAGCTACCGTGTTCGAAAGAGCACTTATAAGTGCTCATCACGACTACAGTCAATACCTACCAGAAACAGAACGGTACAAGACACTCCGCTTCATATTAGATCACATGGCAATCGCATGTCGAAGCGGCTCTAGTTTGTGGGGTAGTATGGTAGCCAAGGCCGTGGTATAGTCGTAATTGGTGCACGGAAATCGAGCGGGGCTTCCATTCAATTACCACGTTTAGAATGAACGCGACGGACCGACAGCCTCCGCATTGCATCTAGTAGACTATTTTCCCTCAAGTGCCATGTGAAAGATAGGTTTGCGCAATGGGCGACAGTTGGGCAGAAAAGTCGGCGTCCATGGAGGCAATGTTTCTGAATTCCTCCGGTGCTAACCAACGATGTAATATATCCGCGACGATCTTTCCGGGAACCAGCGTGACAATGAAACGCGAATCATGTCCGACATAGGAGGTGGGAACGAGAAGGCTAGCCATGACCACTCGATCAAGACTTGACAGTAAGAAAATCATATATACTTCTTCCGTGTGACGGTATAGACGTTCCAAACTGCAAGCTCAGCAGTTGTACTCCCATATAAGTCTGGTATTCTCGGGTTGTTCGAGAAAGACAACAGGCTTACTTTCGATGAAGTTCTCGTGCAGGGTTTTCGAGCGCCTATTGCGCGTTACAAGGCAGGGTAAATGAGTTGTATTCGCCCGTCTGAGACTGAAACGACCATGTGCGTCCTGGTCAGAATCGAGAGTGTGATGAGGAGATGAGAGTTGAAAGGAAGAGTCGGCCAGCAAGAAGAATTATTGCAGCGCCCGAAAGAAGAAACACCACGGCCAATTCAGTAATCCGTACGATAATGGAGTTCATTAGCCGGTGGTCGCCTACCGTAAAAGCAAACAGCCCCAGGTTTCGGACAATACTGGAACAACGGAAGAAGTCGTTGAGAAGAAGAAAGTTATTGTCCGCATCTGCCCTGCTGCTCGCTTTACCTGGATGATGTCGAGCATAAGGCTGCAGGACTGCACAAGCGCACGGAAACGTCTGCATGCACGTCGTCAAGCTGAGATATCAGTGCCGGTCCTCCCATTTCATGTCCCTGCGAAGCGATACGGCCTAGGCCATTTCAATGTGACACGAAAGATTGGTGCCGGACCGTGTACCACTGAACTACTCCTGCACTTTGTGTCGAAAGACCAAGCCAAGGATAGCTATGGTGTTGTTTGGCCCTCCCATCTCCATACTAAAGGTTGGAGAAGGCATCCGGAGAAGTTCACCCTATGATTTCATAATTCTCTTGCTGTCTATTAAAGAAAACAATGGGTTATGGAGCTGGAGGGGATATGCTGACGAAACGCCATTTGGAAAGGGTGCCCAAGCTAGACAACAAGTACTACGTGTTAGTCAGGTAGTTTTATCAAGGCGGTGATGGCATGGCAGATGCAATCTCGCGGGACGGACACCTAGTGTGGGGGTTGCTAGAGCTATGCAATGTAGACGAAGTTGACAACGCCGCCAACTGTCAGCAAGTCAGACCTCGATAGTGAGCAAACCACCGGTGAGTTTGCCTGACGTGGGTGGCCAATGTTGGATTCGAGTCATCCAATAGTGGGACAAATATTCGGGGTCACGATCCTTTTGGTAGGCGCCGTTTTGCGCCTTGCCAACTCGGAATATTCACACAGACCGTCGCATGCTCGATGATGCAGTCCATCCTGATCTGACTGAAATCGCGCACTGCCTCCAATGCCGTGCAACCCGCATCTTGCTTAGGGTTGCAGAGAGCTGACCTGGTGTAGCGGTGCACTGAACTAAGATCTGGGCTAGTGCCGTCGCGTGGCGTAGCCGAAGGTAGCGTCAAGGACGATGACCACGAGTCTGGTGTTGCTTGTCTTAGTCCCACACGAGGCGTGGCGTAAGACGTGGGCATCAGTATCGATAGTCGAAAGCGCACGGCGTAACTTGCCGTTCCAGCTAATGCCCCGCAGTGTCGCCGTTGAAGCCACAAAAGGACATGATCAGGGACGTCGTACTAAACGGAGCAAGGAGAGGTCTGTCCTAGGGTGCGTTTCAGACCCAAATTTGAGGATGTGAATGTGGAAGAGGAATGAGACAAGAGGGCAAAGCAAAACGTTGTGTTGTATCATCCCACACATCAGCTCTTCTCCAGGATAGCCCTGGAACGTGCTGCACATTGAGGCTCGGGCCGGTTAGGGCCGGAAATGTGACCTGGGCTATCAAGTCTGACCCCGGGTCCGCGTACACGGTTGATCGACCATAGCGGCCGAACGCGTACAGTATCGAATTTTCCGCGCTCGGATGCGGCAGAGCACTCTCACTGACAAGGATGCTGCACCTCCTGAATAATCTTCGTGTTGGTCAGACGAAACAGTGCGTGACCGGTTGCTTTGCGCTGAATGCTGCTTGATAACCTGTATTGTATTTGTGCTACACATCTCAACGGAGAGTAGCCGCAATTAGAAAAACAATCGCATCGTTCATGGAATTACTTAACGTGGTGTTGCCGAAGACTACCGAATGTCCGTGCTGGAACATTCAAATGGGTGTACGGCATGAAATTCGACAGCAAAGGCTGATCGTCCGTTGTCCGCGGCTCACCACCAGGGCGACATGACACGAGAACCAACATCTCGCGAGAGTATCAGATGGAAACAATAGGCACGAGAAATTGTCGTTCTTACTGGGAGTTTGCTCTGCCAATGACATCCTGTCGAGAATGACGCACAAGCATTTCAGCCACCGCCGATTCCGACTTTCTAAGGCCCGAGCCCTGCGAGCACCGTCACAGTTCCTCACCTCAGCCTCTCCCAAAACAAAATCTCGCCAAGGCTAGGCGGAAGCGGGGGGTAGACCGCGGTGCCCTAAAATCTCCTGCTTCTCTTGCTCCCTGTGATTCCAGCGACTAGCTGGCTTTCTTTGAGCGTCGTTTGTTGTCCCCAGGTCTCCCAGTCGCCATGAGTATTCGGATAAATGCGACGGTGCAAGAGGCCCGAACAGCTGCAAACCACAGCCAGGAACAATGGGACCGATTCTACGTAGGTATGCTCTTGTCGCAAGGGTATGCTTGGCTAACGAGACTAGTTCATAACCAAAGACGAGGCCAGGCAGCTTGCGGAGGCGCACCCTGACTGGAAAAGATGGATCCTCATCCCCGCGAACGAGAAAGAACAAATGCTGGAGAGGATCAACACCCGCCTTCGAGCTGAGGGTATTCCACCAGTCGAGATGATAATTTTGAAATGGCGGGTGTCGCAACTGCTCCGAGACATCCAACGGAAATACGGTATGTGCATTGGTGCCCGACTCTGGTGACTCGACTTAGCGGTCAGCTGTAGGGACACACTGTACAAGTACATTAGCTAATCCAAATGATTTCCAGAAGCCGGCAGTATGCTACAAGGAATGCCGGGTACGAGCTCAGGGTCAGGGTCGGGGTCACCAATACAAGTACAGACAGCCCAATCGCCTCCGGACAGCAGCGTTCAGTCATCGAGCCCACAGCGAACGGAGTATTCACCAAGCGAGACTCGTCCATACGACCCAATACGGGATGTGTAGTACCCAAGCCATCGGAGGAAATCTGTCTTTTACAGTGCGCGTTCAATGTCGAGAAAGGAACACCCGACCAACATTCGGTATTCGAGCCTGATACCCCAACCGCACAGCGCGGTATGGATAACGAGGATAGAGCGAGATAGCGAAACCACCTCACAATGAGACGGAGCGCGATAGGATCCAGCAAGCTATCTTTGTTCGATCGCTGCGGGAGGCTTCGAGGAGACGCATCGGCAAGAGACATCGATTCGTGAGAAGCCGACTATACGACCGCAGTGTTCGGTGCGGCTACACCGAGAGCGGTCGACTCGATCTTGTGTATAGTGCTTTGGTACGTAGCCCAGGCAGTGCTGAGGGTGTGGTGTACCGTCCAACACAGCTCTTGCCTACTTCCAATATCTTTTGCTTTTCCCAGTACCTGCAGTCTTCTAAACGTCTCAATTCTCCGATGCTGGCTACTCACTATTGATTGGTACACAGCCTGCACTTGGTCTTGGCGTGGTGGCTTTTCCGTCCGCGTGCATTGTGCATATGGCCCAATCTCGAAAGAGTCGGAAACAGTCCTAGGTTCTAGACCCTGCGTCCTATCTTCCGATCCCCTCTGGCGTTTTCTTTTGACACTGCGTACTTGCATATCCCAAACTAAGAGCAATGCATCGCAGTAATAGGAGTTATCACAGCTTTGTATACTGTGTTGTTTCAAGGGCACAACTCATTCGCTGCTAACAGTCGAAGATAGTACCACTTGCATCCATGGCTCGTGCCAACGTCGTCGCAGGGTAAGGACCGATGACGGTAGAGTCGAGGTGCGTAAGCGCAACGCAATCTTGTATGACGCAGCTGGAGACAGCATGACGGCGTATCCTTTGGAGCCGTGACCAGAATCCCTTGGTTTTTTTGGATGTTCCTGCTGCCGTGTGAGCTGCTTACCATGTGGGTCTGGTTCTTCTCAGAGGCACTCCTGTCCGTCGCTGGGAGTGCAGGCAATGGATAACCATCACCTGCAGAACCAGTCGGACATGCCTGGAGTGTTGCGATTCAAGGTACCAAAGGGCTACAGGCGTGCACACCTGTTCTCGGCTCGCTGGCGGAGAAGCTCTTGCGGGAGCGTCGTGACATCAGAGAGAAATCGCACGTTGATGTGGCAACCATGCCATCGTGTCGAAGAACATGAGCAGGTATGGCATCTTAGATGGCAATACCGAGATGGATGATAGATCGATGATGAAGATGAAAAGGTCGTGAAGGCTGGTGACAGAACGTGTCCGACGTGACTGCCTCCAGAGTATGGTACCCTAGCAACTAGTACTCCCCTCATCCATGTCAGAGGGCAGCCACACCCACATCCCATCTTCAAACTCTTGTAGACACCGGCCTTTTGCTACCTCTGTACACCACCGCCTTGTTGAGCAGACTGCAACACGCGTCGTGCACTCCACGCTCACGCGTCGTCACCGGGGGTGAACTGGGTTGCATAGTCGCCACTACTCGCATTGCTGTACCGCGTCTGCCAGCTCCTTCCCTATCGACGCCTTGAACACAAATTGGACGTTCCCCCTAATTTGCGTAGGACGAAGGTCAAACAACTCGAGATTTCAGCCAGAGAATAGCCCTAGTGGACTCAGCCTTCTACGAATCGACGAAACGTATTGCGCGCTTTGGACAATGCTTATGATGACTGACGGCCTTGCTGCAGCTCAAATCTAGACATCTCTGATGCCAATTAGTTTAGGTCCTGCCAAAAGAAAAGCTTCGCCCCTTGCCCAAGAGTCTTTCACTCTGGTGAGCTGCCAAGACCCACAAAAGGCGAGCACTAGCCGCCGTTGGACCGCTGCTCCTCTCCGTAGGCTGCTCCAACGCCTTCCCTATTCTCCTTCAGAGCTATGCTGCGTTTTCAATACCGCCGGCCTTATCGCGAGCTGTAAGCTGGGCTCTCTATGGAATCATCGAAAGTTCATGACAGCCGTTGAGATGAGATTGTCGGGTAGTGGCGACTATTTGCCTTTCGCCTGGAGGGAATTTCCGAACAGGACCAGTAAGTGGAACTTACAAACGCATCTCATGTTGACTGTAGGTATCCGTATGGTAGCACGACCGTGTGGCACAGCAGAGTGACGCGAGAAATACTGCCCTGCGACCTGCACCTTCATCGTAGCAACGAGGCGAACCACCCGGTGACCCCTCTACGTAGCGGACGTAGCTCCGTCACCAATACAGTTCACTGCAGACGTGTATCCACCGTATCCACCTCGAACCCGATGCCTGTGTCGAAGGCTCCACCCGCACCGCATTACGATCACGCGAATATGCTCGGTAGCTCGGCTTCGATGCCCACGTATACTTTTTGGTGGAGTACAGAGTAGTGCTGTCAAGATGACTGGGCCTAGCATCTGCAGTTAGGCTGGGCTTGTTACCGACCAGGCGCAGCTTCATGTACATTGGTGGAGCCTGATGCAGGAGCAGGCTTCGTGCTGCGTCTGACAGCACATAGCTTGCTGTAGCCGCATCATGACAGAAGTGAGGATGGGCCTGTACAAACCGTCCCACGTCTCTGACTCTCTGTTACACTATCTGTGACCCGTGCTATACTTTGGTGTGTGCCGTCGTCTGGTTTGAAGACTCCTTCTGGCGAGGACAAGAGTAGTACTGTCCAGCCCTGGGTCTTTGGGCGAAGAGTCGGCGTTGTTAGCTCGGACTGCCGCTTCGGCTTTTCCGCTCTACCATGTCCACAATACAGAGATCATGCTATGTCCAATGGAGCCATGGATTGGCAAGTCTAGGCTCACGCTACACTCACTGAACATACTAGCTATCGCTTCGCGCCAGCACTCGCCGTTGTTCTTGCATACATCGACAATACAGCCCGCGCTAGTCACTCTGTAGTGTTCATAGCTTACACATGTATTGGTGCTTGTGAAGATTAAGTAGGCGCCTTCGGATCAGATTGCTGCTAGAAGCAGGGCAGCACTACGCCGCTAGCTACTGTTCGCGTTGGTGATCAGTAATGGAGGTGCATTCCTAATGGCCTTGCTCACCAGACCACGCAGCTGCATAGATACTTTCAACGAGTACAACCGGCAGCCACGAGCCTCTTGCGTCCTAGAACTTAGTCTGAGAGAGTCCGTTACAATAGAATGAGTGTTGGTGCTAGGGTAAGATAACGCAGTATTTTCAAACAACTCTGTACAATAGTACCAGTGTGGTTGCATACACACTCTGTTCGCTAAATGCCACGTCCATGAGGGGACAGGTAGAATTTGTTCAGCCAATGCATGAGTTTTTTATGCTGAAGGGCCTTCGACCGTTGAGCCAGAGAATGAGTCTCCGAGTTTGTTGCCCCGAGACCTCTAATGGCGACATAATGAAATTACAATAGTGCAGACAACAGATCTAGGCGCGGATTGTCAAATTCTGCGGGACATCACTTTAGTCAGGACATTCAGATCAACAAAGACTTGGAACCGAGACGTTGCCCCATCGCAGGTGGACATAGTGTCCTGGTATCATTGATATCATAACCACAGCCAAACGTAGCTATCCAGAGATCGCAATGATTCCCTTTCCTATGCCACGAATGCATTCATGTCATAATTCATATCCCTTTTCCCCATTTTTCTGCTCTTTCATCTTCCCCTAGTCTGGAATAGACTACCCTTGCATACCGAACCCAGGCTCAATTCCAGCCTGCTTCAGCGCCTTGGCTTTCCGTAAATCGGTTTCCTTTTTCTCTGCTTTTTGAGCTGCCGCCAGCGCCCGTACTTGGTCTTCTTCGGCGAACATTGCGCCTTTGGGGTGTTCTTCTCGGTCGAGGTCGACGGTTGCGCATATGGTGACGTTCTCGCCTCTTACGGTCATAACACCAGGGAGTTTGACGTCGTGTATCAGCCAACGTGGGACAGAGGGATCAGATGCAGGTGGTGCGTCGGGGTTGCGGGCTGCTATCCGCTCATAGCACTCGGTAAGGACGAGGTTCGCTGTAGCTTGTTAGTTCAGATGCCAATGATGCGAAGATAGTTAATGGTAGACGCACCGAATTGGTCGTATGAACGTAATATACCGATATACTCTTTCTCGTCGCGCAGTAATACGTCAACCTTCTCTGAATTGAGTCAACGTTATATCCTCTGGGGCGCAATGCAAGGTATTTCCATACTGTCCACCATATCTAACAGCATCGCCGACGTCAGAAAGGCCTGCGGTGGGAGGTCGACGGGCAACACTGGCGGCGGCGCCTGCCCTCGTGCACCACCAAGTACATTGGGGCCATGCTGTGGTGGTGGAGTGGCACTGTACACGCCTTCGTAACCTGGGGCGGTATTAGCACTGCGCCATTGTGCCTGTCGGCGGTGGTAGTGCCTTACCAATAGACGGCGATGGCCCTCGTGGGGGTTCTGAGACTTGAGGCTGAAGCTGTCCAGGCGCCTGCATAGAGCGCTGAAGCATGGCATTGAAGTCCGGGGCCATATTCGGGGCACCTCCAGCCTGCGCGGGGCCTCGGGGTGGGCGCTGGTTGAAAGCCATTGTGTAGGGTTTGGCGGTAGACGGGGGGTATTGTAGTGAAGTTTCTTTAGCGGTTGCAAGAGGGCGATGGATATTGCGCTATCATGGCGAGGCGGCGTACGTGTTGTTCTACCTCCACTCTGTGTTTACGTCGTTGACGCTGCCCTAAATCGCCAACCGTTCGCGTATGCCAAGCCCCGCTAGTCATGAACATTGGAAGGCACGAGAGGCCCTGCATGCTTGAACCATCTGCTACTCAACTCTGGTCTATCACCTATGTTTCGGTGCGCTTTTTTGTAACCCGAAGAGTTGTCTGCCCAAGGCTGGTCTTATTGGGTGACAAGCCCTTAGGATAAAGACATCCGTCCACATGAACAGACAAGCTGGGTACGATTTACGCAGCTTCGATATTCAGACCAACGCATACACCATACAGACATGACTGCTGTTCTGTAGTCATCAAACGCATGTCTCAGTTAGCCTTGCTCGGGTATATGAGAGTCCCATTCTCTTCCATTGTTCAGTACCCATCGTTGTGCAATCGAGAGAGTTAGGCTATAGGAATGGGCGAATCGGAGCCGAGCTACGCCGCAACATAGCTACGTCAAGGGCCATCCTTGGTCTCTACACACTCTCTCTTCTTCGTCTTCACTCAATGGTAGTTCCGTCTCCCATGCAATAATCGAATTCCAGCATCTCTTTTTTCAACAATACTGTTCAGTCAAGTCCAGCGGTAAATCACGTACCATCGATTCTTCTGTCCACGATGGCTGCTGCTATGTTCAGGGTTTTCAAGAACAAATGGATCACACCACCAAAAGAAGTCCACGAAGACTATACCGGAAGGAACATTATTGTCACAGGTGCGAGCTCCGGGATCGGTGTAGAGGCGGTCTTCAAGTTTGCAAAATTGGGTGCCGCCAAAGTTATCATCGCAGTACGGGATTTGAAGAGAGGCGAATTGACAAAGTCTGCTTTGGAGGCTCGTCTAGGACGCCGTGATCAGCTGGAAGTCTGGGAATTAGACATGATGTCCTATGACAGCGTAGAGGCCTTCGCAACCCGCGCAAATGAGCTTGACCATCTGGACATAGCAGTGTTGAATGCCGGCACTCGACGTGCCAAGTTCATACAGTCAAAACATGGATGGGAGGAAGATATACAAGTCAACACACTGTCTACGACCCTATTGGCCATTTTGCTTCTACCAAAACTCAAAGAATCGAAACAACACACTGGTAAAATTCCAATTCTTGAATTTGTCAACTCTGGCCTGCATCAGAACGCCGTTGTCGCGCCCGAAGTTCGTCAAAAGCCCAGCGTACTTGACCATTACAACAAGAAAGAAAACCACAAGGAGGGAAGCCAGTACAGCTTCTCCAAAGTCTTTCTCATGTACGCGACAAAGAAGCTTGCCGACGAAATATCGTCAGGCGATGTCATCATTACCAGCGTCTGCCCTGGTTGGGTCAATACCGACCTAGGTCGCGATCATTTCTTTCCTGGTGTACACATATTGGCTTTCTTCTTCATCTTTTTGTTCATGAGAACACCTGCTGTTGCAGCAAATATGGTTTTAAGTGGGACGGCACAGGGTGAAGGTTTGCACGGAAGGTTTTGGCAACACGATAAGATTCAGCCGAACGGACCGAGCTTAACAGGGCCAGAGATGAAGGAGCTGAGTGCGAGAATGTGGGTTGAGATTTTGGATGCATTGGACAAGGATGTGGCAGGTGTGAACAAGGCAGTCGACGCGGCGCTACCGAAGCAGCGAAAGCTAGTGTAGCCAGAGTCGAGAGTGAAGACGAACAAGAATGTGGAGAAAGCTGATAGGCAACGATACTGTGCAATGGTGGTAAACTGCCAAACAAGATGCCGTCCGTGCCAGACCCCAGCTGTGGCTGCGTGGCTAAGCACGCGGGCTGGCGCATGCACCTCGACATGACGTATCGCAGCCGAATTGGAGCATCACCAGTGCCTAGGAGATCCGTCTCGTGTCCCCAAAGCCTGCACATATCGATCCTTCTGTAAAGCGAGACAGCTGCAGCCGCTGAGTCGGCTGAATGCCCAAATCGCCCTTTCGCCGCAAGCCCGCCGCCCACGCTCCCTCGTCCCTCTTCCGCTACCTGTTCCCCAGGAGTCGAGCACGCGCCCGCCTCCACCTTTCCAAACTCCGCCACGAGACATTTCCGTCGCTCAAGCAGAACGCCAAGTCGCGCATATACAAATACATCGTCTATCGCCAGGCTGTCAAGGCGCGAGGAAAACAGACCATCTTCCAGCGCCTACGGGGCTACACACGGAGGTTGAGTGGCCGCAGCTACCTGGAAGATGCCGCAAGGTTGCGACGACAACAGATAGCCAAGCGTCCTGAAAACACAGAATCGGGAAGTCGAGCAATGACGTACCAAGAGAGCTACGAGGCGCGGGAGCCTGGCACACGGAGACGCAAGCTGGCGGGCTACCTGAAGGCTGCAAATGAACTCCGACAGACATATACGCAACAGTATGCGTCCAACTGGAGTACCAAGGAAGCACAATACGACTACGAAGACGACACGCCGGGCGGCTTTCCAGATGCAGCCGTCGTCAGAAGCGGCCGCGAGGAGATGATACTCTTTCCTAGCTATGCTAGGAGACACATAAAGAGGAAGCCAGAAGCACAACCAGGCACTATACAAGAAACCGAAGGCGAAGGACGCGACGTTCGAGACTCAACGGGCGCCGGTGACGCCGAATTTTGGAAGCAGCAATGGAACAATTACGAGGACGACAATGCAGTAGTTGACGTTGATGTTCGTGGCTGGATATACTCACCGCACAGGGGGCAGATGTCGCGGAAGCAGAGGCTGTTCATTGGACTTGCACGCCAGCTCGTTGGCGTACAGGCGCCTGCCACGCCCTCCACTTCGTCTGGAGATAATAGCCGGGATACAAGCCCGCAACGGCATGGCTTTCGCGAACGGGCCCACTTGCGCGACGCTCAGCAGGACGAGGCCATTGCGGCCAAGGAAGCTGAGGAAATTCTACGCCGTGGTGAGAGAGAGGCAAGGGCGGCGGCACGCGGTGCTTACAGTGAGAAGCCTGCTAAAGACATGGACGATACACAATTATATCGAACAGAGACAGGGAGCAGCACGCGTCCCAACAATGGCAGGATCCATCAACTCGCCCATAGCACATCCAAAGATTCGATGAGAAGTGAGGCCAGCATTAAACCGCTGCAGAAACGAGGGTCATGGAACCAGCCGTCTGAAATGAGCCCGTCTGAACTCGCCGAGGCCAACGCCAGGCTGATGGCTCGCCTGCGACACTTTCTTGCAATACCAATGGCCAACACACCCATCAGTGTCTTCTTCTACAACGAGAATATATCCAAACAGAGGACTGTGTACACCGACGCTGCAGGACATTTCAGTATGAGCGCGGCTTTGGATTTTGTGCCCACCCACGTTCGCATCTTAGCATCAGACAAGCTCTCGGCAACAGAAGAAGTAATCGTTACTGCCTCGCAGGGAATCAGTGTCATTAGTGACATAGACGACACAATAAAGCACTCCGCTATTGGTAGCGGCGCCCGCGAGATCTTTCGTAATGTTTTCATCCGCGATCTTGTCGATCTCACTATCGACGGTGTCAGAGAGTGGTACAACAGAATGGCGGAGCTGGGGGTCAAATTCCACTACGTCTCCAACTCGCCCTGGCAGCTGTACCCTGTCATCTCAAAATACTTCGAGTTAGCTGGATTACCCCCCGGCTCGTTCCATTTGAAACAATACAGCGGCATGCTTCAGGGAATATTCGAGCCCGTGGCGGAGAGAAAGAAGGTTACTTTGGACAAGATCGCAAGAGATTTTCCAGAGCGAAATTTCATATTAATCGGAGATAGTGGTGAGGCTGATCTGGAAGTTTATACCGACTTCGTACTAGAGAACCCTGGGCGAGTCGTTGCCGTCTTCATTCGCGATGTCACCACAACAGATAGTCTAGGCTTCTTCGATCCTTCTACTGGATTTTCACCAGGTGATCACTCTTTGTCATCGACCCAGCGTACCAGTGGTGGGGGTTCCGCTGCTTCTACTAAGGCTCGACCGCCGTCTGAAGAAACCGATCCTGAACTGAGAGCTGCTATTGCAGCATCATTACGTAACATGGATGCGGACAATAGCAAGCGTTCTAAGTCAACATTTCCGCAGACCAACAATGAGCAACAGCCGAAGTTGCCTGCAAGGAAGCCCTCTTCGCAAAGTATATCACCGAGAGATTCTCCGGCCAATTTAATAGACCTATCATCCGAAGATGAAGTAGACGATTCGCCTGCCCTTAGGAAATTCAACAGCGAAACTCAGGCTGACAACGAAAGATACCGTTCCTCAGCCGGATCGAATGTGAGTACGAAGTTTGCGCCTGCGCCTCCCAAGAAGCCAGTCGCATTACGAAGCCCATCGAGCGAATCTACGTCTTTCAATACCCTGTCCTCCTCGAACCCACGACCACAGCCACCAAAACCTCGAAAGACCTCGACAGCAGTCGGTCAATCCAGCCCACTAGCACAGCAAGATCATGCCACAAAGAGCGCAAACACTTCAGCACATTTCAGACCTCCGGTGGGCCCCAAGCCGGCCGTAAGCTTCCACAGCCAAGCATCACAAGATCAGCAGTCGTACGCTGGCATGGCTCGGGATAAGCTGTGGTCCGTCTACAGTAATTTGCCTGCGTTGCGGTCAACGGAAGAGCCTGGCTCCAATGGGTCCAGTCTAGATGTCACTGGTGTTCGTAAAGGCCCGCCTCCACCTCCACCTCGTCGTGGTAATCGCGATACAGCTTCAAGCGCAGCATCTTACGTGAGCTCCAAAGCATCGTCAGCATGGCAACACGCTCCCTCAATGCCATATCACACTCGTCCACAGGTCACGTCTGCGCAAACATCTCAGCCTTTCTCTACTGCTGTGCCGCGACAAGGTATCAATCGCACCAGTACCGGTAGTACGCTGAGTGGTGCTGCAGGCGAGCAGTACGGC